GAAGGAATATTGTATACAGCTGAAGAGAGTTGATTAGCCAAAGAAGTGATCCAGGATTTCTCAGCAGGTTGAGCATAGGAGTTAGTGAACATGTATTCGAGAAACGAACCATTGGGAGAAGACCAATTATTACTTTTATTGGAAACAAAATGCGGATAGTTTGATAGTTTGGACACTGTTTTTATTACCATGATACTTATTTTTACTTTTTTTGGAGAATGATTGTGTCAAGCTCGGAAAAGATTCTATAGATATAGGGTTTTGAGGAGCACTGGCGTTATTTATAATATTTGCATTGCTTGAGACACTATTCGAAAAAGTTTTAGATTTATTAACAATGTTATTCTTAAATATAAAAATGGCATCGTTGTACGAAATGTTTTCAATAGCCATGATTTTTTTAATCTCCTTTTGACTGGACCATTCAGGACATGAGCGATCTGTAGTCTCATGGGATGCTTTACAATGTAAACATGATGGGGTAGAGTTGTCTTTATTACGGCAATCGGTGGCAATATGATCGTTAGCACCACAACAAGCACACCATGCCTTACTTCTGCAAAATTTGGCTGTGTGTCCGTAGCGAAGACACTTATTACAGATAACAGGCGAACGGATGCTAGGAGAAACCGTGAATATGACTTTAAATATTGATATTTTTTCCGGTAGTTTTGAAGAAAGGAACTTGAGCTCTACTAAATTAGTTTGAGTTGGGGTATTAGAATTACGTTCTGTAAATATGCGACAAAAACCACTAATAGGAACCGGCGATTCGATACCTTCCCAAAATTCCTCCTCTGTTGTTGAGGTATCCAGGTGGATGATACCGTGAGAGTATATTAAAGTAGACGGGATTGAAGCTTTTACGTTCATACCAGGGAGAAGGTTAGAATTAAGGCAAGCATTGGCAGATTTGATAGAATCAAATAAAACTTTAACTCTGGAGCCAATGGGAGTTATTTGTTTTATACCGCTGAATTTGTTGTGGAAAAGTTTCCCAATTTTTAGCGGGTGTAATTTGCCGATATTTTGGTCGCTAACCGTGGATTCAACGAGAATTACCGGAGTCCCGTTAAAATTGTTTGAAAAAGATTTCAGATTAGTATCTAAACTCGAATTACTAGTAATTTTTTTTACGGTAGACGAATGTCCTGTTTCAGATTCATTGTTTACCTTATTTCGCGTATTTGTATTATATATATCAAGGTCGCTATTGTTATTCATAACATTATCGATGTCCATAGTATTAGAATTACTATCTGACGTTAGAGTAATGGCATCATTAAGATATGCCCTACTAGTTTCATTGTTATCGGCCGATTCGTTAATATTATACTGAAATTGTATGTTAGCTTGGAGTAGTTGTAGTTGATTATCTAATAGGTATTGTAGATTCGGAGAAACCATTCGTCGGGATCTTTTCGATTTTTGTGCAAAGTTACTTTTATGGGACCAGAACCGTTATTAGGTGGACGGCCCGGTCCACCCCGTGAATTGGGCATACGGAAACTTTAAAAAAAAAATTATGCGAGACTACTTATGTGAGTTAGAGATATATAACTAAATACGATAATACTATACGTACAAGGAAAACTGGATTCACAGGTGCGTAACAATAACACGACTTATTGCTACGATTGCTGAAGTCGAACTTTGAAAGCGTAAAACTCATATAATATGTTATATATCACATATTTAGCACGCGCTCCGTCTCCAAAGTGTCAACAATTTAATAGTTTAGTACAGTGGTGTAGTCCTAAAATGGATTATGGGTATACGCCTATATAATGAATAGAGAATAACGTGGGGGGCTCCGCCCCCCCCACCCCCCATTGCACTTTACATTTTCTACATACAATATTTCACATTATCAACAGTGATATAGTCGTACGTAATTTGATAAATAGATAAGTTAAAAACCTAAATGAGGAAACGTGGGGAATTTCACCCCCACACTACATTTCAAAGGCCTTAACTATAACATAGTTTTGGGGGACGGAATACAAATATTGTGATATTTTAACTGTGTTAAAAATATGTATTTTCTAATTATTACATAATGCAACTAAAACTCCTAACCCTGCCAGTTGCTCTATTCAACTTCCAAACTATTAGTCGAATATTTTTACTGATACTTCTAAGTTCTTACATAAATTAAATTTCATAGTCATATAATCGATATGTGTATTATTAGATACTGTTATATTTTTTATAAATAAACAATAAACTTTATGCAGTAATAAAATAATCTTACAATCATTGTTTTCAAATCGTTAAAACATAAATGAAATAAACGTGAATAGGTACATGTTTGTACTATCTTAATTCATTATAGGTAATATATTAAATACTAGATTGGTCGGTAAACGATTTATGACGGAAAAATACAAATTACCAATTTCAACAGCTATAGGTTAACCCAATAACTTTCAGTTTCAACTTAGTATGTGCTATATCGTTAAATTCTGATCGATGTTTTAAATTTTGTCAATAAAATTGTCGTGAAATGATAAACATTATCCTATTTATTTATACACTTTGACAGTGTTTTGTTTTACATTTATATTCTATTTTTAAAATGATAATAGTCTTGAGCCATATTTGTATGTTTATAACTTCAGATATATGTTTATATGTGGTATGACTGTAGACATTAAACAAACTGATAAGAGTTATTCAAAATTTGTATTTTATGACAAACGTACCTATATTCGATACCCACGTATTACTTTTTATTTTATTCTTTAGTCTATACTCTTTAACTATTTTATAAATACGTATACGCACTAAAAAAACCTATAACAATAAAAAAACTAACAGTGGATATACGCCGTATACCCGCGTATACGCTCCACGACACCTCTGGTTTAGTACATTAAAAGAGTTTTTTATTCAAATTTATAAACAAAATTTTTTTAGATATGCTATTAAATGTTATAATTTAGTTCTCAAACATCACAGTTTCATACTACTTATTCTGTTGTGCAGAGTAATAATTTTACACTAATAAAATCTATTTGTTTAATTCAAATTTTTCTAAAATTATGTTTTATTTTTATATAAGTACATTAAAAAGAAGATTAAAAAACAAAATGTTTTATTTTATTTTTGCAACTATTTCTATTTAACCAATATACTCTATGTAATATGTTAAAATTTAATAATATAAGTAATATTTTTTTATATAATTGTAATTATTATTATAATCATTATCATTTTTGCGTTAAATTCTTCAAGGTAAATTAATATTAAGTGGGCCTTACATATTAACATAAAAATTTACTAAAATAGTACCCATACAAATGTAAACACTGGTGTAGAATTTACTAACTACTAAAATGTTGAACTTACTTAATCTTATCCCACATTTAAATAAATTAAAAGGAAATAAAAAATAATGTGTCAAAATATTTTTAAAACATAATTTAAAATTGCTGCGGTAATTATTTATTTATACCTTCTGCAACCATCTAAAGGTTAAGACTGGTTAGATGCTGCTTTTTGATTACTCGTATACAGAGTATTCAGTAAGTAAGGAATCTGGTCAATTTTTACAAACAATGAGAACAATAGAAACCCGATCTCCTTTTTACTAAATTCCTTTATATATTGTCTTATGATATATCTGTTAGTTATATATAGTCTGCTTTAAGTGATAGTAACCAAAAAGTGCCACCTATTTCAAAACTCAAAAACAGTGTTAGGCCAGTTTTATAAGTAAAAGTACTATGGTTATTATACTTATATTATGCAAATAATTAAGACCATGACATTGGTAAAGTACTAAGTTATAAAATCTAAATAGTACAGAAGACAAAAAACCATTTATTTTATCATATAGACTTATGACAAGTGTCTTATTGTTTTCATTATTAGTTTTATTCTTTATTAAAATATGAATGTCATTGTCTCAATTATTATATATATATATATATGTAGGGGAATATGTATTATCATACATATATCCCCTATAATCAAAATAATTGGCAACACTTTGGCCATCGTTAAAACTTCTATTTTGAATGTTGATTTTTATCTTTATTGATGATATAGCAATACAAGGTGATTGACTAACTATGTCTCATGTAATATCTTTAAAAATACAAATGTTATAAACAATTTTTTTTTTTTTTTAATTGCTATGGATCTTTGTTGAACTGTTTCTTAAGAAAAATTAAATTTCTATCATTATCCCTTATACTTAGAACTTGTATCAACTTCAGGTTTTCAAATGGCAAACTCATATTATTTTTATGTATTTTTGTTTGTTGTAAAAAAAAAAAATTTGAAATTTGAAATAAAATACGCTGCTTTAAAATTTACAATATTTGATGAAAAAATTCAGTCATTTCAGCACTGTCACATTATTATTTTATATAGCGATATGAGCTACCAATTTACTGTGTCACACACGTAGTCAGAATAGAGCTTATCGATTTACAACCTATAACATTTGAGTCTGTTATAATTTTATCTTAATAATCCCTACACTTTAATGAGCTCTGTGGAGCACTTAATATTAAATAAAATAAAATATTTTTTATTATTAAACTAAATCTAATGGTGTATAAAAAAAATAGGGTTGCCATTTGAAAATATGAAGTTGGTACAAGTTTTAAGCATAACGAATGGTGGTAGAAATTTTAATTTTCTTGTGAAACACCTCATCCAAAATCCATAATGATTAAAAAAAAAATTGTTTATAACATTTGTATTTTTTAAGATATTACGGAAGAGATAATTAGCCATTCACTTTAAATAATAATATATATCATTCATGAATAATAGCAAACTATCTATTCTGTCTTAAATATCTTGGGTATTTTTAATTACACTAATATTTAAATTAATTATTTTTCATAAAAGAAAGTCATAATAAAACACATGTTTTAAAACAAAATGTTTTTGACATAATAATCCTGTTATCTATTCTTTGCACCTTTACTACCTTGCAGTAATATTAAAAAATGTAAGTATATCAATTTTATTTTTCATAATAGTGTTCAGTAATGATTTTAAAGCTATGCCATTAAATAAAGCTTGGTATCAAGTTGAAACATTAAGAACACGTGATCATTGGATTCCACTACCAAAGAATTTAGCAGATTCTAGTGATGATCCCCAAAGAGTAGTTTTACCTGAAGATGTATCTGAATTAGTACAACCTATAACTAATCATCACACAGTAGTAGTCAATTTGGTGTCTGTGTGTTGTATTTTATTAAAAATGCCAATTTTACCTTATCGACATTTTGTTGTTCGACAATTGGGCATTGATAACTATCATTTTAATTTTGAAAGCCTAGAAATGATACTTAGCAGTATATTTATGGCTTATAATTTTAAAAATTGTAAGTGAATTTTAATATTTATTATTTCCCTATATGTATTATTTTTAAAAGTAAAATTTTATTTTAAGATTGAATAAATAAAATATTTGTCTTATTTAAATCATTTAAAATATTTTTTACTGCTTTTCGAACATCTTAAGAATAATTATTTAGTTATTATCATAAGTAATTAATAGAAATTTGTTTTTAAGTAAAAATATTTTAATTAAAATTTTACAGATAATCAAATTAATGATAGAGTAAGTGATGTATTATTAGTTATGTTGAAGACAGCTATGCCACCTCATTATTATGATGATGAATCTACCCCTAGCAAAACATACTCTAGTTTTGTAATTTCTATTTTAAGGCATATAACTGATTGTTTGTATGCTATGGATTATACTTCTGAAGCAAATATTTTTTTAGTTTGGTGGTTAAGATTTGAAAGATATAAAATAGCTATAAAATCTACTTCAAATAATAGTAAACTAGTTTCAGAAGTCAAATTATTACTTCAAAAACCTCAATACAGGTAAAAAGTTGAGTATAATCAAATATTTAGTTGATTTTGAAAATTCCATTTTATTCTCAGGAACAACATTCCTTTGTTTATTGAATTTGCATTATTAAAGAATCAAGTTGGAAAAGCTGATGATGCTTTAAAAATTTTACAAAAAATTATTGATTCACAACATGTATTGTTGGATAGTAAACCCATCTATGAGAGTATTACTTATAGAGCAACTTTCACTGCGATTTATAGAAATATGCTTGAAATAGTTATACAATTAAATAACAGGTATTGTAATTGTTTTCTAATGTTATTAGTTAATGAATTTATACAATGTAAAATGAATATTAGTATTTAAGTACAAAGTTAACAATAGGTGAAATGTTATGATGTAAGAAAATGAAAATTAGTAGGGTGAAGTTGGATGTTGTAAACAGATTTGGTATTTTATCTAAATAAACTAATATGATTTAAGTGTGGTAATAGATATAAATTAACTCATTTCTATTCACAAATTATATTAATTTAAAAATGTTCTTATTATATAAACATTATGAAATAAAAACCCAGCACAGTGGGGTGGCGGCACAGTGGGGTCGTGGCATAGTTGGGTTCAGTATAGATGATATCTGACAGTAATTAAAATCATTATCATAAAAAACGCTTCGATGTAAATCTGTAGATAGTGTTTAATTAAAAAAAAAAAATTTGTTAAAATAGCATATTTTTGAATATGGTAGCCATTTGCACATAGAAGATAGGTCGTCGGGACAAATTTTTTTTTTTAATTATATAGTACATGACATAACCTTTGATTTGATATATGTTTAAAGGACACAGTATTTCCGGAACATTTTCAAAAATTAAGTTGAAAAAGTTAGTTTTTGTAAAAAAGTTGCTACTTTAAATCCCTCCCAGAGATCAGGTTAAGTGTTAAATTTTCAAAAAAACGATATCAAATAAAAGAGAAATATCCAAGGTTTTAGTATAATAAAAAATGATGTTGATTTTTGAAAAAGTTTTAAGAAAAAAAGTGAAAAAAATGACAAAATTTACCGATTTAAAAAATTTCGAAAACTTTAGAAGGTAAAACATTCTAATTCATCCCTTTTAGCTTCGATGCGAAACTGAGAAGGTATTGTTTTTACTATGATGTGTTTTATTTTTGTATCTGTTACCACTTTTTCTCAGCTCTCACCGAACGGATTTCTTTTAACGATATGTCAAAAAATTCCAAATCGTATCTAGTCGAAGACATTAACCTCAAAAATTGACAAAAATTTTCTTCGTTCCCCGTAAATGGGAGAAACCTCCAAAAAAATTTCAAATTTAAAAATCGCTAATTTTTTCAATTTTTTTTACTAAAAACTGCCGTAACTTTTTCAAAAATGAACATATTAATATAATTTTTTTTTTTTTTTTGATGCTTGATGTCTTTATCTATCATTTGGTATATATTTTTTGTAAATCTGACACTTAACTTGCCCATAGGGGGGGATTTAAAATGACAATTTTTTTACAAAAAATTAACTTTTTCAACTTAACTTTTGAAAATGTTCCGGAAGGTCTGACACTTTTATATATATCTTAAATTAAAGCTAATGTAATGTACTTTATTATGAAAAAAAAATTTGACCTCTGGACTTGTCTTCATGATGAAAACGGCTACCGAATGCTATTATAGTGTGAAATTTCTCGATTTTATATTTTACATTTTTAACTTTATTATGCTATAACTATTTGAAAAATGTATGGATCAATATAATTTTTTTATGAGAAATAATATTTATATCCCTTTTACATTCGACATACTTTATCTTAATTAGGATATTAATAAGGAACAAGCAGATCATGTAGCTTTTGGAATTATCCACCAATTTTTCTAAATGAAACACTATCTAAAGATTTGCATCGAAGCGTTTTATTTTGATAGTGATTTTAATCGCTGTCAGATATCATTATACTTGATCCAACTATGCCACGTCACCACTGTGCTGGGTTTTTTTTCTTTATTTACTATAACAGATTACTGGTATCAAACTGTTCTTATTCAAAATAAATATTTATGTAAATTATTTTGTTCATGAATTTTTACTTTGTACTTAAACGACATTAGATAAATGACTTTAAAATTAAAAAAGACACTATTTATTAATTGATTGATTTAAATGAATGATTTATATGTAGGTGTTCAGTAAGTAAGGAAACAGGTTTCTATTGTTCTCATTGTTTTTAATACTTGACCTGTTTCCTTACTTACTGAACACCTGTATAATAATTATAATAATTACTTTATCATTTTTTCAACATCCAATGATATCCAAACAAGCATATATTCAGAATCAATTTTTTTTGTGAGAAAGAGGTGTAATATTTTTTTTATAATATACATTGTATATACAGGGTGTTCAGTAAGTCAGGAAACGGGTTTCTATTGTTCTCATTGTTACAAACAATGTTACTCAATGCAAAGTTGAGTTTGTATTAATTTTACTATGATATGGTTTTTATTTTATGTTTGTTGTCAATTTTTCTCAGCTCTCACTAGACTGATTTCTTCCAATAATATGTTAAAAGATTACAAATTGTTTCTAGTTAAAAAAATTTCTTTGAAAATTAAAAAAAATTCACTCGTTTTCTGTAAATAAATATATATATAGAACAACTTTTGGATCAGTATTACAGAAATTATTGACATATTTATATCTAGGTGTGAAGAATAGTACAGCCAAAATGATAAGTCATAAAAATTGCAGCAGCCATTCTTCACCTCTAGTTATTACTTTAAATTTTTTAATAACTTGTTAACAACTAGTCATCTTATAAGATCATATTAAATAAGATCTATTAAATAGGCTAGTAAATTAGGGGTGTTGCCTTATGATAAATTAAATTTGACATCCTTATATGGTATAAGGAATGAATATAAAAAAACAGTATGAGTAAAAAATTGATTCAAATATTTGACTAAAAGAAACAAAAAAATTATGAATGTATTTTTGTTTTTCAATTAATTAAATGCTTCATAATAAGATAATCTCTGTATACATATATATATATATATATATATATATGTGTATATAGAATGTTCAGTAAGTAAAGAAACAGGTTAGTTGTTACAAACAATAAGAACAATAAAAAACAATTTCCTTATTTACTGAACGAACACTCATATTTTAATTAGTAATAAATAAAATGAAAAAATTTAATTTAAGTTAACTTAATAATGATTAATATATGAATTAGTTTTTTGTATCCTTTATAAAAGGTTTCCTACATATAGGGTTTTTCCTACTATAAATGATAATATAGATTATCTATTTTTATATTTAAAATTGTTTTAATTTTTAGAGATAGAGCTATAAAAATCTTGGTTGGTTTAGCTACAGGTAGTCTTCCTAATAACGCAGATTTGAATTTTATGGACCAAGCAAATAATACATTTAATAGAATAACAAATGATTGCCTTGCTGATCGTTATCAATTTTCTCATTCCAATTTAGCATACAATTTTTTACCACAGTTTTTTGTTGAGTGGGTTGCATGTTATGCTTGGTTTTTGTATTTTACTCAAAATATACAATCTGCTGTTTCTATGATTAAAAGAGTTATATATCAAATTGAATATATTATTGAATCAAATAATTATGAAACAAATCAGTAAGAATAATTTTTATTCTATCAATTATTGATAAATTAAGCTTTTTTTTTACTTTAGTGCAGCTGTGGAAATTCTGTATGAAACATTGATCATAATTTTAAATCACTATTGCAATAAATCTAAAACGGGACATAAACAACTCAGAAAACATTTACGATACACTATATCAAAATATCCTCAGAATATGCAATTTTTGTTTTCAATGATGTGGAATGAGGTAAAACAATTTCAGTTTTGTTATTAGTTTTTTAATTGTTTTGGTAATACCAAAAATAAATCTTTATATGCATTAATTTATTTAGCTAATAATGAAATATAGCATGAGACTTTAAACAGGCAACCTTAAAATAACTAAAAAAAAATCCAACTTATTTATTAGCAAATTTGTTTATATTCCCTAAGTGTAAATGAAAAAGCATTTTAAGTTATTAAATTTTCATCTAAAATTGAAACAAAAAATACTTTTAGTTAACTTCCTTGATATGTTTTATCTCATATTCATCGTTTAAATTATTTGGTGTCTACAGAGTTGTTTCCCATACTCATAAATGTATATACATATAATATATATATATACTAATATAGCCTTTTCCTACCCAACACAAAAATTCACTAGCCATTAAATCAGACAAACAGAATTAAAGGTGTAATCTTTATGTAGAATTAAAATGTATTAGATTCACATTACACTAAAATTTATTTATATCAGTTTCCAAATGAAATATGACTGTATGAAATACAATTAATTTTTATTTTTACTGTAGACTAAATATGGAGGTTTTGGAACTCCATTATGGCAAATAGAAAATGTTTATATTGATCAATTAATTGCTGAAAATTTAGATGCAGCTAGAATAATGTTGATTTTAATAGGAAGAGAACGTTTACGAATGGCTAGTGAATTAGCTAAAGATAATTTTAATACTTATCAACTTTCAATGTCTAAGTATGGTAAGTTTTCGAATTAAAAATATATATATATTAATACATACACAATGATTTTTTTTATCATAATCCATCAAATCAATTACTCGAAAAATAAAATAAGTTTTGAAAAAAAAAATTTTCTTTTTTTTTAACTTTATTAACAGATATGCTTAAATTATAATAGTATATATGGCACAATTTTGTAAATTAACATTTATAATACACACCATCTGGTAATAAAGCATATCTGTGGATAAAGTCATAATTGACAATAAACGTTGTATATTATTACATTAATAGCAACATCAGAAAAAAAACAATTAACTACCTGTAATTGTGACTCCTTGTATATTACACAAATATTTTAATTAAAAAATTTAAAGTTTTATATCTAGTAAACTAATGGAGTTCTGTTCAAAATTCAAATGCCACCTACATTTTATCAAATTTTAATTATGTTCCCATTTGAATAAATAAAGTTGACACTTTTATAAAGTAAAAGGGATAAACTTAAAAAGTATTGCATAACTAATAATTTAAGAACAATATGTAACTTAAATTAACCAAAAAACTTTTTTAATTAATTATATTCTCCGAGTAATTAATTGGGTTATAATAAAATATCACTTTGTGATATACATATATACAGAGTTATTGGTTTATAAAGCAATCAATTAATCTATTTTATAGCTAGTTAAATAATTATATTACCATTAAAAAATGGTCGAGTAGTTTTTGATATAACCAATCACTCTGTTTATATAAATATATATGTATACAGTGACGAGCAAAAGTGAACACTAATGAGAAAATTCTGAAAAAAAGGGTTATAAAATAACAATACATATGTTTTTAATTATTTAAAAATGTATATGTATTTGGAAAACAAAATTTGAAGAGCATTAGCTGAAAAAATATAAACAATAAGTAGCGAGTTACTAGATAACAAATTTTTAATAGTACTCACTTTTGCACCGGTATTTATTATAGATATATTCTGGCATTAATATTTTGTCCACAAGCCTTTAGCCGTTATCACTGCTTCCATCCTTTGTGGCATGCTGTTGACCAATGACTCGCAGTAGTTTACATCAATTTTTGCCCATTCCTCTCTAATTCTATCCCACAAATTGTCGAGTGAAGTAGGTGGACCGTGGTACTCACTATACAATTTTCTTTTTAAATATGCCTAAAAATTCTCTATTGGGTTCAGGTCAGGACTTTGAGCTAGCTAGTCCATAGTTTTAAATAGTTGATTGGCAAGCCATTGTTTGACGGATTTCGTCATATGCTTGGGGTCATTATCCTGTTGGAAAATGACTTTATTGTTTGGTATTAGCAGTTTTGCAACCTCATCTGGCAAATTTCTTGATAGTATGTTTTTATACATATATTGATCCATAGTAGATATAATTTTATAAATGGCTCCAGGTCCATATGCAGTAAAACAGCCCCATAGCATGACAGATCCTCCACCATGATTGACCGTCTGCTTGACATAGGAAGGTTTGAGGTTTTCGCCAGTCCTTTTCCAGAATCTGGACCTTTCGTTTGAGTAGTATCTATTGATTTTGGTTTCATCTGACCATATTACCCTCCTTCAGTCTTGTCTGTCCAGTGTTTATGATCTTTAGCAAACTTTAGCCTGGCCTTCATATTTTGTTTGGAAATTACGGGTTTTTCTTTTTTTCGGCACACACAAAATTTTATTCCTTGAGAACTCTCGAAGCTGTCCACCTGCTCAGTTTTTTCCCAGTGTGTTGTTGCAATAGATTGGCCGCCATTGAAGATGAAGATGCTTCTCCCGTTTGTAAAAAGTGAGCAAGTCTGTGCCTATCTTGTGAGGTAGTACACTTAGATCTTCCATTTAGTCGGGATGAAGCGTTAGAACAACCTTTATTTTTTGCACTGCCGCTTGGCTGACGCCACACTGTCGAGCCACTTCTCTGGTTGTTTGACCCGATTTCAACATCAAAACAATTTGTGTCATAATTTTGGTTCCTTTCACTACGAAAGACTGATTTATACTGATTAAAATAAAAGTTTCATATTTTCTAATGTGTTGGTTGTTGGATACCGATTAAAACCGATATTTTATTTTTATTTATTTTTTTTTTACCTGTAACTACTTTATTTATAAAAAGAGGTTTTAATTTGTTTTCAGGAATAATTAAAAACCATTTTAAAGTTGATTTCTTTTTTACCATTACAGAAAATCATTTATCATAACTATAGTTATGTAAAAACTATTAACTTTCATTAATACATGTGTAGGTGCTGGAAATGATTTGGATTTATTTAATAATACATACCAATTATTTGATTTCTTTATAAGAAATCTCAGTCAGATAAAAGAAATGAAAAAATGTCCTATGTTTTGGAGATTGTTTTTGCAATATATTGCTGAAAATTCATTATCAGATTATAAAAAATATTTTTACGAGGCTATTGAAAATTGTCCTTGGCACAAGGTACTATTTGATATATTTTAATATAGACACCATGCATTTATGAAACAGCTGTGCATAGTGTTATAAAATTTGTGTAACTACTGTGATTGAACTATTAATGCAATATACCAATAATTTCTAAAATTTAAAATAATTCTAAAAAATAGTTTTTTAAAATAATTTTATATTGAATACTTATTTACATTTTTTTGATAAGATAGTTTATTTTTGATCTATTGATGTTTTTTAAAATATCACTAGAAGTTGCTTTATATTCTGTTCACACTAGTCACAGGCATATTTAAAGTGCACTGTTCTCCAAATGTATATCTATAGATGTCAATTATGATGTTAATTTTAATAATTAGTCATAATTGAACAGTTCCCTGTGGATAGGAGATAAGAATACTTCCACAGCCCCTCTGCCAGTCGTAAGAGGCAACTAATAAGGTTGCGTCAGGTCGACAGCCGGCGTAAAAATTATTGTCAAAAAAGTATGAGGTACCTGAACAAAACTTAGGCGGATTGTCCCATCTCGGATGTACGCTGGGACAACAGGTGAGAGGGAATAAAGTAGTTAAAAATGGAGAAGGCCTAAAGAATAAAGTGTTTGATACAAGCCGGACAACTTGTGCAGTAGCTGTTTCACCAGTCATGTGTACAGGTCTACCTAACGCTTGTAGTTTCAACGGTGTAGGAACATCACCACTTAATTCTAGGCTAGACTATTGTATATGGGAGAAAGATAGATACAAAGTAAAAATAAGTACTTGGAATGTTGGAACATTAACTGGTAGAAGTGGAGAATTAGTAGAAGTATTGAAGAAGAGAGAAATCGAAGGAAATATGTGAGGATTATAAAATAATATACTCAGGTAAGTCTAGTATAAAGAATGTTGTAGTAGTGGATGTGGGAGATGAAAAGTAAAGTAGTAGAAATAGCTAGGTAAAGCGATAGAATTGTGGTCGTAAAATTGATATTCGAAAAAAAAGTGCTGTATGTAATAAGTGTCTATGCACCAAAAGTAGGATGTGATGAAATAGACAAGGAAGTGTTTTGGAGAGAGATGGATGAGGTGATACAAGGGGTACATGGTAATGAGGATGCGGTGATAGGTGATATGAATGGACATGTAGGTAATGAGAGGAGAGAATATGAAAGAGTACATGGAGAGTATAGTTTTAGTGGGAAAAATGAGGCTGGTGAAAGAATCCTGGATTTCGTAGTATTGTATGATCTTGCTGTGGTGAATACTTATTTTAGAAAGAGGGAAGAACATTATATAACTTATAAGAGTGGAAGGAATAGATCACAGATTGATTATTTTATGTGGAAGAGAGAGAGTGTAAAGCGATTAAAGGATTGTAAAGTTATACCAAGCGAGAGTGTAACTACACAGCATAGACTGATGGTAATGGAGTTTTGGTGTACCGGAAAGAGAATAAATAAAAATAGAAGAAACACAGGGGAAAAATCGAAGATCCGATGGTGTAAATTGGGAGAAAATGAAAAAGAGTTTATAAAGACGGTAAAAGAGAGGACTGTGTGAAATGTTGAGGGAGACATAAATGATGCGTGGAATAGATTTGCTAGTTGTATAAAGAATACTGCAAAGAAGATTGTTGGTGAGAGTAGGAGTAGAATGCCAGGAAACAAGAAAACCTGGTGGTTGAATGATGACGTTCAAAAAATCATAGAAAGTAAGAAAAAGCAATTCAAAGTATGGCAGAAGAGCAAAAGGAGAGAAGATTGGATGGAGTATAAACGCTTGTGCAAAGAAGCCAAGTGTGCAATAAGTAAGGCGAAGTTAAAGAGGTATGATGAGTTGTATAATAGGCTAGGAACAAAGGAAGGCGAGAAAGAAATCTATAGAATTGCAAAAGTAAGGGAGAAAAGGTCTAAAGATTATCATTATATAATGTGTATAAAAAATCCTGATAATAGGGTACTCTCTAATATTTAAAGGTAAAGGTGACATACATAGAAGTGTGAAAATTATAGAGACATATAGCTTATGAGTCATAGCATGAAAATTAGCTTGGGAAAAGTTTATAGATAAGAGAATAAGAAATGAGACATCGGTATCTAAAAACCAGTTTGGATTTATGCCTGGTAAGTCAACAATGGAGCCAGTATTTTGTGTGAGGCAACTAATAGAAAAATTTAGGGAAAAAAAGAAAAAGCTTTGTATAGTATTTATATATTTGGAGAAAGCGTATGATAGAGTACCGAGAGAGGTTCTAAAGTGGGCATTAATGAGAAAAGGAGTTCCGAAAATGTACATTTATATAATAGAGGATGTATGATGGCACTTGTACTAGGGTAAAAAGTGTGGGAGGAGTAACAGAAGGTTTTTGGGTAATAGTAGGAGTGCATCAGGGTTCTGCTTTAAGCCCTTACTTATTTTCTATAGTGATGGATGAAATTACTAGAAAAATACAAGGAGAGGTGCCGTGGTGCATGTTGTTTGCTGACGATATAGTGTTAATAGGAGAAAATAGGGAGAAAATTAATCAAAGGCTAGAAGTGTGGAGATCAACTCTTGAAGAAAAGGGTTTAAGAATAAGTAGGAGTAAGACGGAGAATATAGATACGAGTTTGATAAAGGAGAACACGAGTTAGGTGAAATAAGGAGACCAGTGACATTAGGTGAGGATGTGATTGGAGAGGTGGAAAGTTTTAAATATTTAGGTTTAGTTGTGCAAAAGAGCGGTGGTATTGACAAGGACGTAAGACACAGGATTAAGTGCGGGTGGTTGAAGTGGAGAGAAGGGTCTGGCGTCTTATGCGATAAAAGAATTCCAATGAGGCTGAAAGGTAAATTCTATAAGACTGTAGTAAGACCAGCTATGATGTATGGTTCAGAGTGTTGGCGGTTGATAAGAAAGTAGAGCAGAGAATGAGTGTAGCAGAAATGAGAATGCTTAGATGGATAAGTGGAGTGACTAGAAAAGATAGAATAAGGAACGAGCATATAAGAGGGAGTATAGGTGTAGCGTCAATCGTGGATAAGATGAGAAAAAATAGAACTAGATGGTTTGGTCATGTTATGAGAAAAGAAAAATCGGAAGCTGTAAGAAAAGTTATAGAAATGAATGTTGAAAAAAGAAGAAGTAGAATGATATGATATAACAATATGAGGACAGCTAATGTGAGCGTAAATGATGTGGAAATCGTGTCAAGTGAAAGCTTAGGATAAGAGAATAGAATGATAAGAGAACCCCAAGTAGTTGGGATTAAGGCGAGGAAGAAAAAGAAGAAGAATTATCTTTTTTTTTTTTTATAGAAGTTGAATTTTCAGAATTCAACTTACACAATTTATCAATTATTGAATCTTTTTTTTTAATATGTATTCCTAAATACATTATTTGTTAATAAATTTTTAATTTAATTAATTAATTTTTTAGTTTATATATTTGGAAGCTTCTTTCTATTTGCCTGATGAGTTGACCAATATTTGTGACATACTAGTAGAAAAACAATTAAGAATACATATTACTCAAGAAGAATTATTAGTTTTGAGAGAAGACTGATTAAAGGGAAATTTAACAATTAACATTTAGTTAATATAAATATTTGTAGTATTAGATTTATTAAAAATTTATTTTTAATAAACTTAAATTGTATATTGTATAATAAATTTGTAAATAATATGTTATATTTTATTATTAATTTAAGCATACTCAGTAATAATTATAATATAATATACACAGATTCAACAACCGTTACGTATTATGTTCTATTGCTGCATAAAATGTTTGAATAATATTATTTTATCCTAGCCTAAATATATAATTAATGTGGTAACATTAGGATTACAAGGTGTGAACATATACTGAAATATAACGTTACCATATGGGTACGTGAGGACTGAATGAGTTAAAAACATGGTATTTTTGTGTTAAAATGTTCGAATTTATATTTTCAATGTTAAATTGTTATAACTTTTTGAAAAGTGTATGGATCAACACAAATTTTTGCTTCTAAATACATTATATATACCTCTTTCATCTGACATACTTTTATTTTAAATCCAACAATTCCCGCTTATACAGGGATCGTTAAAAACTTAAAAAATACATATAAAAAGTAGAACATTTTCCTCGCAACTTTTTAAAATGTTCCGGTAATACTGCGTCTTTTAAATATTTATTAATTTAAAACTTATGTTACATACTATAAGTTAAAAAAAATGTACCGACGATCTATCTTCTATGTGCAAATGGCAGTGGAAGTTGAACAAAAAATAGGAGTTAATTTTGCTTTTGGAATAATCCACCAATTTCTTAAAATTAAACACTGTCTACAGATTTGTATTGAAGAAAAGTGTCAAAAATTATTGATTTTTAAAATAGTAATTTTTTTGGAGATTTCCTCCATTTACGGGGAACGAGGGAATTTTTTTCAATTTTTGAGGGTAATATCTTCGACTAGATTGTGATCTTTTGACGCATTGTTCATCAAATCGGTCCAGCGAGAGCTGAGATTAAGCGTTCACAGACAAAAAAAACACATTAGTAAAATTAACACCGAACCTAAAAAATGGAACACAAAAATAGCATGTTTTTTAACCATAGCAGCCATTTGCACATAGAAGATAAGTCGTAGGGACAATTTTTTTTTTAACTTATAGTATGTAACATAAAGTTTATTTTAACATAAATTTGATACTCGTAGTATTTCCGGAGCATTTTCAAAAATTAATTTGTAAAAGTTCATTTTTGTGCAAAAATTGAAATTTTAAATCTCCTTTATAGGCAAAGAGGTGAGGTTTTCAAAAAATTATATCAGATAATAGGAAAATATATAAGGTAACAACTAGGTACAACTAAAATAACAATTTTGAGAGTGCTAAATTAATTAACCCATTTTTTATACAATAAATAATTTTATATAACATAAATAAATATGTGTATAACTTAAAATTTGTAGAGAAGTTAGAACCTCCTAATTGGTTATTCTAATCAGTCACGTAGTTAGCTCTGTGATGGTGTCACGTTACCATTATTGTGAGAATTTATTATAATAAAATACAGACATCGCATCCGTTTCCTGAGACTGATGAATCAACAGTTAACATTTATTGCTAAATTGACAATAGTCGAAATTATTATAAAAACCCAAAAGAACTGGCCATCTTGGTCAGTCGACTCCAATGCTTTGTGTCATTCATCAGTCTCAATACTCGGTTGTCGCTGTCCGGCTTAGTGCTTAAAGTAAAGTCTTTGTTTTTTCCTTTTTAACCTATCTACTCTCTTTCTCAACATTTCAGAGTACTTGTGTTTTGCAATTCGTTTGCATCTCGTACTTTGTTATATTCCTTACTTGGTACTCCCAGTATTTGTGTCTTGTACTTCGTCTGCACCTCATACCTAGGTGTTACTCTTATTCCCCTCCTATAACAATAGCCTTTCGACACCCACAGCTAACCCGGAGTGTCAGCCGAGCACGGTGACTGCTGTATGACAACACGCACGTGAATACCTAAACAGCAGGCTCCTCCTCATAATCATCATCTTCATACGCTTTACTTGCTGTTTTGTGTTACAAGAGCTTTGTGGTGCCCTTAAGCTAAATTATTCTATCCCCCCTCAATGTTTAATATCCGATATTTCGTTTACGTTCAATATAATTATTAAATAATATTTATTGCACTATAAATGAATAATTTTCTTAGCTATCAATATTAATAATCATTTTTTTAAGACAATTTTTATTTTTGTTAAAATTATACATACATTATCTTGTGAATACGAAAAAAGTTATTTTAAATTGTTACATTTACATGGAAAACATAATACATTGTTTTATAATTAAATTTAAAAATAATTTTGAACTTATAATACCAAAAAATGATATTATTATTCAACAGCCTACCCCACTGATGGTACCTTCTACAAGATATATTTAAATTATGCAGTTCCCAAAGCATTATTATCACAGACTACATGAAAATTTTCATGTAGTCTGTGTTATTATTAACGATTATTAGGTTCGCTAATACCACAGATAAGATTAAACTACTTATTTGTGTTAATAGTAAGATAAAATTTAAGTATGATTTTAATCTCATTTAAGATCACAGATATGATATTCTTATCTTATCTTTATACAATGTTTATTCAAAGTGTTATCACAAGTTAATTTTTTCGATGAAGAATGATATCAAATTCAAAAGTACTCGAAAACAATATTTTAATTGTTACAATTTTGAAAAGTACCTTATTTTAACAATGTAATTCTATTATCATTATGTTTTAACGTTAGGAGTACGTTCAAGATAATTTTTTTAATGCTCTCTCTATTTAATTACAATTATTTTTTAGTGATAAATTTTAATGTTCCTGTTTTTTTTGTTATACTATGAATGAAATTGAATAGACACTGTAATGAATTTCAAAAAGAGATTTATCTTTTTACTAATTTTTATAATAATTATTTTATGTTTCCTTGTATATTTTTTGTTTGATAATGAAGCTAGACATGTATGTGGTATTACCAAATATGTTAACTAGTATAAAATTATAATTGAGTACTTATCGAGTAAATGTTATATTTCAGCCTCATGAAATTAGAAACAAATCATTTTTTCACACTCAAAAAGTTAAAAATATTTTGGATGGAGAAAATTTGGCTAGAAATGATCTTCCACCTAAAAATATACTTGATGATATTAACATTGAAATGTTACAAACACCCAACAAATTAATGGTATAATATTTCAGTAATCTATACAATCATTTCTTAAATACATTTAATTAATTACCTATTAATCTAATTTTTTCTTTAGGATTTTCCAAATAGTAGTTATAATAAAACTAATGAATATATAATTTCATCTAATGAAACTTGTGTACCGAATATTAATGTGAGTAATAAAATAGATTTTAAAATGTTTCTAAAAATACATAAAACGCTGTTTTACAAATATAAAATAAAAACTTTTTTTTTTTTACTTTAATCATTGACTTTCATGGATATGTAATTATTTAATTGAAATATTGTAGAAGTTTTGGTAGTACAGAGTTCTTTTGTTCTTTAAAGATAAAGAATTGACAATAGCAAAAGATTTTTACTTGTCTGTTATGATTTTGTGTATGATAAAATTTCCTGTGTCCTTAATCTTAGTACATAACATAAATAATAAATTTATAGAAATGAAATTAAGTATTGATATTTATCTAATTATTTTTAATGATTCAAACTTGGTTATATAATACTTCTAGTTAGTATAAGACTAAAGGTTGAAATAAGGAAGGACTAAAAACTATTATTTTTAAAGAATCGATTCCAGTTAAATTTTATAGTTAATTTACTTTACATAGTTATACTATGTTCTTATAAAATGTTATGATCTTTACTCGTATAAAATACTTAAATTAGTTTTTTCAAATCATTCAGAGTGATAAATATTGTTTGTAGATGTTAAAGTTGTATGATTCAATACCATTTGACAATATTGATGGAGGAGCATGGAAGCAAGGATGGAATATTGATGTAAATAATGATCGATGGAATGAAAATAATAGGTTAAGAGTATTTGTGGTTCCACATTCACATAATGATCCTGGGTGGAAACGTACATTTGAAGATTATTATCGTCTTGAAACCAAAAATATATTAAATAATATGGTGATAAAATTAATTGAGGATTATAGACGAAAATTTATATGGGCAGAAATATCATATTTTTCACTCTGGTGGAAAGATATAAATCAAGATACAAAAAATAAAGTCAAAATGTAAATTTGAGTTTTTAACATATTATTTCATAATATAAAATAATAAAACAAAATCATAATTTAAAAAAAAAAATTAGTTTTTTACCTAAAAACTATCTATTTTTTACATAATAAATAATATAAAACTTTTAAAATATAGTAGTAAAATTACAAGGGAATTTATACAGGCTCATGGCTTTGTACATTTCATTTTTTTGGTCATACATCTTATAATAGTAACTTATTATCATTGTTACTTAGAAATTTTCGTATGATAAAATAGATGTCAATTTGTCTCTAAAAATGTCTTAGATAATGTATTTTATATTCGGTTATTAAAGAGATATATCTTGTTATAATTAGAATTGATAAATTTATAATTTTTTGCACATAAATCTATGACATTATAATCCTAAATTTAATCCCTCATAATTCAATAATAGAAGGTTTAAATAAAATATTCCCTGATATTTTCTATTTTTTTTTCTAATACTTAAAAATTAACAAATGTTAAAACTTTAATTACTAGAAACACAATAATTTTATTTTAAAATTTCAATCTAAAAATTTGCAAATAGGTCATTCCAATCTATTTTCTTCTTTTGAATCTAAATATGATAATATTATTACATATTTTAATTATCTTTTTTTGGTTAATTATTTTAACTTTAGTCACTCAATTTCTTCTAAAATAGTAATATGGAAATTATTTTTCTGTTTTTATTTAGTTCATTATGTACACTTCTAAATTTATCAACTATAAAGATCTTATTATGTCTATAGCTTATATATTATAAAATGATTTTATTGAAAAAATAACTTTTCTATCAGCATTTTAGAATTATTATTAATATTTTTAAATGTTAACTAAGGAAGTGGCGTAGGTTATGACTATTTTAATTATTAGACATTACTACAGAGCACTTGTATGCATATATAAGTTGGAAAGTGATTCGAAAAAGTATTCTTAATATAGTTAATAATTTAGGAAAAAATTAATGACTAATGTTAAATAGTAATAGTTCATTAGGGTAGCATTTTAATAATTCTTATAATTTTATTCAAATAACATTTTATATAATTTTTTTTTTAGTACACATATTATTATTTTACTTCTAATAACTTTTTATATAATTGACTATAACATTAAATATGGTATTTTAAATGGTAGATTTAAATAAACGTTATTACATAACTTTCATACTTTTTTTTTCAAGGTTGATCAATAATAATCAACTGGAAATTGTTACTGGTGGATGGGTAATGACAGATGAAGCAAATGCACATTATACATCTATGATTACTGAACTAGTTAATGGACATCAATGGCTAAAAGAAAATTTAAATATTACAGCCAAGTAATTTTAATAATTAATAGTTTTTATTTCCTATCTAAGTGCAAAATTTTCTTAAACGTACTAAATAAAATTTATTTATTTAGTTTTAAATGAATTTATTACTATTATATTTTATTTTTTTTTTATGATGTAAACAGATAATTAATTAAATACAAATATTATACAGATGATCAGTTTATCATAAATCACTTAATTAACCATAAAATAAATACAATATTGGAAAAAAAATTTTTATTTCTTTTAGTTACATTTATTTTTTAATTTTTTAGATATAAATTACTTTATAGAATCATCCCTTGTAACTTAAAGTATCAACTTTATTTTTTTAAATGGGAACATACATATTTAACAAACTTATAATATAGAAAATAATTGAATTAAAAAAATGACTGGTCAATAACAGCATTTGAACTAGTATTTCAGAAATTATTATCAATTTAAAGTAATGACTGGAGTTGAAGAGTGGGTGCTGCTATTTTTATCACTAGACATTTCATCATCAGAACATACTCTTTGTCTAAGTATAAAAATGAGAATAATCCCCAAAGTGATCATAGTATTTGATTATTTAATAACTAATTTAAATATTTATATAAATATACTGGCACAATAATACTACTTAATGTTTTTTTACTACAGATATAGTTGGTGTATTGATCCATTTGGTGTTTCTCCTACTATGCCTTACATTCTAAAGCGTATGCAATTATCTGGTTTAGTTATCCAGCGTACACATTATGCCATTAAAAAGTATCTTGCTAGAAACAAAAAATTAGAGTTTCAATGGAGACAACATTGGGGTAAATATTTTGTATTTGAATGATTGAATTTAACCATTAAAAACTATTTAACAAAAATAAGATAAAAAGTAAATATATTCATAATAACAACTTTTAGCTTTGATGCATAGCTGAGAAGGTATTAATTTTACTATCATGTATTTTTTTTTTTTGTGTCTGCACCACTTTTTCTCTGCTCTCACCGAACCGATTTCTTTCAACGATATATTAAAAGATCAAAAAGTGTATCTAGTCGAAAACATTACCCTCAAAAATTTCCCTTATTCGCCGTAAACAGGGAAAATCTCCAAAAAAATTATACATTTAAAATTGCTAATTTTCGAAAAAAATTTTTACTTAAAACTGTTACAACTTTTTTTAAAAATGACCAAATTAATTTTTTTTTATAGATGCATGATTTCATTATCTAACATTTGTTGTATTTATTTTTAAAGCTTTTTTAATGAAATTTTAAAAGAGGTGTAACAAAACGAAAAAAAATGGAACAAATTTTTAAAAATTTTGCCATATTTGGATTAAAAATACAATTTTTTATAGAAGAAAAATATTGAAAAGTCTTAATTTCTTAATCACATAGTATGTTTGAAGATCTTTTATTTAATATAAGCTTTGATTTGTCTGACATTCCAAAAATATTCTCAAAATCAAAAATAAAGTAATTTTTCTTTTAATTTTGAATTTGTTTAATATGATAATACAATATAAATGCTTTATTTTGTATAGCTTGAAATCTGTCAAATGTTTTTGGAAAATTTTCAAGTTGAGTTAAAATATTATAAAAATTGTTTATATATGTGAGTGGTGTCCTTCACAACCTTTTTATACTTAAGTTTTTCATTATTCTCTTTAAAAAAAGCATATAAAAAAAAATTATATTGTTTCTAGAATTGCTGTGATAAATTTCATTAGGAACAGTGTTTTAAAAAAAAAGTTATTACAATTTTAAAATACAGAAAATTTTTTTTTTTAATGGCTATTTTTACATTAATATAATTTTTCTAAATTAACAATATTTAGGCCTTTTTTTTAATGCTGATAGGTAAACTGGATTAAAATCAGGTTCTTTTGAGTCATAGACCAATAAAATTGGTTTAGTGAAAAATAAGAACTTTTTCATAGATAGATGCTAAAAAAAAAACACATCATGGTAAAACAAATATTACTGCAGCTTGACATAAAGGCTAAAATATGTTTTAAATGAATATAAAATTGTTAACTGTTGTATTTAATATTTTTATATTATATTTTTTTTAGATAATGAGTGCAGTAATGATAATGTCATGTTTACCCATATGATGCCATTTTATAACTATGATATACCACATACATGTGGTCCTGACCCTAGTATATGTTGTCAATTTGATTTTAAAAGATTACCTGGGTTTGGAATATCTTGTCCTTGGAAACTTTATCCTGTTCCTATTACTCAAATGAATGTTAAATCCAAGTAAAATAATTTAATTGAAAAATATATTTTTTTATAAATTAATTAACATTTATTCATTTATTTATATATATTTTTTATAGAGCATTGTTATTGTTAGATCAGTACAAGAAAAAAGCTGAGTTGTATAAAACAAACATTTTATTAATACCTCTTGGTGATGACTTTCGTTATACATCATCTCGAGAATGGGATTTTCAGATGAATAATTATCAAAAAATATTTGATTATTTGAATAAATATAGTAATACTCTTCATGTAGAAGTCAGTTTTTTTCAATCATTTATTTTTATATAATATAACTTAATCAAACATTTCATTAATAGGCATCATTTGGTACATTAAAAGATTATTTTGAAGCTGTAAAAAGTTCATCAAATATTAACAATTTTCCATCTCTTGTTGGAGATTTTTTTACTTATGCAGATAAAGATAAAGATTATTGGAGTGGTTATTTTACTTCACGTCCTTTTTATAAGAGTATGGACCGTGAACTTGTGTCAACCTTAAGGTAATTAAATTTAAAAATAGTTGAAGAATTTTTTTGTATTTCTTTAGAATTATTTACATTTTTTATTACATAAAATATTGTTTTTTTACTTTTAATTAATAATTATTCATAATCATTTTAGAGCAACAGAAATTTTGTATTCATTAGTGTGGTTAAGTACTCCTTCCGATATGACTGAATGGTTGTGGCAACCTAGATTTAAATTATACAACAATTTACAAATGGCAAGAGATGCTCATAGTTTGTTTCAACACCATGATGGAATCACTGGAACAGCAAAAGATTCTGTAGTTAATGATTATGCTAAAAAGTAATTGATTTTTTTAGTGTTTGCTCCAGCAAAATTTGCTATGCTATTCTTTTCTAAACTACATTTTTTTATATTTTAGGATGTTAGATGCATTAGATAACCTGCATCATATAATTCAACATTGTTTATATTTTTTATTACATCCAGAAAAGGTAATTGTTAATACATTTTATACGTGTGCAAACATTTTTTAGTGAAAATCTTAATTATAACAATATCATACTTCACAATTTTCTTATATATTTGTCCATATTTTTATTATCATTTATGTAATTAATAATATTTACTTATTGCAGGATAAGTATAACTTTGATTTTGATCAAGTATACTTCAAAGCAGATAGTTCAAGAGTTAATACTTATTCACTAAGCCAACCTCATTTAATATTATTTGAGAATAATATATATACTAAAAATATTGTAGTATTTAATTCCCTAACATATTTTAGAGAAGAAATTATTACTTTAACTACCAATAGTGATAATGTTAAGGTATTTTAATGTTCTCGTTATTATTTAAAAATAATTCCATTTTTTTTTTTTTTTTTTTGTAATGAAATAATATTTTAATTTATAGATACTAGATTCTGATGGAAAAATTATTGCTTATCAATTAGACATTACTTGTCAACTACAGTATCCAGAACTTAACACATTATCATGTTTTCAAATACACTTCAGTGTTGTTCTTGAGCCATTAGAAATAAAAAAATTTACCATCATCAGTATGCCTGCTGATATTAAAACAGAGTATTATATATTTATATTATGTCATTCTAAAAATAATTTTGAATTTAAACTTATTATTTAAAAATTTATGTAACTCATAATTAGTTAAAGAATAAGTTATCAATTGAAAATTATTTTTATGGGTAGATTTTAGATCATTTTTAATTTGTTTAGAAAATGATACGTGTCCATGTAGTATATTAAATAAGTAAAGAATAGACATTTCATCTAACCATTCACTTTACACTTTTATTACTTATAAATAATAATTTAAAACAAATATAAAAATTAGTAAATAAGATTCAGTGATAATTTAATACAATGAAAGCTATTTGAGTACTTCTGAGTGTTCTTAATTTGACTGTTTAACCACGTGTTGTTTAATAATAGTAATGGTAGTCATATACAACAGAAAAACTGAGTAAGTATATAAAATTTTAGAAAAAGGAAATTGTATATACACTTCCATTTCCTCGTTATAGTAATTAAAATAGATACTCTGGCAATATATAAAACCCTAATTATAATAAAAGTATTTAAAAAAATTCATATTGAAGACATTACTTTGATTAACATGATTTAAATGTTATTTATCAATTGTAATTTTTAAAAAAATGTATTTCACATAATTTTATTATTAGACTTATTTTGTTTATCAAATGAGTGGTTCATTACTGAATGATTTTTTACTTTTTATGATAATGTATTGTAGTAAAATATTGTTTTCAGAAAATATAAATCAGTCATAAATGTCTATAATTTTGATAATATGACAAAATTGCACCATGACATAAATGTTAAAAACGAAAAATTTCAAAAGATTTACATTGAAAATGAGCAATTAGTAGTAGCATTTGATTCTCATGGATTGTTAAAAGACATTACTCTTAAGTCTTCTGGTAATTCATATCCAGTTTCTTTAAAATTTGTTAGGTAATTTTCTAAATTTTATAGTTAGCAATATAAATATAATTGTTTAACTTTTTATTATTAATTACTAAGATATGATGTAGCAAATGGACCAGATATGAGTGGTGCTTACTTATTTATACCATCAAGAGAAGCTGAAGATGCTCATATTACAGAAAAGCCAAAAATATCTGTTATTAAAGGAAAAATTTTGTCTCAAGTAATAGTTCAATATAGTAATGTGAGACATGCTGTTGTCTTAAAGAATTTAAAAGGTGAAGATTTTTTTTTTTTATAATTTAAAATACTGGATCTTTTTCTTTTTAATTTTTCAACAAATGTCGAAATTTCTCAATTGTAAAAAAAACCTCAGATAAAGATAAATGTAAATGTTAATATAAATACGCACAATAATGCCTAAATAATAACTGCAATGGCATTGCCCGAGAGAAATAAAAAAAAGAAATTTAAATAAAATTTAAATAGAACTAGATGGTTTGATCATGTTATGAGAAGAGAAGAATCGGAAGCTGTAAGAAAAGTTACAGAAATTAATGTTGAAAAAAGAAGAAGTAGAAAAAAAAGAGATGGAGGAATGTAATTGAATGCGATATGAGAACAGCTGATGTGAGCGTAAATGATGTGGAAATCGTGTCAAGTGGAAGTTTAGGATAAGAGTGGCCAACCCCAACTAGTTGGGATTAAGGCGAGGAAGAAAAAGAAGAAGATATATGAATTTAAAATTAAACAAAAGAGATGAAATACAACTTATGATTTTAGTAATATATATAAAAGTAATTTTTGATGTACGACACATGAAACGGTAGATAGCGTAAGTTCGCGTAGGACGTAAAAAACAAGAGAGAGCGTTCACTGATGGCGCTCGGCAAGCAGGTCGGCGGGCGGCAGTGACGACAGGATNTTTTTTTTTTTTTTTTTTTTTTTTTTTTTTTTCCGCCCCCCCCCCCCCCCCCCCCCCCCCCCGCCTCTGCACCCTGAGCAGGGCTTCACGGTTTTTGGACGAATATTCAAGAGTATTCGCCCAAACCGGGGACCCATACAGGAGGACCGAGTGTACGACGCTGACTAAAAGTATGCGCCGTATCTCTCTCAGCCCTCCCAGATTGGGCATGAGTCCCGCCAGGCAATTCATAACTTTCTGGGCCCGCTGGGCCGCACGAGTAATGTGCGGCCCGAACTTTAGACATTTGTCTATGACAAGGCCCAGATAAGTCATGAAGTCCTTAAGCGGGATCTCCACCCCCAGCACGGCGAGCCGTGGAGGAGAGAACTTGTACCTGCCCGTGAACAAGACCGAAGCGGTCTTGTTCAGGGCGAGGCTCAGTCCACTCCCCTCCTGCTGGATCCAGGCGGTGACTGCGCTGAGCGCGCAGTTCGCACGAGATCCAGTCTCCTTGGACGAGGCGCCTTCCGCCACCACCAGCGTGTCGTCCGCGTAGCAGACGACACGCACGTGCGGTGGTAGCGGAACGCGGAACACCGCGTCGTTCGCGATGTTCCATAGCAGAGGCCCGAGAACTGACCCTTGCGGGACGCCTCCCGTAACAGGTCTGATTCTCGGGCCTGCGGCGCTCTCGTAAGAGATGACCCGATCGCTAAAGTACGATCGGATCATCCGCCCGAGGAGACTTTGCACCCTAGGTAGATAGCGGAGGTACTCTAATCAGGCTGGGCTAACGATGTAATAAGGTGGCTAATGAAAGAGACGAGGTGACCGTATATTAAACGTATCGCAAAATATACGGTACCGTGTCAATGTATAATCAGTAAAAAAACATTACAGTGGGGATCTAGAACTTGGGAAGAGTATGAGCTCTTTATTTAAAAATGGATGTTTTTGTACTGAGTGCAATACATATAGCGTATCTCTATGCTCAAATATTGGTTGTATAACATCTTCTTAATATAATGGCACTATTATATAAAAAAATATTTTATAATACTGAATGTCACAAATTTTAAAAATTAAAAAAGGTTTGATTTTTTTTGCTTTTGATAAACAAACTTCCTTAGAGGACAATTGTTGGGAACAATTTTTTTTATAGTTAGTAATAAAGATGAATCTTATTACTAATCTTAAGCAAAAAATTTTTTCTTTTTTTTTTTAACTGTTGCCTGTTTTTTTTATAGCAGCTTCACATTTATGATTCCACTATTGTATGGTATCTTTTGCTTGTCTATATTATCTTACCAATTGTCTTTGAAGGTATATGTTACAAATGATTATGATTACTTTTACATTGAGTGTGATGGCTTCAACTCTTATGGTTGACTTTATTTTTATTTCTTTTGTGATCATCCTGTTTCATCATCGTTTTATTAAATATTTTTTAATTGTTGCTATTTTATCTGTCATTGTTTTTATTGAAATATTGTGTTCTATCATGTTATTAGGATCTTAGTTGCTGTTTTCATATTTTCCTTAGTGTCTTTGAATTGAGTGTAATTCAGAATTATTTAAAAAAAAATTTAGTTTAAAACGTTGTAAATAAATAAAATGGAGAATGGACACTGAATCTGGCCACAAATTTTGCCAAATTCAAATTATCACAAGTTCTTGTAGAAAACTTTAGGTATGTTAAGTTAAAACAGTGTGTGGAATAATTACTGGTGAAATTATTAATGGTATAATACACTTGAAGGTATCATGTATTTTAATTACGCAACAATACTAACTTGCGACATAGAACAATTTTTTTCCTATTTTAAATCTATGTTATGTGATAATTGTAGTTATCATAATCGCAGAAGTTTTCAAGTTGAACAACTAAAAACACATTTTGTTACTTCAAAATTAATTTCATTAATTATAATTAATAATTCACTAGTTTCAAAATAATTTTTTACATTTTTTCAATAAATCTATAGGTGATAGTTTGCCAAATATGTAAATAAAAGTTAACTGTTATTTTAATCAACTTATTTTTATGTCATGTAATTATTGTATAGTATTTGATTTATTACTTAGAATACAGTAATTTTTTTTAGATACTTAATACACGTGTTTATTTGCAACATTTTTTGTGTATATTTTAGTTTCCTAGATTTATTTGGATAGATTTTCTATTATTTTCATTGTTTGATTTTGTGGTTGTTAAGATAATAAGTGATTGATTTGATGTGAGTCTATTTAAATGTAGTAGATTGTTGGGGTCTTCAGTGTTTCTTGTATAGTTTATGGGTTGGTTGTTATCAGTCATTGGTCATTTCCAGTGTCATGATTTTTCAATGTCTTCTATTTGGGCAAAATATGTATGATTTGTGTATCTTTTGCTTGTTTATTTGAAAGAGAAGAATTAGGATGTATGTCCAGAGTTTTTACATAGAAAGCAATTTGTTTGGTCGTTTGTTAGGAATATATGTTAATTAAAATTTTTGAAATTGATAAAAATTAAAACAGGTAACTTGTTTTTGTCTTCTGTTGGTCTATAAAAAAGATATATAACTTTTGTAGGATTGATATTATATTCTTTAAGTACTATACCTATAATACTTTCCTTAATTCCTAGCAAATGATTAAATAATATAATTATTTTGTGTAATAATTTTTACTGGCAGGGTCAATATTATTTTAACCCCTCCCTCCCTTCCTTCAATACCTTGCGCCAGCAATGAAACCAACTATGTACAACATTTTTGTTATTTTATACTAAAATAAATTAACATTGAATACTCATTAATTAGGTATAAAGTATATTGAAATCAAAAATTTAGTGGATATCAGGCATCAAATGAATTATGAATTAGCAATGAGAGTTACATCAGAAATAGATAATAATAATATTTTTTATACTGACTTAAATGGATTTCAAGTAAAAAATATTTGTAGAACCTTAATTTTATAATGCACAAGTTTATTTAATTTTTAATTTTTATAGATTATTAAGAGAAAATATTTTGAAAAACTTCCGATCCAAGGAAACTTTTATCCTATGTCAAGCGCTATGTACATTGAAGATAATATAGCCAGAATATCTTTATTATCAACTCAACCATTGGGTGCATCATCATTAAAAAGTGGTCAAATGGAGGTATATTAATTTATTTAATTTTTCTTCATTGTATGCCTCTACTGGCTAGGTTATTAGTATTTTATATTTTTATAAAAATTACTATTACAGTGTTTACAATTTTATTATTGTTTAAGATTTCTTAATATTTAATACAATTTTTTTAACATCATTAAATTATGAAATTTTTTATTTTATTTATAACCCTTAAAATTGCAAGTTATAATGAAATATAAAATATTTATTAATAATATTACAAACTCCAATTTTTGAGATAAAATTGACCCTAACCCCACCTTTTAATTTTAAATTCTAACTCAAATCGAACTGCACTATCAATTTTTTAATTAAATCTTAACCAAACCATACATTACTTTTAATCATTTTTAGGAAAATCATTTTTTATATAACAAACAATTTGTCAAATTTAGCATGATAATTGATAATACTAGTTTAGATTTTCAAACTAATTTACAAAAAAAAGTTCAGTTTGATTTTTAAACTGAACTAATCATTTCAAGTTTACTTCAGTTGAAACATTAAATTTAGTAGCAACTTAAAAAAAATAGATTACTTCTATCTGTAAAACTTAAAAAATATTATGTATAATTTAAATATTTATCAAAAATTACTCATTGTCATAGGTCATTCAAGATCGGAGATTAAGTCATGATGATAATCGTGGATTAGGACAAGGAGTTTTAGATAATGTTCCAACCCAAACATTATTTAGATTACTTATTGAAGAACGCATTAATGATTGCAAAGTAAAATAATTTATTTAATTAATAATATTATTTTAATTTAATGATATGAATTATAATTTTTTAGATTGAGAACCCATATCTGACAGAAGATGGAATGATTTCTATGTCTTCATTACTTTATCCTCCTATATGGTTTTCAGGGATAAATCACCAATTGAAAAATAATTATAACATATTTTCTTATCTATTTCCAAGCAATCTACATTTAGTTTCATTAACTTTATTAGTTCAGGAATTAAAACCTACTTCTGGTTTGATTTTGCATAGAGTTCAAAATACTAAATGTTTTGGTTCTAAAAATACCAAAAACCATTCAAATGAGGTATGTCATTAATTTTTAAAATTATTATTTTATAAGGCACATTAAATATGTTCAATTTACAAAAATGGTCATCTAAATTTTAGATTTATTTAAAATCAATACAAGCTCTGTCACCTGAGATTAATATTTTTGAATCTTCACTGTCATTTGTTCATGTTGGTTCTAAAATAGACGTACAAAAACCACAATATATCAAACCTATGGAATTAAAAGGATACTTACTGATTAAATGAAAAATCACATGAAGCATTTTGTACAAAATTAAATAAATTTGTTCTGTTTTGATTTTATGCACAATAAAAACATTAAAAACACCTAGTTAAAGGTATTAATTGTTCTTTTTTACTAATTAACTATTTGTTATACTTTATATTTACTACATTAAACATATAATTATATTGTAGTAAATGAAATTATATTTAAAATGTATATTAAATTATACAATTTTTTAAATTAATTTCCATTGTTTTAATATTTAAATGTTTTTTTCTATTATAATTAACACTATGATTATGAATTGCGTAATGGTAATTTAAAATATAAATATTTTTACTATTTAAATGATAAAAATTTGAAAAATTTCACTTAATAAACATAATTGGATGAAATTCGGGAGTAATAAAAATATTTGTTAAGCTTATATATTCTTACATTTACAGCAATATTAAGATGAAATTATAAAATAAAAATATTAATCAAATATTTATTAACTTATTTAAAAATATATACATTTTTTTGAAAGAGTGCTATTGAAATTTCCTTTTCAAAACTTGTGGACTTACTTTTATGAGAACAGGCACAAATAATTTTTTTTTAACTTATAGAAGATATAAAAAACGAAAAATTTTTACTCACAGATATATTTGATTGATCAAATTCTAACAGAATTTTATTGATAGTAATTAGTGTGAGCAATCTACATTGAGGAGTTAATGTTTTAACTAAAAACTGAGCACCAATTAAAAATCTTATGGCTTGCTTTGCATGCATTTATGATTATTTTAATTTAGATATTATTCAAGTGTATTAACCTATTTCTTCAATGTGATAGTTTATTGAACATAAATAAATAAAATAAAATTGTTAATGTTGATTTAATGCCGAAACGTAATGATAGCTATTTTGGTAAGTATTCTTTTCAATTTAATTATTTCTGCTATTTAAAGTATAACTATATGATTTTAACTATTTGATTATCAAAAAATTAAGATAACAATATTTAAAAAAGAGTATTATCTGTTGTTTATTAAAAACTAGTATGTGTAGTATATTGGTATATTAAGTTTTTATGGTTCAGAAATTTGATTTATATTGAGCGCCATTAAAATTTTAAATTTGTTATTATTATTATATTACAAAATTGCCAATTTTAACACATCAATTTTTGACAAATAGCTATAGAATTTAAAAAACCTTTAAGGAATAGCCAACTCACTTATAATCTCTTATGGTATCTAGAATTTTTTTTTTTTTTAAACAATCTATAATTATACCTAAAGATTTAACGAATTACTTTAAAATATAATAAGAAAAAACTAAAGAGAATTCTATTAGAAATTTTATATTTAATTTAATAAATACATAATACAATGAAAAATAAACCATTTTTATTAATTTCTATTTTTTAATAACCAATATTACTTTTTTATTAAATAAATAAATCTGAAAAATAAATTTATCATATGTTTGAATACTTGCATAATATACAAAAATTTTTTTTAATCTAAAACATTTGTGAGTAATTGAAATTTAAAGTATCATCTTTAAATTCATTCTCACATAAAAATGTTAAAAATATTTTATTTATTTATTATATGTTAAAAATTAAGTGTTTTAATCAGCAAAACTTGATTTTTAAGAAAAAAAAGTTAGTATAAAAGTTTTTAAAAAAATAAAGAAAGTACAGTATAAATTTTGGGAATAGTCATAATAAATAAGTAAAAAATATTTTTAAAAAAATGTATAAATGTATAAAATATGATAAACTATGAATATAAAATTATAAATAAATCTTAACATAAAATAATATTTATTATTATTAATTTTATAATAAAATAATATCATATTTAATTACAGTTTTTCAACCAGTCTCCCTACATTTTTAAATATAAAAGTAAAAATAATAAAATTTAAAAAATGAGCTCTTTGGAAGACTAGAAACTAATTTTATAATTTTATAATTTTATATTAAATGTAAATTGTATATTTTTATTTACATCAAAAATCTATTCAACAAATAAATGATAAACCATTATTTTCTTAAAAACAGTTGTAAATATTTTTAATGGGGGATATACATACTTGAGATAGCAAATACAAATTCTTTATTATTAATTGTATTTTATTTGTAGATTAATGAATTATGTTAAATACTAAAAACTTTCATGTAAAAATTCTATGTACTTATAGTTTTGATATAATGTAAAAAATTTTATTAAGTATAATTGTTTTCCATAAGAAAAAAATAACTCATCACTTTTGAAATCTTATTTAAACATAGTAATGATAGTATTTAAACTAAAATACCAGAAAGTGATAACTACATATTTAATTTTATGATTAAAATTAATATATTTTTTAGTAATCATATAAGTAATGATTAATATATTTTTACAATAGATTAAAAAGTTAATATAAATAGATATAAAAAATCCCAATTCTATGTACATAATGTACACAACTCGTACATAGTGTAATTTAGATATGATTTATATTTTAATTAGTTTTTATAAAGATAAAATAAAATGTTTCTTTTAATTATAGAATTGTTAAATGTCATTTAATACCTATAAAGTAGTATTTTTAACTTACTAAATATTACAATAAGATAAGTGTGCATAGAAGTTAATTAAAGAAGTATACATAAAAAAGTATATTTTTAAAATATTATGGTCATTTAAAATTTTTAGTTTGTATGATAATAATTCTATCTACACTACTTTATCACATAAATGTGTGTGTATATATATAAATTATAAAGATCAATGAAATTGTTATTTTATGTCATTAATACTCCCAGTTAGTAGCATTATTAAAATCGCTATCTCCTAGTTTAAACATCCCATTTTTACCAGCAGACAAATAATAACCTGATACACTTTTTATACAAATTCTAGTTGGTTCTCTTAGCTCCAAAAAAAATCCTTCAGGTATATCTGTTTCAACTGATACTCCTTCGTCATCTGCATGCCAGTATTTATTTAATTGGTCTAAGAACACAATTTGTTAAAATTTACAATAGAAAATAAAATATTCAAAACAAATTTACTTTTGAAAAAAACTATTCCTCGATCAGAACGCTCTACTTGAATGGTTTCATAAGAAGCTTTGTTGCATTCTAAGCGTAAACTTGAAGAGGATTTATAGCCAACAAAGCCTTGTTCACATTTTAAAACCAAAATAGGTCTAGATAAAAGTGAATTTAATTAACATTATTTTTTATTAGAAAAAGTTTCTTCTATTAATATTTTATTATAAGAAATAAAATTACCTATTTATCAAGTAAAAAAAATACTTGCAGGCTTCATCAATAACATCAATATTAGCATATAGGTGTCCAGATCGTTTTGTTGACACATATTTACCATTATTTGCTCTAAAACATACAGAACCATCTCCTTGCCATGCTAGCTCAAATAAAGCATTTGAAGATCTAAAAAAAATATATATATACATATAATATAATAAAACACTCGGTGTTAAATTAAATTCAGTAAAAGTAAACATTTAAATATTGGATTGATTTCTGAGACTAATTAATTTATTAATTATATAAGTTTATTCCACTTATAAATACCATGAAATTTACATATCAACAAATATCATTTCATATGGCATTGATTTTCTGATTACACGAAGTGATTCATTAAAGATAACTAATTTTTTTGGAAACTATTGGTTTTACGTTTATAACATACAATAAAACTATAAATTTGACAAAAAATATTTTTAAAAAATGTGTAGAAGCACTTACTATATCATCATTAAAAAAATCTCATTTTTAATTTTTAAAATACACACTGTTGCAATATAAGCGACAATACTATAAAAACACCAAGTAATCAAAATTATGTACTATTTTAAAACTATGTTAATTTTATTTCGAAAGTTGTAACGTCACAAATTCAAAGATGGACCGTTTATAATTGTTCGTTAAGTTTACTTATCTATTTTATCGCGTGAAAGAACTTTTTTTTTGACACAGCAGTGTCAACAGCTCATTTTTGCCACTGACCGCTAGATAAGATGACAAAAGAGAATAAATATAATTAAAATCGAATTGTTTAGCGGTATTAATCCCTACCAAAAAGACTGGACTTTATCGATTTGAAAATTTCGTTATTTCGGTGTTGGCTCTTCTCCATCCTTTCTTCTGTCATTTACCGTGCTAGAAGGCACACGTTTGTTGTTTTCTTGTACTAATTTTATCAATGATGGAGTAGAGCCGCCAGACCATTGGATGAGTCTCTTAGGAAACCGGGTATCGTTTTCTTTTATATATTATATTTATGTAATGAGCTGTGTTTTATTACTTTATTTCATTTTTATTTTATTATAAATTAACCTAATTTTGTTTGTGTGTGAAGATCACGTGTTTCCTTTCTCTCCTAGCCAACGCTAAGGAGCAGGTGTCCAGACCGCTCCTGGTGTTTTTCATTAATTTCCTATTAACATTAACGAATGTGTTCCAATACCGTCCGTGATGTTTGTATTATTATTTTTTTGTTTAAATATTATATTATATTTTATTTTCGTTGCCTTTATTTGTAGACATGGTTTTTGATACATTAGTATTTTTGTCCATGTTTAACTTAATTTTCTTTTTTTTAACAATTAAATTAAATTTCCTTATTAGTTTTAACCGTAATATTCATTTTTTTGCGCGAGTAACTTAAATACTCGCGTGTATTTTATCCCTGTTCCTTAATCTAGACACGGGCTACTGTATATTTTATATATCAACCACATACAATTTCAATTATCATGGTTGTGGTTAATAAACCACGAGGTGTTATAATCATTATACATATAAAGACATAATAATTTAAATTAAATTCCACCTATGGTCCGATAATCATATCTGATAGGTGTGACACCTCGCCTAAGTGGTGGCGACCCTTGCTACCATAGCAAGTCGTTACGCAAGTGGCAAACCACGTTGTTGTTGTAGGCCGGCAAAAAGCCCACTTACGAAGTTAATGTCACATAGCACTATTTTCCAATTAGTTACTTAAGGAAATTATAATTCAATAAAAACATTATCACTTCATGTTTTTTAATCCGCCCTTAGAATATTTAAACCAAAAATTGAGTATGACTCCATAGATAGGCCTTAGTTAAATTTATAGAGCTAGTATTTTTACTATAAAAATAACTTATAACATAAAATATTTTCTAATAATTAGAAAATATTGTAACTACAATTATTGCTGTTACTCACTTTTTATCAGCTACAGCTTGAATTCCACCACCAGTTTCGAGAGTCCAGTATCTATCTTGCATTGTTCGTATATACCACCTTTTAGTAGAGGAATCAAACTCTAGTTGAAAAGTTTCATGATCTGATATTTCATCTTGATTAGCAGTTACATCAACACCTGTAAAATATTTCGCCTATTTATAATATAGAAATATAAAGAAAAAGGTATTTTTTTTATTTTTTAAGAATCGTAAATATTTTTTATTTAAAAAAGAAGTTTAATTGTAAAAATAAATAGGGTTTTGATTAATCTTTAATCTCACGTTAATGCTGAAAGATGATGGTTAATCCTAAACCTTTTATTTAGATTAATTTTCCTTGCTTAAATGTTTAATTTTATAAATAAAAAGCATTAAATATTTAGATTGCCTAATAAATTATTCTTGTCAGTAAATATTTAATAATACAACAAATCTACCAGAAATACTAACATTTTATTAACCCAATAGGTAACACAAAAGATCGTTTTAAATAAATATTTAAGATTTAAAACTACTCAAATGTTTACACAGTTCGTTTTCTATTTTTGTAATATCAATGACATAATATGAAATCATTATACATATACAAATTTAAATATATAATATTTGTAGGCCAGAAAAAAATTTTCTTTTAAACAGTGAGGGATTTTCATTTAAAATAAAAGGGAAGAATAATCTGTTCTGTCTCTATCCAATTAAACCAAAATTATAATAACTTAATAAATCTTAATAACTATTTAACGTCATGATTTTAAATATTAATTTAATTTGAAATATGTGTTTAGGAATAACACTAAAAAAATACCTCCACTCAAATTTTTTCAACAATAAAATAGTATAAAAGACTTGAAACAACTCCTGTGATACATGTCTTCAGGGCTATATTTAAAATTTTAAGACGGGGTGGCTATATAAATAAGATTAATTTTAGCTTAAATGAAAAAATAAATAACGAAAAATATTTCATATATTTAGGTATATTTTTGATAAATAATTTTAAATGGAATAACTTTTTAATGTATGTACTGCAGATAAAATACATAAAACACCAATGTTTTGCTATTAAAAGACACGTAATTAAATAAATTTACAGTTGATATGAGCCACAATTAACAAGTTGGTAAATAACAAAGCAATAGGACTTCAAGAGATTGAAAAATTTTACGTTGTACAAAAATGTTAAATGAACACAGCAATTCATCGTACACATAAAGAATATAAAGATACAAATAAATAATTAACCGTCCATTCCTTGTACGTACTTTTAAGTAAAGAAAAATACGTATCCTTCAGACCGTGTCAAATTAATACAACAATTATGAAAGAAAAAACTTAAGTTTATTCACCTGTGTTATAATTGGTTTAATCCTTAGACATCGTTAAATAAAACAACCTAACTGTTATTATTTATACTAATATGTAAAATTAAAACAATATTACTGGTCAAGTACTCATTACAATTATAAAAAAATCGAAAAGTATTACTTTGACTAAACAAGTATAAAAAACATCTCAGTAATGCTTCACAATCACACAAGAAACAAATTGATATTGTGTACGAAATTAGGGTCGTTTGTTTAAATACACATTAGAATAAGACAGATAAACGCATATATGCATTAATTCTGCAAATTATAATACTAGCACAGAATTAAATTATTCAAAGTGCAAAACACTTAAAAATCAAAGTCTAAATTAATTGATACTAACAGGAAATTAAATTTTCCATTCCAAATTAATACCATCTTTTACCTTTTTTTGGGTGTTTTATGTGCATTTTTAACCATCTAAAGGGAACTAAGAAAATTACTAACTCCGGATCAGTGACCATCCTCCGAATAGGAGGATATTAGGAATATAGATACCCCTTATAGATATACCTTTTTTGCCATTTTTGTACAATTTTCCTTGTAGAAATTTCATATTTTATAAACTATACATGATAATTTCATTATAATTCAATTTAAAGGTTATTGAGAATAACTAATATAAAATAATTACTAATCCTACAAACTTAAAATATTAAATTTTAAGTCTTACTTATTATAATATTATTATTACTTTTTCTTGATAAGAATAAATCCATTAATACATATCAAATAGTCTATAATAACATCTTGATGTAATATAAATAAAAAAAAGTTCTGAAGTAAAGGGAATAGATCCCATGATGGTTTTTATTATTAAAGTTTTACATTTTTTTCCATGGCAAAATCATTTGACCGCCATTGCCCCGGGTTGTTTTATTTAACTATAGAAACCATATTTTAACTATATAAAACGAATTGCAGTAGTTATTTAACACATAACATATACAAAACTAGCATTCGGTAAAATTCATTGGTAATTTTCATTAAACAATAAATACAAAATTCTAAAAATGTATAACCAGAAACATAGTTTTAACACATAATACAGTTTCTCTAATAAATTATATCATGCTGATAGTATTTTAAATCCACAAAATTTATTTAGTAATAGCTTATTTTATTCAATGTACTGAAAATACTATAATTATCGATAGTTATCACTTCATTACCATAATAATATTTTTATCAATAACTTTTGATAATTTGATATAATTCTATGATCATCGTATTGTTTTATTTTTGCCAATTTTCAACGAATAAGATAAAAAACATTAAACTATTCATTCACTGGTTAAGCCATCCTACTGCGTTAAAAATACAAATAGTATTTTCTATGTAAAACAGTTTATTTGTGTATGAAATACATACAATATCTGAATACATGATAATTAAACAATTCGGGATTATATAAACAAGTGTATTAAACTTAAAAAAAATATTCATCAGACTACATCCAGATTATTTATTAAGTTGATTCAGTAATCGCAGCCAAGTCATTTTATACAAATAGTTTCATTTAATTATTCACCGATATAAAAGATTGTATTTTTGCTATTGTCATTAAGAGGTATTATACTTTTATTATTCTATTGGTGTATCTAACACCAGTAGTACTTCCTCTCAGTAGCATAGTGTGTTATTATAATACAAAATAACTATCTTACAAATGAAAATTACTAGAGCTTCTTTAAATAAATTTTATTATTTGTCTAAACAATCAAGAGAGATTTTAGTAGTAATCATATTTAAACGCACAAAAAATATATCAATATATTATTTTAAATTATTTCAAAATTAATTTAAATAATAAAAGTCGATTTATAAATATATACAAGTTGTCAACTACGTATGAGCATAGTGTGCTCATTTTGCGATCTTTTAACATATTTTTGTATTTGAATGATTATTTAATTGAACTACTACTCAACATTTATATATTAATAAACATATGAGGACCATTATTAATTAAAATATTTTAAGTAATTAAAAATAAATTAGACGTTTCCTTGTACATAAAAGTACATGCATAAAATAATAAGACTGTAGTATAATTGCTACAAAAATAAGAATACGTATAAAAAAACGAGTGTATCCCACTTATATTAAAACAAAGCGAATATGCTATAGTAAAATTCTTACCAGAATTCTATAATAAAAGTTAACAGTGTATAAAATTGGGCTTAAAGATAAAGCATTTGTATAATGAATCCTTATATACACTTTAAAGCGTAATAAATCTAAAATATAGTTAATTATTTTTATAGCTAAATATTACTTAATAGAGCATGAGTAGAAGAATTGCTTATTATAATTAAAAAAAAACACTGATTACACGTTTTTTGTTAGTAAAATTGTATTATAATATAAACTAAAACTAACGGATAATACTCCTAAATATGACATACAGTACGAAATTACTTCAAGTTCTAAAATAACTCAAATTATTTTAAAGACAAATGTTATTATAAAGCAAAATTTATAAAACTACAAAACACTAAAACTTTTTTTTACTTTATAAAAGAATGATCTAATGATAAAACAAATTCTATACAAAGACGACAGTATAAAATCAAATCAAAAAATTTTTAACAATGAATGAATAAACAAGGGTTTTTGAAATTGTTCACGTAATAAAATATTGAATTTAAATTTTAAAATAGAAAATAAATTAATTAATTAAAAATGTTTGAATTAGAATAAAGTATTTAAAAAATATATAATAACGTCGATTCATTCAATTTGATGATTAAAATACTATCAAAAGATAATTTAATAGAAATGTATTAAAATAATTAATATTATAAATAAAAAAAAAAGATTTTAAAGAGCAACGTTTGCATTATTTTGGCCTATATAAAATTTCACGAAGTCATTCCATGAAACTACATTGTTTTTTTTTAAATAAATCACTCATAAGTCATTACTTTGTTTTTATCATTTTTAAACACAACATAGTCAGTTTAATAAACATTAAACGAAATATTTTTAAATCAAGTTTCCACAGGGACGCCTTAAAGTTTCCACCATGTGTATGCAATACGTACTGTCCATACGTAGCTAAGATTAAAATTACATCAACATAAACATACACAAAGTATATCGTTAGTATTTAAAAGAACAAAGTAATGACGTACTATACATTTGAAGTCGAATTGAATAGAATAAAATATAATGCGTACCATACTAAATTTAACTTAATAATTAGACAAAATTTAAACAATTTTCAAGTCGACCGACCAAGTTGGATGATCTAACAAGGCTATTTCTTTTATAGATCGAAAATTTATTTGTTAGTGTTACTGAGAGAAACTGTAACAATAGTAAGTAAACATTTCGAAACATTTTTTTTGAAATAAAATCTCCCCAACGATTAAAACCAGTGGCATAATTGTGGTTTCGTCTTGGTGGAATATACATAAGAAATAATTTCAATTCCCCCCCAAAAAAAAAAAAATTATATCTACGGCATATAATTATTATTGTTGTGTGAAAGATATGACACCCATATCATCTATAATTACGCCAGTGATCAGAGAAACTTCAAAGTTAAAAAAAAAAATGTTCAAAAATGTTTTACATCCTAAGGCGTTATTTTTGGTTAGGTTAAGCTAACTTTACTTGTGATTTTAAGCCAGATTTGCTCGAATTAGAGGTGAATAAATAATTATAATTTATTGGCTACAATTATAAAATGCGAGGTATTTGTGATTAAGGAATTTAAAAAAATCATATCTAGTCGTCAAAAAACTGATAACCCAATTAGTTAATCGAAATTATCACTTCAGTATGTTACCAACTGAAAAAACTGATCTCAATATTACAATACTGGCTATTTATTATAAAAATTATATGATGAATATCTGATGAGTTTTTAAATTAGTCACTAATTCGTATAAAAATACAAGAAAGAAAATAAACAGGTTCTTCTTTCACTCGTATTTAAATAATAATAAAAAAATTTTTTTTAATATTTTATGTTTTTAAATGTAAAAGGTTGTTTGCAGCCAAAACAGGTTTTTTATTAATACCTACTTTTTCAATGTATAATTGATGAATGAAATGTAAAACCCTAATTGTCACAGAAAAAAGATAATTTATAATTTAGTTTCTAATAATAAGAGAAATGAGTTACATTTAATAATGTCATCTTAGATCTTCCATCTCTAGATAAAAACTATGATAACTATTAAAAAACACAGCAGCTAGAACCACCAAATCCTGAGTTGGAATATAAATATAATCAAACGAAAATAGAAATTCTAGTGCATTTAAAATCTTGATTATATTTTATCAAGTATTTAGTTTAAATTTTTTATATGATAAGATATATTTAAATACCTAAACTACAATACTATATTAGTCAAATTTTATTTTAAATTGACAATACTAACCTTGTTTCACAGACACATATTTAGAGTTCAGTGCTGCTATGAAACTAGCTTGTGGTAAAGAATCTTCAAGAGTAAATAACTCATCTTTGGTAACAGTTTGGGATCTAGTTTTTAAAAGAGCTTTTGAGCCAATTGGTGATAAATATCCACCAGCTTTATCTCTGAGAGCCAAAGAACCACCAGAGTGATATTCCAATGAAAATAAACAGTTTGAAGTACAAGTGTCCACCAATTTCCCATCTCTAGATAAATATTTATTATTACATGTGTGTATAGCATATTTAAAATTATCATCTGGTCGCAATTCCAATGTAAAGAGAGTATCTTCTCCCCATGGTATATTAGCATCAACATGAATTTCATCAAGACTTTCAGACAAATGAGCAAAACGTTTGCGACCAACTGATCTTAGGTTTACCTAGTTAACACAAAAAGTAACATAAGCATTAACAATAAAAATTAATTTTTTTTAACATCATTATTATGAATAATTAATTTAATCAGTATTTAGTATTAAGTCTTGTAAACACCCTTTGGCTATGGCTTCTGGGTTTCTATAAAATATTAAATTTGGGCTACCTTCTTTAACTCATAACATCAGAAATACAATTATCATTAAATTATAATTATATTGAAACTTTTATTATATACAGAAAGCCCATTTTAGAATAAATTTTACACATTAAATTAATTTCTAAATTAAATTAATAAATTTTATTAATGTAATTTAGATAATGTATAAATTCTTTCTTTAAACTTTTCTTATTTTTTTTTTAAACTAAAATAGTTTAAATTTAATGAGTAGAATTTCTAGACCTTTAAAACAAGTTTTTCACTATTTAAACTAGGTGTAATTCTACACAATTAGAATAATCAAGGTTCTACTGTAAATATTACAAATACATCTCATATAATTTTAATGATTGGTGAATCAAATCAATTTTTAAAATTAATTGTCATAATAAAATTGTTTGATAATAATTAAAACTAGTAACAATATTAATGGTTTCCATACTTGAGGTCGTGCAGCTAAATGAACTAGCCATAATTCACTTGAACCCGCTGCTTTTGCAGTACATTTTAAGTTATCTGATGAAGCACCTAAATAATAACCACGTACAACATTTTTCAAAGCCCAACTACCAGAATCTCCATCAGTTACAGATACTTGAAACACTGTTCCTGGATCACTAGGATCATCACCATCACAAGTAACATTTCCAAAAGTATCCACTGCCAAATATTTGTCTAAATGTGAGCGTAAACGAATTGTTGTTGTAGGTCCATCACATACTAAAGCACTGTTATTAGTGCTAGGTTCTAATGTCCATAGTTGTTTTTTTTTTAATGATGCTCCATTAGCATTTATTTTATAACCAAAAGTTTCAGCAGTTAAATATCGTTTTGAGTCTACATTAACCAATCCAATTGTCCAACAACTACATGGAGAGATTGATGATAGTTTAGCACCTCCTTCACTACTTTCATGATTGTTGTAACCGTTCATGTCTAATAAAAATTTAAAAAACATAAGCATTAAAGAATTTTATAGTGCACCATACATACTAAATTACAGAAAAAAGTTTGTTCAAGAAATTATAAAATGTTTTAGTTTATGTTAAGATATTTAAAACAATAATTTTAATAAAAATTGGGACTTAACAACAGGGTTTTGAACCTGAATTAACCAAATTCCTAGATTTATTTTAAGGGTTTATTTTTATTGTAGTTTTTTGGAATGTCAGATGTACATTTTTTTTAATTTTTAATTTTTTTTTTTTTTAACAATTTTTACATTTTTCAGTTACAGTAGTTTATAAAAAAGTTTTAGGATTTATTTGAAAAACACTGTAGTATTTAGTATTTTGGCTAAATCAGGTTGATTTATAGATTTTTTTTTTAAATTATCATTAATTACATTAACACTATCTCATTCAAAGGGCAAAAAAATGTTAAAAAAAAAAAAAAGTTATATAAAATTTTAGAAAAAATTAGATGCATAAACTGGTTAAAGGGCATTTACAAATGTAGAAAAATATCAATATACTTTGTGGTTATAAGAACTTTATATAACTTTTAAGAAAATAAGAAAATATATGTTAAATATGTATACAGTAATACCACTAAAAATGACAAATCACCAAAACTAAAAATTCAAAGCTAAGAATTGTATAATAATATTAATTGAAAGAGAATGTAATTGATGTATAATTTTTCATAATCAACATTTTATAAAAACATTATTTTTTTTTGAAATTGAATATTTTACTTTGTAAGTTAGCTTCTAAAAAATGGGTATTTTTTTTTACACTCTTCGAAAAGACATTGGCTTTATGGAACTTAATTGAATAATTTGGTTCTTTTTAAAACAATAAAATATTTATGCTAGAAATACATTTTTTTCTACAAAATCACAAATGTTATTAAGTAGTATACAAGTTTTGAAAAGATAGGTCATATTCAGCTAATAACAGCAATCATTTTGCACTCAGGGTTCTGATTAAAACTAAAATTATTATACTCAGGACTCTGTAAGTATCATCATACAATATAAAAATTTATATTAAACTTATAAAGATCAGACTATGTCCAGAAAATATAAAAATAAAATACATATAATACATGTAGGAACCACATGATTTTCTCCTAATCAAATTTTTATATAAACATGAACCTAAGGATTATTAATTGCTTATACATCACTTTTTTATCACAACAATAACTTTTTATAACATATTGACAGTCTTGTAAAAAATAATTTTTTTTATATTCTGAATGAGTATTCTAAAAAATATTTAAAAATAATTAAAATACTTTAAGAATATTTAAAGAGAAATAGTCTAATTTAAAATAATCATTAGTTATAATAAACAAAACTTAGAAATACGATATTTATTTAAAAATTGAATCCAGGGGAAAGGATAATTGAGCTTTGAACAATTCCAAGCTAGAAAAATATTCTTGAAGGGCTGATATCTATAAAATAAGAAAAAAGGAACTAAAATGGTTATGTAATATAAATATATTTTATGTCAAAAACTTACGAAAAAAGATAACTTAAAAAATACAATAGATTTATAAATAAAGTTGAACTATGGTGTAAAATAATTGACATACTGTAATTTTCAAATTGTCCAGATATTGGTAAATGATAAAGCAATGATAAAAAGAACAATTTTTTTTAATATGGTTTGATTGAAGGTAAGTTAATAGTTAACGGTATTAAAAGTATTTAAATATTTAAAAATGTAAAAAAAATTTTTAGAATACACATTTGAATAAAAAATTTTTCAAGAATTTGTAATACAGTAAAAATACAAAAAAAGTATTAATATACTTTATTGAATATTTACAAGACTGCATATTGAGATCATTTAAATGTTTTGCTTACTAATTGTTTTGCGATGATTTCAACAGTTACAACGTCAAAATAATGACGATTATTACTATTATTATGAGTACATACAATACGATACCAAAAGACTACAAACACACCGGCAACCACGCAGCTAACTGGTCGATACTGAAGCCTGTACACTGTTTTGTGAACTACACAAGTCCAATGTCTATTCACATACGTTGGTGACGTTCGCACTATGCTGATGCCGGCATTAAATTCATGTAGCAACTCACTTGTATTATCATTACTGCTGCAGTGAAGTTTGGGCAACAGATAGTTTGATGCACTATGCTTAATAAATATACGCCCTACCCCACAACAAAAATATAACTGATGTACAAGTTTCTCACATCATCTAGATTTACAATATTTTATTAGATCGCAGAGTACATTATAATTAAGATTGTGTATGATTGGAAAATCAGGAAAACTTGATATAACTATTTAGAGACGGTTTCTAATCTTAACATTGTTCATCATTAAATTGTAATATTCTTGTTTAATTATATGGCTAATATTATATGTTACATATGAACACTGATTATTTAAAACTGTTTGCCTTTCTTCTTTTAGAATTTGAACTCCAGCAAATATCAATGATAATGATTAAGACCAAATTATGACTGAAATTACAAACGACAAACAAACAACAAACATACACGTGAAACTAATATAAACGTGTTAAAAAATGAATATATCAAGAGAATATTTATCATTTACTTCACTTGATAAAAAATGTAGAATGAATGTCGTAGAGCTATCTACTAAAAACGTAAAATGTCATTTTGTGAACCGTAGCAATAAAAATACGCGTGAATGTCAAATTACTACAAAATAATTTTTAAATGTCATTAAAAACATGAATTGTAGTCATGCCACATTTATTTTTGGTTAAAGTGTCTAATTTCACAAAATCGTATTGAAAAATGTAATATTAGATAATAATACATTACATTTATTGTTTCAAATTAATATAAAACGTATATATTTTCATGACAAAATAGATCTATTTTTATTGTCATGTATTATTTAAATGATGAACATTAAAAAATAAAGGATTTATGCTAGAATAACATTTAAATTTTGTTTTTTAAACTTAATAAATCTTTTTAAGATAATTTATTTAAAATTAAACATTAGCAATATTTTAGTAACTGACATGATTTTTGGAGAAATATCAAAAATATAAGTGATAATTTATTTGTTTTTATTATAATTATAAAAAATATTATCAATTATGGATAATGGATATAACCAATTTTTTGAGGTTCTGAACCCTGGAAACCACTAAATTCTGTCTTGTGTTTACGTATTACGAAATGGGTGATGGTAATATTTAGGGGTAGGTCATATATTCGGTGCGGTTGAAAAACGTCTTATGATCAAAATAGTCACACCCCACACACAGTGATCTGATAGCGAATTTTAGGCGCTATCTCATTTTAAAATGTACTCAAATAATTATGAAAACTCAATTCTAGTGTGTTGTCTAGACAAAATATAAAATTTCAAGGTCACATGTTAATCCGGTCATTATTTATAACTGTTTAAAGTATAGATATTGTTATATTAAGGTTATTTAAACTTAAAAAAGGTCATTTGTTGTCAATTTTTTTAACAAGATTAAAATTTTTTTTTTTAAACAAAGTCAAAGGTGTTACAAAAATTCAAAGGCCTTTAGTTTATAATTTATTCATTAAATAATCATAAAATATTTAAATTTATGACACATAATTAGGTGTAAAATGGTCAATTTTTGTTTCAGTGGACAAGAAAGAGATTAAATTGTATTCCTCCTCTTCCGTCAAAAATTATTTCTATGTAACAATGCATATAATTTTGCTAAATATTAAATAGAAGGGCCCCAAGCTAAGCTAAACCCTCCAAGCTCTCTATTGCCGCCTCTGATGATGTCTTGTACAATAACTTACTACATCATATAATTTAATAAATATTGGCTCTAAAATAAAAAAGTTTACTCATTTTTTTGCCATCAACATAGACAATACTTCTTTAAACACGAAAAAAGCGAATAAAATAGTTTTTTTTTAGAAAAAACCATCTTTTACATCTTTAATAGCAATATTTTTAACTTCTATCTTCTAGCCGTCTTGAGGTGGGTGAGCTATGTAATACTTTATCGTTTAACTGGATAATTTTTTATTTTATGAAACTGTTTTAAATGCGCAAATTAGCGGGGTTTTAAAGGGGTTACTCCCCTCCAACATTTAAAAAAGAACAGTATACAGAGTGATTTTTTTATCATAACTCACTCAATTACTTACAGAATAATAATAATTTCAACATTTTTTTTTTGATTATCTTTAGTTACCCATTATTCTTGAATTATTAACTATGCAATACTTTTTAAGTTCATCCCTTATGCCTGATAAGGGTGTCAACTTTTTTTTTTTAAATAGGAACACATATTTTGAGTTTAATAAAATGTTTAAGTTTTTTATTTAATAGCAAATGACATTTGAACTTTTAGTATAATTGTAAATGTTTATATCTAATAAACAAATAAAGTTATACTAAAAGTTCAAATACCATATGCTATTAAATTAAAAACTCAAACATTTTATTAAATTCAAAATATGTGTTCCCATTTAAAAAAACTAAGTTGACACCTTTATTAGGCATAAGGGATGAATTTAAAAAGTATTGCATAGTTAATAATTCAAGAATAATGTGTAACTAAAAATAATCAAAAAAAAAAAAAAAAATCAAATTATTATTATTCTATAAGTAATTGAGTGGGTTATGATAAAAAAATCACCCTGTATATTATTATCAGTGATGGAATGTGTTCATTTTATTTGAACTATATATGAACGTGGTAAAATTTTAGGAAATTAACTAGTAAGCATTTTTAGTTTAAATAAAAATAAATATCCAGAATTTAAAATAAATTATTTCTGAACGTGGTAAAATTTTAATAACATATGAGATAAATAAAAAAAGGCATATAAAATGGTCACACAATATATAAATAATTATTCGTTTGGTAAAGACAATTTCCTCCGAATTATTTGCTTCAAAACATCCTTGATTCTTAAACAAAGTAGTTACAAAACATATTAAATTACAAAAAATTATGAATGAAGTTGACAGAGGATCTAGGAATTTTGTTTACTTTAGTCGCAGAATAGTTAAGATCTTATCTTATCTTAATATAAAAATATATTTAATTAGTCTATGGTATATGGTCTATGGTTCTTTTTATTTCTTTATCTTTTATCAGACACGTTTATCTGTAATATAACATATCATTGTTGTTTTGACAGAAAATGTGTCCTTTTCGCTAAGGTTGGCGGTTTTTTATTTATGATATGTTAAAATTGGCGAAAATTAAATGTAATTTATTGAATTTTACTATTCAAATGGATAAGAGCAGTATTCATCAAGCCGTTGTCAAACAAAGTCGTATAAAGGCTAAAGGAAAATCAAAATTTCCTCCAGGTATTGTTAAGTTTCAAGTGTTAGGTAGTGGAGCTGATGGCGCACCAAGATGTTTGTACTTATTTACCGATCATTCCAGGTAAATAGCATCACATTTTTTTATTGTTTATTGTCAGGTAGTAGATATAATATTTATTTGTTTAGGTATTTGTTTAACTGTGGGGAAGGGACGCAAAGGTTAGCTCATGAACATAAAATGAAGTTATCTAAATTAGAACATGTATTCATCACTCATTCAGATTGGAAAAATATTGGTGGATTACCAGGATTGGCATTAACTCTCCAAGATGTAGGTGTGCCAAAAATTGAACTCCATGGCCCTAAAGGATTAGTAAGTAAAATTCAAATATTGTAAATTATTAGGTGTAATTAACTATTCTAAATTTTTTTTAATATAGTCAAAAAAAACCTTACAATTTTCATTGATTTGGTAAAAATTATTTTAATAGAACTTATGTAATTTTTTTCTCAAGCAAAAGAACTCATGCCTAGGTCTAGTTGGTTTTCATCATTATTTGAACCATAAAAATCACCATAATTGATATTATTTAAAAATATTACTGTGTGTTCTCAATTAAAAAATTAATATTGTTATAGAGTTACATATTATGTATGAACATTTTTATTTTTAGTATCATTATAAAAATGTTCATTTCAGATAATTTTTGTAGGGACTAAATACATACAAAAGTCTGCAATAAAATAGACTTTATGTTTTATGCCTAAACATATAAAATCTATTTATAAGTATTGATCTAGAATTCATTAATATCTGAATTGTCTGTATCCCAGATTTAAACTATTAGATTATTATATTTTCAGATTATCCATGAATTTAGGTAACAGCTCAGATTCCTAGATTCTTTGTTCTATATCTCCTAATTTCAATCTACAATAACATAGAAAATTAAAATATTTTTGTTATGTCATTTTATATCACATATTAAAAAAATTAATAAATTACAAGAAACAGTTTTGTTAACAGGATTCTTGGATAATCCGGGTATATAGAGTGATCAGTTTGTCATAAACTACTTAATTATTCACAGAATAAATATAGTATTAAAAAACAAATTTTGATTTTTAAATTATAGTATTTTTTTATTTATTATCTCCAAATTATTTTTAGAAGCATTCCTTATGGAATGTCTAGGAGTGTCAATTTTATTTTTTAAAATAGCAACATACATATTTAATTAGATTATCTTCTTCTTTTTTTTTCCTTACCTTAATTCCAACTACTTGTTGTCGGCAACCCTTATCCTAAACTTCCACTTGTTTTGATCACTCACATCATCTACGCTCACATCAGCCGTCCTCATATCTCATTCAATTACATCCCTCCATCTCATTTTTGGCCTTCCTTTACCTCTTCTTCCTTCAATATTCATTTCTATAACTGTTCCTACCGCTTACAATTCCTCTCTCTTCATAACATCTAAGTTTATTTTTTTTCATATTATTTATGATTGACGTAACACTTATACTCCTTATATGTTTGTTCCCTATCTATCTTCTCTAGTCACTCCACTTATCCATCTAAGCATTTCATTCTCTGCTCTACTTTCTTGTCAACTGCCCAACACTATGAACCATACATCATAGCTGGTCTCACTACAGTCTTATAGAATTTACCTTTCAACCTCATTGTAATTCTTTTATCGCATAACACACCAGATGCTTCTCTCTACTCTAACAACCCACACTTAATCCAATGTCTTACAGGATTTAATTAGATTATAAAGTAGAAATGATCTAATTAAGAAAATATCTAGTAGATAACAGCTTTTAGACCAGTTTTTCAGAAGTTATTCTCATTTTTGGCTGAAGGAAGATTACACCTGGGAAATAACTAGTGATAAAAATATTTGTATCCACTCCTCTCACCACCTGTCATAACTTAAATTTGTTAATAAATTTTAAAATACTGGTTTAAAAATTGTTATAGACCTGTTATTTTTCTAATTAGATTATTATCTATTAAATAAGCTAGTTTATTATGTACATAATTGCCATTTGAAAAAATAAAGTTGACACTCCTATTAACTAAAGGATGATCCTAAAAAGTAATTAATAGCTAATAAATCAGGAATATGATTTATGGTTATAAATTTTCAAAGTAAAAATGGCGCTTTGATAACTGCATCAGATTTGATGTTTCTGAACAATTTTACAAAAAATTATCAGGAAAAAAAATTTTACATTATAATCACACTTTGATTGTAGAAGGTCTTACAAGAATTTTTTAAGGCATTCTTTGCAATCTAATAAAAACAGCTTGATTTTATTTCTTCCATGATTATACAATTGCTAAATTATTAACTTAATTGTACAGAGTGATTCTTTTTAAAATACCCACTCTATTTCTCTTAATATAATGCTTCTAATTAATAATGTTAAAACAATTTTTTTTAGTATTTTTAGTTTCATATATTTTTTAATTTATCAGTTATTTTTAGCTTCAATGCGAAGCTGAGAAGGTATTAATTTTACTATGTGTTTTTTTTTTTTTCTTTTGTGTCTGTATACGCTTAATCTCAGCTCTCACTGAACCGATTTTGATGAAAAATATGTCAAAAGATCACAAATTGTATCTAGTTGAAGATATTACCCTCAAAAATTCAAAAAAAAATCCCTTGTTCCCCGTAAATGGTGGAAACCTCCAAAAAAATTACGAATTTAAAAATCGCTAATTTTAGAAATTTTTCCAATTTTTTTTACTAAAAACTGCCGTAACTTTTTTAAAAATGAACATATCAATATAATTTTTTTTTTTATATATACCTTAGATATTTACCTATCATTTTAAATCATGTTTTTGAAAATCTAACACTTAACCTGCTCACTGGGGGGGATTTAAAATAGCAACTTTTTTACAAAAACTAACNGTTCAAACTTTGAAAACTTTTTTACAAAAACTAACTTCTTCAACTTAATTTTTGAAAATGTTCCGGAAATACTGCGTCCTTTAAACATATATCAAAATAAAGCTTATTTTATANGGAAATACTACGTCCTTTAAACATATATCAAATTAAAGCTTATTTTATGTACTATAAAATGAAAAAAAAAAATTTGTCCCGACGACCTATCTTCTATGCGCAAATGGCTACCGTATTCAAAAATATGCTATTTTTCTATTAAAATTCTAGCTTTTGTATTTTATTTTATTTTAAAATATCTTATTAGGAGAATATTATATGACTTTCATGAATATTATATAATTTAATTGACATAGAATAAAGGTCATAAGACATGAGAAATTAAACTTATTAAATTTTTTTTACTTTTTTAATTTCATACTAAATTTAAAAACTATAATTAGTATTTATTCATATATTATATTTTAAAATCAAAGAACTACTAATCAGGATATAATTAAAGAAATAAGAGTTGATGTTGATCTTAGAATATTCCGTCAATTTCTCTAAAGGAAACACTATCTACAGATTTGCATCGAAGCGTTTCTTATGATAGTGATTTTAATCACTGTCAAATATCATCTATACTTGTCCCATCTATGCCTTTTTTTATAATAAATATTTATATACCCCTGTTATCCGGCACGTTTTTTTTGTAAATCGGATCATATCCCTTTAACAAGGGGGGTCAAAACTTTAAACATGTGTATTGTTACTAAGATATTTTCAATTTAATTTTTGAAAGTATTCCGGAAATACTGACACTTTTATATATATCTTAAATTAAAGCTTATGTAATATACTTTAATTTGAAAAAAAAAATTTGACCTCTGGATTTGTCTTCATGGTAAAAATGACTACCGTACTCAAAAATTTGCTATTTTTGTGTTAAAATTCTGGGTTTTGTATTTTATTTTATTTTAAAATACCTGACAAGGGGAGTACAGATTTTCATAAATATTATATAAATTAAAATTAATATAGCATAGAAAGTTAAACTTATTTAAATTTGTTTGCTTTTTTTAAGTCGAGAAAAATAATTTTGAAATTTGAACTAGCTTAAATAGCCAATTTTTTCTGCCAATGGTAGCAAAGTACGGTTGCTGAGTTGGTAAAACTTATGTTTTACATGCTTGGGTTACAAGGTTCCAACCCGCGTATGGCAATGAATTTTTTGTATTTTTTCTTAAATTCTTTTTAAGTTAGTATAAATTTTTAACTCGTTTGATTTTTATTTCATTTAGATTCAATAACTTCAATAAAGATCAATGATCCCATTACTTTAGTCGCCCCTTGCAAGAAGAAATTTCTTATTCGTATTAAAATTATTTTACTATATTTTAAGATTTAGCATCGATGCAAAGCTGAGAAGATATTTTTTTTGTGACTATCATTTATTTTATCTGCTCTATTCCGCCAATTTTTCTAAAGGAAACACTATCTACAGATTTGCATCGAAGCGATTCTTATGATAGTGATTTTAATCACTGTCAGATATCATCATACTTGTCCCATCTATGCCTCGTCCACGCGGTGCCTCGAGCCCACTGTGCTACCGTTTTTTTCACTTTTTTTTCTTAAAACTTCCATAACTTTTTCAAAAATAAATAAATCAACATAATTTTTTATTATACTAAAACCTTAGATATTTCCCTTTCATTTGATATATTTTTTTTGAAAATTTAACACTTAACCTGCTCATTGGGGAGGATTTAAAATAGCAACTTTTTTACAAAAACTAACTTTTTCAACTTAATTTTTGAAAATTTGTCCCGACACCTTATCTTCTGCATGTAAACGGCTGCCGTAGTTAAAAAAACGCTGTTTTTGTGTTAAAATTTTCGATTTTCAATTTTAAATTTTCAACTTAAAAATGCTATAACTTTTCGAAAAATGTAATTATCAGTACAAATTATTTTTTTCTAAATAAATTATAAGTACATCTTTCATTTGACATACTTTTTATTAAAATTGGACAATTCCCCATATATAGGGGGCGTTCAATACTTGAAACATTGTATAAAAAATAGAACTTTTTCGACATAACTTTTGAAAGTGTTCCGGAAATACTGGTCCTTTAAACATATATAAAATTAAAGCTTATTTTATGTACTATAAAATAAAATAAAAAAATTGTAATGTTTGCGATAAAAATCACCTTCTATCGGGATGTTTTTTGTACTTAAAACTGCCATAACTTTTTCAAATATTAACAAATCAAAATAATATTTTAGCTTCGATGCGAAGCGGAGAAGATATTAATTTTATTATGATGTGTTTTTTTTATATTGAAACCTTAGGTAATTTCTTTTTATTTGATATCATTTTTGTTTTGATAATCTAACACTTATTCTGCTCACAGGGGGCATTTAAAAATCGTTAATTTTAGAAATTTTTCCAATTTTTTTTACTAAAAACTGCCGTAACTTTTTTAAAAATGAACATATCAATATAATTTTTTTTTTATATATACCTTAGATATTTACCTATCATTTTTTTGAAAATCTAACACTTAACCTGCTCACTGGGGGGGATTTAAAATAGCAACTTTTTTACAAAAACTAACTTTTCAACTTAACTTTTGAAAATGTTCCGGAAATACTGCGTCCTTTAAACATATGTTAAATTAAAGCTTATGTCATGTACTATAAAATTAAAAAAAAAAATTTTTCCCGGCGACCTATTTTCTATTCGCAAATGGCTATCAAATGGGGGAAACATCCAAAAAAATTACAAATTTAAAAATCGCTAATTTTTGAAATTTTTTTTACTTAAAACTGCCATAACTTTTTCAAAATTGAACAAATCAACATAATTTTTTTTTTAATAGATACATAATGTTCTTACCTATCATTTGGTGTATTTTTTTTTATAAATTTGGCCTAAACCTGCCCACAGGAAGGGTTTCAAAATGGTAACTTTTTTACAAAAAATTAACTTTTTCAACTTAATTTTTGAAAGTGTTCCGAAAAGTCTGACACTTTTATATATATGTTAAATTAAAGCTAATGTAATATACTTTATCATGGAAAAAAAAATTTCGGACTTCATTTGGTTTTCATGGTAAAAATGGCTTTTTTTGTGTAAAAATTCTCGATTTTATTTTTTACATTTTTAACTTTATAATGCTATAACTTATTGAAAAGTGTATGGATCAACACAATTTTTTTATGAGAAATAATATTTATATCCATTTTTCATTCGACATACTTTATCTTAATCAGGATATTAATAAGGAACTAGCAGATCATGTAGCTTTTGGAATAATCCATCAATTTTTTTATTCAATCCATATATTTGTCTTAAAAGGGTATCAACTTAATTTTTTTTAATAGCATCATACAGTTAACTAGCATATTTAAGAGATAATGATTTAATTAAGAAAATGATTGGTCGATAACAATTTTTGGACCAGTAATTTGGAAGTTATTAACATTTTTATACCTAGGTGGAAAAATGTGTGCGGCCTGGAATTAACTAGTGATAAAAAAAATAACAATAACCACATCTCACTTCTAGACAACATTTTAGACATTTCTAACATCATTTTTATAACTTTCAAAGTACTAGTCCAAAAGTTTATAGAACTAAAATCAATTATTTTTTATAAATTTCAAAATTTTTATTTTTATTTCTTTTAGGAAGAATTGTTTGTGGCTACCAAACGTTTTATTATATTACGTGATCTCAAAATAATAGAAAGTAAAAGTAACCCTTTGACACAATTTGAAGATAATGCAATGTCAGTAAATTATATACCTTTATTTTCCAACAAGAGTGAAAAGAGTTATTTGTCACTGTCAGACAAGTAATGCATTTACTTATATCATTGTGTAGGATAAATGAGTAGTGATAATAAAAAAGAGAAAAGTCTATATAATAAAATTTATATTTGCTAAATATTTCTGGGCTTGAAACTATATATATATATATATGATGGAATGGATTTAATTGATAACTTATAATTCTCATCCAAATACCATTTCGCTGTAATTTCTCAAAATGATTTATAAATTTTTGATTATAAAAATTTTATTTTTAAAATTTTTGTCTCTAGAAAAAAAAGAACTGTAATATTTTTAATTTTAATAACTTTTTAATAATTGAATTAATTGCCATTTTTTTAGAGATTTTCTTAGAAAAATTTGTTATTGTTCAATAAAATATATATCAATAGAATCGGTAAAAATAAAAAATAATAAACTGCATACCTTTTTTCATCATTATATCAACTTTAATATTCCAAAATATATACAAAATATTATGTAAATTTTCTAATTTTCGGATCTCTAAATAAATGTTTATATTTAAAGACTATTGATGAGAGAAAATGATAAAAAAAAATTCTTGATTTGGGAATTGCAATGGTTATTTTTCTTTATTAAAAGTGAATGTCTATGTCTAAAAATTTAATTTTTTTTTATCATTTTAGTTCAATTAATATTGATAACACATTTAAATTACAAGCCTTAGATAATTCTTCTGAAGATGATACTAATTATTATGATTATGATGATATAAATAACTCATATAAAAAGGAAAAAAAGAAACGTAAACGGAGTGCATCTGATTCTAAAACTGGTGAATAATATTTTTACTATGTATTGATTAGTGAAGCATAGAAAAACATACATTTAAATACTATAATCTTGGTATATTTATTTGAATAATTATTTTTACCATGTTTTTATTCATTAATGTTCCTACTTTAAGTAATATTACAAAGTTATTATAATTTTTTATTGTATTTTTAAATGCAATATTATTTATTAAATATACAAGGTGTGTTCATAAAATAACAGGATTTTTAAAATTTTGTGTGTTTGGAGAGTCCAATTATCAAACAATATTTTCACAATGATAGTACACATATCTCTGAAATAGGATAAAATTTTCATCTTAATTCATTTTTTACTTTGTCAGTGGCAGCTGTTAAGGTTAGACATGTTTTTATGAACTCAGTGATTTTTATTTGTTTAAAAAAATGGATCAAAGGATTTATATCAAATAATGTGTAAAAAATGAAATCAACTATAACAAAGTTTGTGAAATGTTAACAAAGGCCTATGGTGAGTCTGCCATGAGTAAAATAAGTGGTATAAAAATTTCCAAGATAAAGACGTTGAAGACGTTTGAGATGAAGCACATCAACAACCGATGAAAACGTGGAAAAATTGAAAGAAATGAAAGATTACAAATAAATAAACAATTTTTTCAAAAAATGAAATTTCCCATTATTTTTTTAACACATCTCGTATGCATCATTAAATTTAATAAATATTATAAATTCTAAGTAAGTAATTTGAATTGTTATTATTAAAAAATCAAAATCTGTTTGCTGCTATTTTAAGATTTATGATGAAATATTATCAAAAGTTAATTTTGTAAATGTGGTGAAATATTTTTATAATAAAAAATATACTTATTCTAGATGGTTTTCTATTTAAATAGATTTTTATATAATATATATGAGTTAAAGAGAAATTTTTGATTTATAAATTAACAGTAAAATATTTTTAGAAATCTCATATTTTCACAAAATGTCTAATATAATGTATAAAATAAAGTTAAAAGGATTCTCATTAAAATTTCAATGATCAACTTTTTTTGATCCATCCTACTGTATACTATATGCTGTATTGAAATTTATGAAATAAATCATGTCCTATTAAATTTATAATACAATTTTATTATAACTCCCCATATTATAAATTATTTTTAAAAATTACTATATTTTGATTAGTGAACAAATATTGTATATTTTAAAATTTAATTTAATACTATCATCGTTGAAAGTTAGTTTTAAAGCTCTTTTAGTTGATAAAATTCAATAATTTCAAAAATTGTATGCTTTATAGAAATTCAATATAGACTTAAAAGTATTATTAATTTAAAATAGTAGTTATAATGTTTCTTTAATTAATTTATGAAAATATGTATTATTTTATTTTAGATGAAAAGAAATTCATGAGTGATTATCCCATTGATAAAATAAACCATACAGCTATGTCATATGTATGCCGCCTAAAACCAAAACCTGGTATTTTAGATTTAAATGAATGTGTCAAATACAATGTTCCACCTGGGCCATTACTTGGGCAATTAAAATCTGGTAAAGATATAATTTTGCCTGATGGAAGAGAAGTTAAATCTAGTGATGTTACATCCCCTGAAGATCCAGGACCTGTTTTTATTGGTAATCTTAGCGTAAAGCCAATAATCAGAAAATGTCAATAAAAATTGTCACTTTTTTCATCTTGCTATAATTTTTTTTCAAAATTACTCTGACTTAAATAAATTTTTAAAAGACCTACACTAGAGACAATAAGCTTCAATTGATATACTTTTTTAATTTTTTTGAAAAAAAAACATGTAAACATGCTTATAAACATGCTTGTAAACATTTTCTTTAAACTTAATTTTTGAACATGTTCTGGAACATAATGTGTTACAATGCTAATGAAGAACCCTCCCAACAAGTATTATTTTATTATAAAATATCTGCCATAATAATAAAAAATATCATACATAAAAAAATTAATTTAAAAAATATTTTTTACTAAGCCAAATGATTTAACAAACATTTATATTTGAGTGAAATTTAAAAATATAGAAATTGTGAAACTACAAATTATTGTGAAATTTAACAGATTTGTACTAAAGAGTTTTATGATAAAATTATGTAAATAACTGTAAGATAAAGTCATCTATACTTTTACCAACTATGTTGTGAGCTCACTGTGCTAAGTTTCTTTTTTCAATTTTCTGGAATTTTAAAGTCTAATTTTTTCTAATGTATATTTTTTTATTAGTTTACCATTTTTTATACTACTACTGTCTATTATTACTTATTATGTATTATTTATAATAAGAAACAAAAATTTTAATTTTAATCAAAAATTTTATTTTTTATAATCAACTAAAATTTGGTGTCATAACTAAAACACTTTCATAGAAGTTAAGTTAAAATAAATAGTATTTGTAATTATAATTAAGAAAATAGTATGAATCTATTTATAAAATACTACTACATTAAGTTACTAGCAAATGTAGTAATTTTACCTTTTATATTATTTTAGTTGTTGAATGTCCAGATGAAAGCTATATAGATGCCTTATTTAATGAATCAATTTTTGTAAAACATCAAAAAAATGCTTCTAACAAAGATGATATTGCATTTATGGTTGTACATTTTTCTTCAGCAGAAGTACGAAGTAATTCAAGGTATATAAATTTTATTAGAAAATGTTAAATAATTACTAGTAATTTCTAGTCAGTAATAATAAAAATAATTTGAATCTTCAAAATTGTAATTGACAGCCTCTATGCAAAAACAAGGTAATTTTATTCTTTATAAAATCATATTGTGATGGTTCTTAATTCAAAAAAAATAAAAAATGATTATATCTATCAATGATATAATTACAATAAACTATATGAGAAATATAGTAAAATTTTCTAGTAGTATGCATGTTAAAAAATTTTAGGAAGTTAAAATCTAAAAATTTTTAAAAATGAAATCATCTTATTTTGTATTGAGCTCTTTAACTAAATTATGATTGGATATATATCCAATTAATAAATATATTTACCATTAATTTTTGTAAAAGTGTAGGAAAATAAGATCTTAAACATTTTTATTTTATTTTTTTTATTATTATATTATAATCTATTAATTAACAAAAACAATAAGTAACAATGATCATTATATATTGATAACAATAATATAAATAACATGATGAGGAAACTGTCTAGTAATAAACTCAATTAATATATATATATATATATATATATATAATTATAATTATTTGACTAAGATCTAAAGTAAATCTCTAAACTAATTTCTTGTTAATCTGTGAGAAATGTTTTGTAGAAATGAGTGGGACGACATGTAGTTGATGAAAGAAATTGTGTGATGTGATAATTTTGTGTGAAATTTTTTCTATTTATCTTAAGGATCTTCATTAACAGTTAGTATTTTTATGTCTCAGTGGTAAAGAACAGTATTTATTATGTACCAGAGGACAGCTGTTATAAGTCTTTAAGTTGTAAAATGGAAGACCTGAGTAGAGCATATAATTGTTGATTGACAAAAATAAAATAATTGATTAACATCATCATCTTTAAATGTATCAATAAAAAAATGCACACAAAGAAAGTTAAAAAAAAAATTGGGAATAAAGAAGTGTGGTCCCCATCTAATAACCTTATTTTATGACATTAGAATATACACTAAATTATAAATATAATCCACCTTAAGAAATGTTTGTACAATAATTCGTATAACTTCTGAATTTTACACATAAATCATAAATTTTTCTTTAACTTTGACATCCATTTACACATAGATAACAAGTACCAGAGTTGATATTTTTTTTAAAAATTAAGTTATATTTAAAGGTGTTTGGTATTTCAGAACATTTTCAAATGTTAAGTTTGACAAAGTTAGTTTTACATGCAAATTTTACTATTTTGAATCATAAGAATTAAGTTTTTTAAAATAAGCCTTGAAAGATTTACTAAAAAGTTTAACACCTATAATTAACCATGTATAACTAAACAATAAACTCTAAAAAACTATATTTTTAGGTATCGAGCGTGGATGGATTTATTTCCTTCTGAAACTTACCATTTATTATTAAACAATGAAAATAAGTGTTTAGGAAGTACTGCTATTCATAGAATACAGTATAAGCTAAATATGTTAGATGAAAAAATTTTCCCTTTACTCAAAGATAATGGAATACCCAGTAAGATACTTCTGTTATTATCTTTTTAAGAAAGTAATAACAGCATCATAAATAAAATATATAATAATAAATTTTCCATTTTTATTTTTAGTTCTTAAAGGGAGTTCAAATAACTGCATTAATAAAAGTTCTAGTGATTTTACAAATGGTATGTAAATTAAATCACAGTATTTTATTATTTTACTTTAATTTTATTTTTACTATATATCTACAGTGATAAAAGGCAAAACTAATTTGATATTCAATTTAAGACCAAAACGGGATATTGATGAGTAAGAATTATCTAAATTTAATATACATATTAAATTCTTGTAGATTAATTGGCATCAGTGATACTTAATCTAATTTTATATTTTATAGAAATTGTGTAATCCCAGTGACTTTGTTTTAGTTGATCTTCTTAACATTTTTTTTAATATAATTTTTTTATGTCAATTAATGGGTAGTCTGTAAATTGTGTAAAATTGAATGAACATTTAATATTTTTCCAGTTCAAATACACTAAATTTAAATATAAACGAATTTAAAGCAGAAACATTAAATGTTGAAGGATTTGATAAGGTAATAAAAAAAGTGAAACAAAGTATTTCAAATGCTACTCTTATAGATTCAAATACGTATCCAAAGATAACATTTCTTGGTACAGGATCTTGTATACCAAGTAAAACAAGAAATACTAGTGGTATACTAGTGTATACTGAGTAATAATTTTTATTATTTGTATTTCTACTGAATTATATAAATTTCATTCAAAATAAATTTTTATATCTATTTTAGTCATAGTGAATGTATGCTGTTAGATTGTGGAGAAGGAACATATGGTCAATTAGTTAGGCATTTTGGTTTATCTGGTACTGAAAAAGTATTAGCTGATCTAAAAGCCATTTATATTTCACATTTACATGCCGATCATCATATTGGTTTAATTGGAGTTTTTAGCGCTTTACAAAATTTAAAAAAAAAAGGATTAATTGCATTTGATCATCAACCAGTATATCTTTTGGCTCCAATGCAAATTATGACTTGGTTAAATTTTTATCATCGACGGTTTGCTGAGTTGAACACAGAGTTTCAATTAATTTCAAATGCAGATTTGGTATTGTATAAATTATTTTAAAAATATATATATTTCTTAATTATTAAATATGTAGGATTTTGAGTCACAAAATACAATTAATGGAAATTTATTGAAACAAACTAGCATGAAAAGTATTGAAACTACATTAGTCAGACATTGTCCTAATGCTTTTGGAGTTTCATTTACCCATAAAAATAACTGGAAAGTAACATATTCTGGTGACACAATGCCTTGTGATTCTTTAGTAAAATTGGGTGTGTATTAAAAATTAACATTTATTATTTTATAAATTTATGTTAATGAATAAAATTTAAGTTTTCATTCATTTGTTCAGGAAAAAATTGTAATCTTCTTATACATGAAGCAACTATGGAAGATCAATTGCTATCCGAAGCAAAAAAAAAAATGCATTCTACAATGTCTCAAGCTATAAATATTGGTAGAAAAATGAATGCTAAATTTATACTTCTAACACATTTTAGTCAACGTTATGCAAAAATTCCTTACATAGCAAGTAATGACTTTCCTGAAAATGTTGGAATAGCATTTGATAACATGGAGGTAATATATTTATTTCTTATTATTTGATTATTAATTGTATATCTCTAATAATAACTTGAGATAAATTATGTTTGGAACTTGCACAAGTATCAAAAATGTAAAAGAAATATTTTTTTTTACGTGTTGTTCCTAAAAAAATAATAAGCTTTTTGATGACTGTAAAAATTCAAGTAAAAATTTGCAGACAGATACGGAGCTAACAATTTTATCATAAAGTTGTTTAATCATACTTTATTTATATTTTATATACTTTGCTTATTGATTTGATTATAAATTTAGATAACACCAAGTGATCTACATAAATTACCATTATTATACCCTGCGCTCAAGATAATATTTTCAGAACATTTTGAAGAAATGGAAGCAAAGTGTTTCAAATTAAAATTAAGAGAAGAAAAATCTCGAGCTCTTATGTAAAATCATAAATTAATATTTTTGTTATTTATTTTAGAACACATAATAAAAAATAATAATTTTTTTACATTATTAAGTGATTTTTATACATCTTTATCTTTGATAAGTAAGGTTGTAACTATCATTTCTACAATTGTACAGAAGAGCCATTTAAAATGTTAAATGATTTATGTATAATTATTTGTACTATCTAATGATTTCTGATCCAATTGGTGAAAAAAATGTATGCAGTCACTTAATGGGAATATAGAAAAAACATGTTCTATCAAAATATGTAATAATCAAAAAATTGAAAATATGTAGTTGTAACTCTTTTCATTGAAGGTGGCAATATATTAAATACTTTTTAGTTTAGTAATATAATAATAATTTTCTATATATACACACACACACACATAAACATATATGTTTATAACAGCATGATTCTTGATATTTTAAAACTAGGCTCCGCCTAGCTGGGGCTCCGCCTAGCTGGGGCTCCGCCTCAGACCCGGGGTCCTTCGAGCCTTACGCGCCTTCGGCGCGTAAGCCTCTTCGGGCCGTCATCATCAGTAGGCCACTGATTCCGGTAGAAGTACCCGGCTACGCCGGGCACGATAAGTATTTTTCAGAAAAAATATTACTTCAGAATCAGTGAAAACTATAGAAAACTATATCTAAAAATGTTATTATTACATCAGGAAAATTCAAAAAGAGAATATAGTAAAATGTATTGGGTATAAGGTTGAAGCCTCTTAATGAGGTATTCCCTTTAGGCCTATTCAAAAATTATTTTAGGAGGAAATTTAATATTTTTTACTTTGTTAAACATGTTATAGAAATTTTTTTGCTAAAATTAAAGTAATGATGAAAAAAAGGACATTAGGTCCTTATATATTAGAAGTTGCCTAAAAAAATATTGATAGCGCTTGTTGAAGGAGGGGCCAATCTCTCTTAAATACACCCCTGTTGTACACAAAAATTATTAATAATCTAATTATAATAATTGTGTTTATATTATAGAATAATTTAAAAAAATTTAGCAGGTTATTATAAGTGGCACACATTAAATTTAAATTAAAATTAATATTACAAATAAAAATAAAAATTTAATTTTGATAAATATATTGGTAACTGCGATTTAACGATGAACATCATAGTCTCATACATCATATATGAGAAAAAAGAAAATTATTAACTCTGTACTTAGTACTGTTCTTATAATGAAAGTACAAACTTAAATAATTATAACGTCATGAAATTTATATATAACATTCCTTGATAAAAATAGGGCAATTGCAAAATAGTGTCCTAATAATAATACATAATACACCATAAAATTAAGTTTCATAATACGTATTAGCAGAAATGAATCACTGCGCATAATACAACCATGCGCGTGGACTTAAAAAAAAAAAAAAGCTCGTAAAACGGTGAAAAATGAACGGATTGAATTGATTTCATCATATCTTAGGAATGTCATTGGGCGAGTCTGATGATAATTTCAAACCTTAAGTTGTAAAACGCTGGCGTCAGCGAGCGTTTTTCTCGAAAACGGTCGAAATTTTAACACGCTCGCGGCCGAGCGTCAAAAATTTTCCGACCTTCGCTAATAATTTTCCCGGAGTCTGGTGACCGAGTACTTTCGTTGAAAAAAAAAATTTGAAAATTCCGAGCACGCTAAGTAATTTTCCCAGAAAAGCGTTTTTTTCCTTGTTCTATTATTATTTTAAAATGTTTATACCTTTGTTCTACTTAACATTTTAATATCTTTAACATTTATTTTATTTTTGAATTTTATCCAAACCATATTTCTAGTATTTTTTAATGATATAAGTTATCCATTATTTGATCTTTTTATAGAAAAAAAATTATGATAAAAATTCTTTGAGTTACAGGAATATTAATATTTAGAGTGGGTAAATGGTATGAGCAGTTTTCTACTACAGTCCTTGATAAATATGATATATTATGGTAGTTTTCACTTAACTATTTAAAGTATTTAAATATCTATAACTCAAAGAATAATTCTCAATTATATGCATGTTTTTAAGTACATAAAACTAATAATAACCCTTTTTAGGAAAATAATATTTAACATTTATTTTTAAAAGAATATTTCATCTATAGACAAAATAATTAAACTAACATGTCAGATATACTTTTTAAATGCACTTTAAAAATCAGGGTTATAAGGTAAGTTCCTTTAATAAATTTGCTTAATTTAACTTTTTAAATTTCAAATAGGTCTCTTGCATCCATAGGTCTTAGGGGGCACGTCCCCCACCATATTAATCTAGGGCTGTAAATACTTTTATTGTAAGTTTACATGTTGTCATATATTAACGCACCTAATTTTTTAAAGATATCTGAAAGTACTTAACTAATTTATTTAAACTGTTTATGGAAATCAAATATATATTAACATATATATATATATGTGTACAAATTTACCCACAAAAATTTTTTTAATTAAATTTTATTAAATAAAATATTTTTCAATAATTTTTTTGGTTTACAATGTTTTTATGTCAACACTTATTAAATTTTAAATTCTTAACTAAAGACTCAGTTAAAAGTATGTATACTTTTATGCACTAAAATACAATGAAATCATTCTATGTTAATGTGATAAAATATATTTACAACAAACAACTATAAAAAAAACCAAGCAAAAAATAATTTTAAGCTAAAAATATTTTTTTTATTACAAGAGTTATAACACACCTAAGTTAAAACATTAAATTTAATAGTATAAATAAAAATCAATTGAAGTATACATCAGATTAAAAAAAATCTGTAAGACAAATTGTTTATTTTAATGAATAAATATTTTTTAACTAATTAAAAGAGTAAAACATTTCTAATGGTTTATTAACCTTCCAAAATTTGTCATGAACTTGTCGTAATGTCTGATTACCATTTAATGGAACAAATTGACCTGCGCTTGGTGCAACATAAATCATAAAATTAAGTGCTCGGTCTGGTAGTTCTGAACCAATGTCCAATGTTAATCTCATAGCTAAATATTTACTTAAATGATCAACTAAAGAATTATAAAAAAAAAAGTCACATGTTAATGTTTTTTAAGTTGCAAAATCAGGGATAGAAAACAATTTTTTTTTTTTTTACCTTAATATTGGAACAATTAATAAAAATGATTAATTTCAAACGACTTTATCATTATAAAAACATAATTTACAACAAATTAAATATTTTATATTTAATTTTAAATTAAAAATAATCTTTTTTAAAGCTTAAGCAAAAATAAAAATTTTCATAAAATAAATAAGATAAAGAGTAGGGGCACTTGGAAAAATTATCAACCCGAATATTTTATTAAACCAATACATTTCATTTTCTTTAATTCGAAGCTAAAAAATATTTGTTTTATGATGCAATTTTTTTTATAAATTTGTGGAAACAAATACTCAACTGTTATTGGAGCGATATCGCTCAAGTAAATCCAGCATTATATATTACATAAATTATTTCTAGAAGCAAGTAGTGTAAAGTTTTAAAAATATTTACCAAGGAAAATTTGAATTTCTAAAATTTCAAGATTTATAAACAACCAAAAACAAATGAGTTTGATATGTGATAACTTGAAATTAGTGAGTTTGCCAACAAAAGAAAAATTATTGAATCTAATAATAATGTATTAAGTACCAAATTCCATAACTTGCTACATTCCTTAAAAAAATACTTAAGGTAAAAAAAACTGATAAAATGTATAGGGAATGTAGACATTTTTCAAATTGTATCAATATATGAATTTAATTTAAAGGAATTAATTTTTAATATAATACTCGATCATTCTATCAAAAGTCACAAGTAATATATAATTAAAAACTTTTGTACTTCTGTATACAATTTATACGTCTACACATAAATTTATATGAATTACTTTTTGAATAATCAATTAGATATCTAAAATTATCAAAAATTATTTTTTGTATCATAATATCTTTAACCTTAAAAAATTAGCAAGAAGAATTTATAGTATATTATTTTTTTACCAGTAGCATTAGCTGTAGTTTTAATATATCGTATGGAATTTTCTTTGAGAACTTTAATTAATTGATTATCACTTCCCATTTCAGTTGGATGAGGTTTAAATACCAATTCGATTTCATCCAATGTTGTACCTCTTGATGAACTATCCCCTTCGGTTATATCTGATCTATCTATAGATGAAGATGCTGGTCCATCATTTTCAGATATCATCACAGATTTAATTTTCTTAGCTACTCTTGCTTGAACTACAGTTCTAGTAACATTGTCTTTAACAGGGCCTGCACTATTAGAAGGAGGCTTTGGAGTCGAAGTTGAACTACTTTCATTTTGTTCATCTTGTTGATTTTTTTTTGTGCGTTGAAGGCGATTTTGAGTTTGAATTTTTATTCCTTCATTGATTGATTGAACTAAATTAGCTTGACTATGACTTTTATTTAGTTTTTCTAATACTCTAGTTTGATGTGCTTCATATTCATCTCGACTAGGGTATATTTTGGAAATTAGTAAATCAAAATTTGGATCAGGCCGTAATGATCGTTTTGATACAAGTTTCTTCCTGCAAGTAGGACATTCTTTATTTCCTGATCTTAGTGCAGTTACAATACAATCTGAGCAAAACCTATATAATATATAATAACCATAATATTAGTAATCATTTACTTTATTAATACTACAGCAAGATCTAATAATTACCTGTGAAGACATTCTTTAGTAGTCATTGTCTTTTTCAGCATGTCTAAACATATAGGACACATAAGCTCACTATGTAAACTTCGAGGGGATACAGCAATTTCTGTACTGTCAGTTATAGCTTCCTGTGGTGTTCTGTGTAGCTCATATAGTGAGAGTTCCCAAGTTTTACTCAACCCCATTGGATCTGCTGACGCCATATTGCCAATAAATTTTTTAAAGTTTTTTTTACATAAAAACTTTTAAGTAGCTAAATTTATTAAACGCGTTTCCAATACAGGATCTACTTGTTTTGTCACTACTAATATTATCAAATTTTATCGTTCTGACCGAAATGCATTATTTGTTATTATTTACCATTTACAGAGTGGCCAACTTAATATGGTTCTTTTAAAATAGTGCGAACCCGTGATTGGAGAATTTTTATGTGATCTTCACATACAGCATCTCAAGTAATTCATCAAATGCATTTTGTCTACGATCATTTATCTGATTCTATGAGTATTTAGAACTTCTTAACACGTTGTGACTGATCACTGCATAGTAGGCATAGTATAACTGTTATTGCATTATTTTATTACTGACAATTTTTATCACTTAGTTTTCAGGCATTATTGTCTGTGTATATGCTGATTTTAAATAATAGTTCAGTAAATTATGATTAACTTTTATATTTTCCAGTAATAAAATGTCATTGTTTTTGGCTTGTTTTGTTTACTTAATAAAACATTTGGAATTATGAAGAATTTAGTTTTACCAAAGATTGTTAACTAATGAAAGTTAATAATTAAAAAATATTAAAGTACTTAGCATTTTTAAGATTTATTAATATAAAAAAAAATTATGAATTTTATTAATTTACTTAATATTTTAGTGGAATGGTTGTACCCTTAATAGCATGTATATTCAACATCAGAATATTGGGAAACAACAATGAGAAAACATAATGATCTTAATTCAAAAAAAAGTATGGCTGATATTTTTCACTTCTTTGTTGTTTTTTATCCAAACAACAATATCATATCCTGGTAAAATTTATTTTGTGTGACTTATTTAGTATTTCTATGATAAACATTTAAGTGTTTTTTTTTTTTGTAGATAATAGCAAAACAAACAGATGTAATAATACAAGTTCGGATTGTTTGAAATGTAGCATAGATGGAATCTGTAAGAAATGTAAAAAAGTTTTAATTGTTGCTACGGGTCAATGTGCTGATGCTTGTCCATCAGGGTATGAATTTATGTGGTCAACAAATGAATACCATATGGGTCGTATATGTTCAGTAACAGGTTATTTTTATTTTTACTGTAAAATTTTTTCCAATTTTTAAGTGGTTAAAAATAAAAATAGTAATAATTAAATATTTATTTTCAGATAAAACTCTAATTGGAAACATAAAATTATCAGGCCAAACTGTTGCTATTCTTGTTGGAACTGTTATAGGATTTCTTATATGTGTTACAATTCTATTCCTTGTGGGAATTACTATTAAGTTTAAGAAATGTACTAATTTTAGATCAAAAACTTGTATGTCACCTAGTTTAGGACCTCTGAATAGTAGTTCTCACCAAAGTCAAGGTATTGCCTTTGCTATTAATAGGAATAAAAATATATTTTTACCTTTTTTTTTTATTGTATTTTACAGAAATTGATGATTATGATAGATTAGAATTTTTCAAACAATTGAAAAATTTGCGTTCTGATGCTAATATTTTTCTATGTATGTTAAATGAAACTAGGAGACAAGTACGTGAGTTACAAGGTCCTAGTCGACAACATTCTGCTATACAAGCCTATAGGTAAAAATTCACTACTAGTTAAATATTTTTTTTATAAATATAACATAAAAAACTTAATTCATTATAGCAAAATGTTAATGCTACATAAATTAAAGTTATATATTCAATTTTTTTTTTTTAATATATCTGTTAGACCTTTAATAATATGTTTTACAAAAATCAATTTAAGCATTTTCTATGTATTTAAAATGTTCTTAAATGTATGTTTACAACTATCTTAAACTGATTTTTATCAGAGATATTTCTAAACATAATGAAGTCTATTAAAATTATAATCTTGTATTAAAATATCATAATTTCATTTTAAATAAACTCAAATTAACTAACTTTTAAGAAAAAGTTTGTTTGATAATTCTAATTACCTGATTATTTATCTTATTAGACTTTCTTAACAAAACACAAAAATAATTGAAATAATAAACTTTACAAAATAAATTTTGTGCAAAGCCATCTCAATGCTAAAAATATGTGGGGCGTAAAAGTTATTTTATCAACTGAAAATTTCTTTTAATTCTCTGAAAAAATGTGTAGTATTTTTTTGATAGTAGCCTCTTATTAAAAATTATCAAATAGAAGAATAAAATTTGTTAAATGGGTGTATGTAATATTCCTACGTGCTCCTTTTGGAATAGTCTTGATTTTATAAAATTGTTCTTTTGTATATTATTAATACCTAAAGAATCCAATATTTATATGTTTGATTTTTTAAGGCCCGTGTTGAAAGATTTATCCAGAATTTTAATCTTATTGAATAAAGAAGACTGTTTTATAAATCCTCCACCTGATTGGGAGACATTATTATCTTGGGGTGAAAGAGTACTAAAACGATATAAAAAACAATATCCAATAATAGTAAGTTAAAATTAAAAAGTACTGTTTTATGATTTTATCTTAATTATTTTCTTTATTTAACAGATTCACCAATTAAATAGAGATGAGCACTTTGGTGATATACCAATCCAATTAACGACATTTTCTAGCAATAAAAAACACAGGCCTCTATCTGCATCATCATCATCACCATCTCGAATTAAACAGTTAGCCATCTCTGTATTTGATGAAAATTATAGCGATCATAATAGGTAATTTAACCATCTGTATTAGGGTGGCCCTCAAAAATCGAATGTCTTTTTTTTTTACGCTACCCCCTTAATTTTTTTTTAATGGTCAAAAAAATGAACTGTGCAAAATTTGGGACCGATCCGTTAAGGTTAACCCGTGCCCCCGGGCCTATTAAGTTGAGTCGAAGAGTCAAATTTAATAGAAATAACTGATCTATGTCTCATAACTTTTTTTTCTCTTAACTTAGAATTATAAAAGTAAAACTCAAGTAAAGGAAATTTTACAAGAAATTCAAAAATAATAACTTCAATGTTGTTTCCATAAAATAATAAATCTAATATAATTATCGTACTTGGCATAAAAAATTAAACTTCTAGAAACTTTTTTTAAATGAATATGCGTTTTCCAAAAAATAAAATGAAAATAAATAATTAAAAATCAACAAAATCAGTTATAACGTATTTTAAGACTTTTACATGTTTTTTACTGTATGTAGTGTTTTTGTGGGCTATTTATTGAGAAAACAACATTGAAGTTATTATTTTTGAATTTCTTGTAAAATTTCCTTTACTTGAGTTTTACTTTTATAATTCTAAGTTAAGAGAAAAAAAAGTTATGAGACATAGATCAGTTATTTCTATTAAATTTGACTCTTCGACTCAACTTAATAGGCCCGGGGGCACGGGTTAACCTTAACGGATCGGTCCCAAATTTTACACAGTTCATTTTTTTGACCATTAAAAAAAAAATTAAGGGGTAGCGTAAAAAAAAAAGACCTTCGATTTTTGAGGGCCACCCTAATCTGTATAGAATATTTTGTATCAATAATATTAGAGTTTTTTATTCATTTTTATTTATTTTATAGGCATCATGATGAGAATGATGAAGTTATTATGCTAAAAGAAAAATCTGTACCTAGTTTTGGTCGATCTACTAGTCCTGCATCTTTTTCTTTATTAGATGCTAATGCATCTAAAAGTATGTTAGTTGCTGAATGGAATGCTGAAATTCCACCATACAATTGTTATTCAACGACTACAGATGAAGATGACTTTTTTACTCTTGGTTTTAGGCCACAAGACGAAATAACAACAGAGCTCTAAACAATTTTTTTATTAATCTGTTTAATTTAAAAATAAATAAATGTAATTATTCTTTATGTATATTATTTCTTATATTATATTGTATAGTTGTGTATTTATTATTTTTAATTTAAAATTTTTTTATAGTTTTATATACATTATGTTAACTAATAACATTGCATATTTTTAAAAATAATAAATTTTTATAAATTTTTAATGTAGTACATTTTTGTTTCCTTATCCACAATTTTGCTCAACATTATGTTAAAAGTTTAAAAAAAATAAAATTTGTTCAATAGTTGTTTAAGGTAAATTAATTTTAGCTTCGATGCGAAGCTGAGAAGGTATTAATTTTACTGTGTTTTTTTTATGTCTGTTGCCACTTTTTCTCAGCTCTCACTGGACCGATTTCTTTCAAAAATACGTCAAAAGATCACAAATCGTATCTAGTTGGAGACATTACCCTTAAAAATTGAAAAAAATTCCCTCGTTCCCCGCAAATGGGGGAAATATCCAAAAAAATTACAAATTTAAAAATCGGTAAATTTTGTCATTTTTCTCACTCTTTTCTTAAAACATCCATAACTTTTTCAAAAATAAATAAATCAACATATTTTTTTTTTATACTAAAACCTTAGATATTTCCCTTTCATTTGATATCATTTTTTTTTAAATCTATCACAACCTGCTTATTGGGAGGGATTTAAAATAGCAACTTTTTTACAAAAACTAACTTTTTCAACTTAATATTTGAAAATGTTCCGGAAATACTGCGTCCTTTAAAAATATATCAAATTAAAGCTTATTTTATGTACTACAAAATAAAAAATAAAAAATTTGTCCCGACACTTTATCTTCTACATGTAAACGGCTGCCGTAGTTAAAAAAACACTATTTTTGTGTTAAAATTTTCGATTTTAAATTTTCAACTTAAAAGTGCTATAACTTTTCGAAAAATGTAATTATCAGCACAAATTATTTTTTTCTAAATAAATTATAAGTACATCTTTCATTTGACATACTTTTTATTAAAATTGGACAATTTCCCCTTATACAGGGCTCGTTCAAAACTTGAAATATTGTATAAAAAATAGAACTTTTTCAACTTAACTTTTAAAAGTGTTCCGGAAATACTGCGTCCTTTAAACATATATCAAATTAAAGGTTATGTTATATACTATCAAATGAAAAAAAAAAATTTGTCCCGACATCTTATCTTCTATGTGCAAATGGCTGTCGAAAATTTAAAAAAAAATGTAATGTTTGCGATAAAAATTACATTTTATCGGGATGTTTTTTGTACTTAAAACTGCCATAACTTTTTCAAAAATGAACAAATAAAAATAATATTTTTTTGTATTGAAACCTTAGATATTTCCCTTTCATTTGATATAATTTTTTTTGAAAATCTAACACTTATTCTGCTCACTGGGGCAATTTAAAATAGTAACTTTTTTACAAAAAATAACTTTTTCAACTTAATTTTTGAAAATGTTCCGGAAATACTGTGTCCTTTAAACATATATCAAATTAAAGCTTATTTCATGTACTATAAAATAAAAAATAAAAAATTTGTCTCGACGACCTATCTTGTATGCGCAAAAGGCTACCGTATTCAAAAATATGCTATTTTAACAAATTTTTTTTTTATAAATTAAACACTATCTACAGATTTGCATCGAAGCGTTTTTTATAATAGTGATTTTAATCACTGTCAGATATCATCTATACTGGACCCAACTATGCCACGACCCCACTGTACCGCCACCCCACTGTGCTGGATTTTTTTAATTAATATTGAAATAAATTTACACAGAACATTTCTTGATTTTTACTAGCAACAGTTAAACATTTACCTACAATAAAAAGATTTCTTAAAAATTTCATCATTAACAAAAGTACCAAAGAGGCATAAAGATCATTAAAATTATTTTCTTTTCAGTTATTGAAAATTAAAAAATTTAAAAAGTGAAAATTAACTTATGGATTTTTGAAAAAATTATAAAAAGAAATTAATCTTCACGCACAACTCTAAGAAAATGATGATAAAAATATAATAAATCATAAAATATTAAAAAATCAAACGTTTTCCTTTTAAAACTAATTTATCATTTTAATTAGTAAATAAAACTTGAAATTATGACATTCCAAATTATTAACACTACTAGAGTATATTTTTTCATTTATTATAAATATATAATTTATCAATCTACGTAAAAATGAAATGCATAAACAATTTTTAAAGTATATTTAAGAACACATCAGAAATTATATGAGTAATTCATAATAAATATGTTACATTAATATTGTATAATTTCAATACAAATTAAACACACATTGAGTCTTTAGATTTACTTAAATTTATTTATAATATAAATAATTCTGTTATAATAAGCTTTTTATAATAAATAGGTCTATTCTTAGATGTCCTAACCATAAAAAAACATCTCGTTTTTAAGATATTTGTGGGCAATTTCTTCTTGTATGACCTATTTAAAAAAAAAAATTTAACAATCACTAATTACAATTTTTGATTAAATAGGACTAATATTTGGTTTTAGGAGTTGAAATTTAAGTTTATATTAGTTTAAAAATTGTTTTCAAATTTTAATATAATTCTTAGTTTTGAAACAATATTTTTAAAATGATTAAGATATAATTAGAATTTTTAAATTATATTTTGTGTTCAATTAAAATAATCTTTTTTTACAATTTATAATATGAATACTAAATTAAGAAAAAATTTTTTTATGATATTCATAATTTAATATGAAAATAATAAAGTAATTAAAACAAATAAATTTACAGATATTTTTATAGGTTATTATGTTTTAAAAGAATGCATAATAAAACTAAGGTTTTCATTTTGAGTTTGAACACAATGTGTGTTAAATAAAATGGGAAGTTTAGTTAACAATTAAATTAGTATAAAAATATTGTAATGGTTCTATTATTTATAGTTTATACATCAAACACTAAATTATTTAAAATAATTAAATACCTGTTTGTTTACAATTACCACACTTCCTTTGTCCTTGACCACTACTACTTGATTGATCTATTATTAAAATATTATTTTACTTAATCTTTAAACTTCATTATAAATGTTTAAATTAATACTTACTATTTCTAGCTCTAAACGTACTGTTTTGAAAACTTCTATTGTTGTTATTTCTATAAGGAGGTTGAGTAGTTGAAACAGTAGATGCTGACTGATCAGCCCAGAGAAAAAATGTACATCTATTAGATTGAGATATAGGTTTTGAACACCCATAAAATTGGCGTCCTTTATTTGGTGTATTTTTAGTAACTGTCAATCTGAACATTTTTTAAATTTTAGTAGCATTAAATAAGATATAAATTTAGTTAAGTAATTAAGTTTACTGCTGTATATTGAAAAAATATTGGTGGTTAATAAGTAAAATATAAACTATTCGTTAAAGAAAGGCAGAAAACATTCAATTAAATTATATTCTAAAACTTCATTGATATTTTCTCTTATTTATTTATACTTGTTTTGTAATTATATTGCAGGAACCAATGCAATAACATTTTAGTGAGGCTCTTTTAATGTTTTTTTAGTAAATGAGACTTTTCAGCATCGATGCGAAGCTGTGAAGGTATTAATTTTACTATGTTTTTTTTTTAATTTTTTTTTTTTGTGTCTGTTATCACTTTTTCTCAGCTCTCACCGAACCGATTTTTTTCAATGATATGTCAATAGATCACAAATTGTATCTTGTCAAAGACATTACCCTCAATAATTGAAAAAATTTCCCACAATCCCCGTAAATGGGGAAAATCTTTAATTTTCGAATTTTTTTCAATTTTTTTATTTAAGACTGCCATAACTTTTTCAAAAATGACCAAATAAATATAATTTTTTTTTTATAGATGCATGATGTCTTTATTTATCATTTGATACATTTTTTTTATAAATCTGAACCTTTACCTGCCCACAGGGGGGATTCAAAATGACAACTTTTTCACAAAAAAGTAACTTTTAAAAGTGCTCCGGAAATACTGATACTTATATATATATATTTTAAATTAAAGCTTATGTAATATACTTTATTATGGAAAAAAAAATTGTTGGACTTTATTTTGTCTTCACGGTGAAAATAGCTACCGTATGCTATTTTTGTGTTAAAATTCTCGATTTTATATTTTGCATTTTTAATTTTATAATGTTATAACTATTTGAAAAATATATGGATCAATACAATTTTTTTATGTTAAATACTAATTATATACTTCTTTCATTTAACATACTTTTTTTTAAAATAAAACTATTTCCCTTTATATATTATAAATATATTACACTTATAAATCATAAAACTTGAAATCAGGATATAAATAAGGAAATAGGAGATCATGTAGCTTTTGGAATAATCCACCAAATTTTTTAAATTAAACACTATCTACAAATTTGCATCGAAGTGTTTTGTATGATAGTGATTTTAATCACTGTCAAATGAAATCTATACTGGACCCAACTATGCCACGTCCCAACTATGCTGGGTTTTTTTTATTTGCATTAATGCATATGAAGCTTTTTAAAGCGTATAACTCTTGGAAATTTTTTATAACTTAACTAAAAGTAAAGATAATTATTTAAAAAATAATAATGTATTAACTGTTTTAAGCTATTTTAATTATTATTGTAATTGTATGTAAACTATATCTATGTAAATTACTTTTGTAACACTTACAATTTTGCACCTTCACCACAATTACAGCAAACTTGATCTAAAACATATATTGATAAAAATAGATATTTTTATAAGTTACTAAATTGACAACAATAAAAATATGTTAATAGATTTAAACATTAGGTATGACATGGCCTTATTGATTTGCATTTATTGTATGTAGATTTTTTTATTTGTTTATTTAAAGATAAAATTTATTGAATTCAAAATAGCACATAAGTTTCATTTTTTATGCACACCTATTAAAACTCAAAAATTTATATTATAAAATAAGTAAAAAAAAAAAAGAGTTCTTGTACTATACTATGATGATGCCCATTTTAAATAGCCCATATTCTTTGTTAAAGATATATTTGTTACAATCATTGATAGGAAAGAACAGATTGAAATGTCAACATTTATTTTAAGTGAACTGAAAATGAACCATTTAAGTTTTAAAAAATCAAATTGAAGTACTTATTTTTTATAGATGCAAATGTTGACTAGTTTCTGTTATTAGATTTCTATTTAAAATTACCATTTAAAATCTCAAGCTAATTTTTTTTATGATAATGTTTAATTTGATCATAATTGGATTAACTAAAATCATATGGTTAAATTTAGTGTTTTTTTAAGCTTTTTATTTGCATTAAATTGAAGAAAAGTTCAATTTAATCAATCACCTGTTAAAAATTTAAATGAGACTCCAATTTCATAGATTTAATTAAAGCTTCATATTTTGTCCTATGCTTTAATGAAAAAAAATTAAAACTTGGGATGCTTTCACCTGTCTCTTAAATGTAAACTGAATTAATAAAATTGAACTAGATTATATTGGGTAATTCCTTAACTATTCCTCACAAAATATCTTCGAAAATATTAAAGTTAATTATTATTTTAACAATCATAGTTGAGCAATTTTATACAAAAATTAATTTTTTGCAATTATCTCTTATACCCCAAATTATTTTATACTTATGATTTGCAAATGATTACATCTGATTGGTTTATTTGAAAAAAAATGTTACTTTTCATTTTATTAAATTTTCAAAGAGTAGTTGTTTAAAATTTAGGGGTAATAGACGGCAACATAATTATTCACATATATCAAAAAATGTTACTGGTTTATAGAAAAACAATAAACTGTAAACGTATCTTCATTGCACTGTAAAGAAACAGGAATACTCATTTATTTATAGTGTTCGCGCCTTGTATAAATAAATACTCAATGGAAATTAAATAAAATAAAAATATTTTCATACAAAATTTTTTTGTTTATTTGATCAAAAAAAAAATTGTTGATAAAAAATAAATAAGGTTGCCATTTGAAAAACAAAAGTTAACAATAGTTTAAGGACAACAGCAAACAACGCATCTGAACATCAGCATTAAAATGATGTAACTGAATGATCCAATGCACCATATAACACCCTATTTAGTTAATATTTAGAGTTATATACCTGTATTAATATTTACTAATATATTTATAATGAACATTATTAGAAGTTTTGTTAGTGTAAATAATTCACAGTAAATTAATGCTACTTATATATATATATAAGGTTTTAGTCTTATAGATTCATTTACCTGTATTGATGGATGGTGTTGAAGCTGACCTATGAGAATTATTGGTTTGATATTGTTGAGCACTATTTCCACGTCCTGGGCCTAGTATATAAAGTAATAACTTTATGAACTGTGTTAAATTATGTGTTTACTTAAAATATATAGAATATTCAGTAAGTAATGTAATGGATTACTATTGTTATCATTGTTTGTGACAAGCGACCTGTTTCATTACTTACTGAAAATTCTGTTTATACATTTAATGGTGGCACTAAATTTATTTTATATAGTCAAATTTTTAATTAAATCAATGTCAAATTTAGGTTTGAATGATCTATTCATATATGATCTTGTTCTGATTTTATTTTGAAAAAAAAAATATTCACAAATATTTTTATATTTTTGACAAATAATTTTAAAACCTTCAAAAAGGTTAAATTTATAATTTTTGTAAAAATAATTAAATATCTGCTATAAAAAAATATTTAAATTAATTAAAACTTATAATTCAAAAGTAAAAATTAAAAAATTAACAAGACTTATTATTAATTTTTGTTAATAATAAAATTACACGTTAGAAAGTAAAAAAGTGTAGAAAAATATAAATATGTGTATTATTTTGCTTTTATCAATCTGGAAAAAGGATGTGCTAGTATTTTGAAAAACAAATGAAATTGAAAAATATTTAATTAAAAAAAAATTTCAGAGGAAAATATAAGGACTACAGACATTAAACTTGGTTTTACGTAAATATTAAATTTATAGTTAAGAATAAAAACATTTACCAGTGTTGTTATATTGTGATGTAGGTCTTTGGTGACTATTTCTTTGATATTGTTGAACATTGGAGCTATGAATATCTAAGAATATATTATTGTTTTGTTAATTTTTAATTATGTATCAATTTTTTTTTTATTTGTAAAATATAAAATTACTCATTTTTTAAAGTTATAAAAGTACTTATAAAAAAATTAAAAATTCAAATTAATTTACCATTGTTGTTGTATTGTGATCCTAGTCCTAGATTATTATTTGAATGTTGTTGAGTATTTATTCTTAGTACTGGAACCAATAAATTTTAGTTCATAAAATAATATTAATTCATAATTCATAATTTTTTTTTTTATACTTTGAGACATAAAAAAAAAAAAATTAAATCAAAATTATAACATTTTTACTTTTAAGCTACGTAAATATTAAAAAATAACCTCTAATCATTGTTATTAAATCATTTCGCTATAGTTTTCTTTATTAATTTAATTTATAGTATTTACCATTATTATAATTTGAGCTTGATTGATTATTTCTACTAGTATTTATAGAATTAAAATTTGTAGCTGGACGAGACAAATTTACTTGAAGTATTTCACTTAATCTCGACTCACAACCATTAATGCAACCGGTAAAATTATTTGGAAAATGTGGTCGCATGCTTCTATCACTGAATTGGAAATTTATTAATTTTACATTTCCAGAACACTAAACAAAACAAAAATCAAACATTATTCTTATAGTAAGAATTTAAAAAAATATCAAAATTTATGAGTATTTTTAGAAAAGGAGTTTAAAAAATATTTAATCATTATTAGGTTTTGACATCTTTAATATAACTTTTAATCCAGCAAATATTTGAGGTTATTTTTTGTGTAAAATAACTTTTAAAGTTTTTGACTATGTTAAAAACATATTCTTTATTATTCCTGTATCTCAAAACTAGACTAAATTTAGTCAAATTTTTATCAGGGCACAAAAACAGAAAAATGTAACTTTGAATCTTTATTGAAATTTAAATTAACAATAGCATGCCAATATTTTTGGACTGAAATACATGGTTAATACACTATTAGTTTATTTTATTATGTAAATTATATCAAGTTATGTTTTTTTGGTACAACCTTAAGTTAGGACTAAAACTTTTAAAATTAATAAAATATGAAAGATAATAACATCTTAACAAAATTCTGTAAATAGAGTTCAATATTAACTTTAATTTCACATAAAAAAAAGTAATAATCTGAGATCCTAATTTTTGGACTTACGCTACCCTAAATTTGAGGTACAGATTTGTTTCTAATGAAAAAAAAAAAAATAATTTTAGAGTTTTTTCAAAATTATTAAATAGATATTATTAGCTCTTTCCCTCAACAAATTTTGATCGGTTGATAACAACTTAAGCTTAAGTACTTATTGAATTACAAGCAATTTAATACGTAGAATGGGAATATAGTGCGTATAGGTATAACTCGTATATTTATATTCCATACTATACCTACTCTACATACTCACTCTATGTACTAAAATGATAATAACTCAACAAGTACTTATCTTAAATTTGTATTAACTATCAACATTTTTAGTAAAAACCCAGCAAATTGTGGTTGTGGCACGTGGGAAACTGGCATAGTTGAGACAAGTATAGATAATATCTAATAGTAATTAAAATCACTACTATCAAAAATCCTTTGATGCAAATCTGTAGTGTTTAATTTTTAAAAAGTATTAAAAAAAATTTAATTTTCAATTTTTGAGGATAATTTCTTCAAATAGATTCGATTTATGATCTTATGATGTATCGTTGACAAAACTCCATTTAATAAAAAAAACTTTAAACATTCAATGAAATTTAAAATATGTATTTCCATTTGTAAAAAATCTAAGTTAATACATTTTCAGTACATAATGTACAAGGCTAAAAAGTATTATATAGCCAATAATTTGATAATATGTAATTAAAAATTTTTTTTTTATTTTTAGTCTGCAAGTAATTGAGTGGGTTATGATAAAATACTTATCTGTACAGAGAAGTAAAACAATTTTATTCTTAAAAATAAACAATAAAAAATAAAATAATGATTTTAACATTGTCTAAGGTAGTATGAATTATTTTAAATAAAAAATTATTTGATTTGTCAAGACATCTTGGACCACCTGTTTTTAATAATCAATTTTTTTTTATTAATAATTTAAAAGTACACATAAATAATGATTGTTCTATGAAACATTTAATTTTATACAAATTTTATGACTTCAGATTTTATATCAATTCTTCTATAAATAAATGTTTTGATTTGTATATTTGTTAAGGAATCTTTGTTTATTTATTTTATAGTTGCTTACTGAGCAAAACAAAATTATTGAGTCTTGAAAATTATGAATTTACTATTTTATAACCTTAATTGTAATTTTTTTAATAGTTTCAAATTTAGTAAGAAATAAAATCAAACCTCTGGGCACACATTATCAATAACAGTTGCTCCAATTACATTAGGAGGAAACCAATATGTATTTCTGCATGTTGGATATCCATTACAAGAGATATAAAATCCTTGGTTGTTATGACGTTCTTTTAATATCAATGAAAATTGTTTACAAGCAGGACATTTACAAACATCTTTTAATGTCAAAGATTGATTACTATGGTATGCTATTGGCTGTGCTCTAAGGTATTTTCCTAATGATTGATCTAATTTTTCTACCTAAATAATAAGAATTTTCAGTAGAGAACATGTCTTTAAACATTAATGTTTAAGATAATTTACGAACTTGTTCTGTTGTCTTAATAAATACTTCTTTATACTTGGCTATTTGTTCTTTAAGAACAATATCTGATGATTTAGTTCCCTCACATATCCTAAGATAATGAAACAAATCGATTATTTTTATAAAATAATGAGTAACTAATTTTACCTTTTTAAATCGGCTTCAAGTTCAGATCTTAAACGTGGTTTAGACATTTCAAATCCCATATTATCATATCCTTCTACAAGACCAATTCCAAGTTCACCAGGAACAAAATATTTATTATTTTCCAGGCCCACATATAAACGTGACTTAATAGTTTCAATGTGTTCAGCATGTGTAGCATCAGTGCCTTATAAAAAATAAGTAAAATGAAAAGTATTAAGTTAAAATTTCTAGTTTTTTCATAATATTTGTTATAATTAGTTGTATTTTTTAAAGTTATATACTTCATATCTTCAATTTTACATAATCTGTGTTTGCTATTTTTAACATGAAAATTACTAACAGCTTTACTCAAAATGTAACTTAGATTAATGGTAGTTAATTAACTATATACAAATAAAAAATACATAAATATTAAGAATTGTAATTATTTTTAGTATTACAGTGACCAAAAGTAAAAAAAATAATAAGTATATTTTTTCAATAGTTAAACAGTTAAGAAGTTAATCATTCTATCAATGAATTGAAAGTTATTATTTTGTAACTGAAAGTTTTAATTATAGAAACTAATAATCCTATAACTAAAAATTTTTTATTTGTCTGTACTTCAAATAGTGTAATAATTGATACATAAATGAAAAAATGGGAAGACTAAGATATGCCAATAATAGCTTGACCATACAAGGATTAATTTTTATTACAGAACCCCAAAAATGACTTATTCTCGGAACATGAATTAAAGATGAAAATTTTTACCAATGCCATGTTTATCCATTAATGTTATGAGGTCAGATTCTGTAAGAAGGTTAGGTGCGCTGGTTTGACCATCAGTCATTTCCAATCGAGTAGGCATAAAAGTTTCACCTTGATTATATTCATGCATCAATTTATTTGACCATTTTTCATAAATATATACTTCTAGATAGTTTAAAGCTATAATTTGTAGTCCTGAAGCTGAAAACTATAATTATGCTGTTAATATTAATAATTAATAGTAAAGAAATAGATCAATTAAAAAAATCAATTATATTTTTAATTAATTGAAAATCTAGATGGATAATAATTAATAATAAAACTCCTTCAAATGAAGTATTATTCGGATTTACTATTGTTACTTTAAATTTAAAATATACCACTGTGTTAACTTAAAAATTAAACAATAACCTTTTCTCCGTTAATTTCAATGTTAACAATAGTTTCTTGTCCTTGAGCATCTTTTGATAAACATGCTAAAAAATGTCTGACAATATATTCATAAACTTTACGATCTTTGGGATCTAAAATTGATCATATTATAATTAGATTTAAATTACTATATTTTAAATAACATCAATAAAGGCAATTTGAAAAAATAAACTACATAAAGTAAAATATAAAATCAATATAAGCTAACAACACAAGATAATACATTGAAGATAAATTAACTTATTTATAAGTTGAATGTAACATATTCTTCAAGATAGTTCATAAATCATGATGAAAGTCAAAATTAGGTTAAGATATATTTTTTTTAATTTTGTGCCAACAATATCAAGGAAAATTTAGAAAGAATCAAAAGCCTTATCACCAATATAACTGTTGGGGTTAGGGGCACTAAATATTATAGTGCGTACCTGAACCGGCTAATTGCACTAATACCGATCAGGCTGCGTAGTGTAATGTATGTAAATAGAATCACTGGAGGTGGGAGGGTTCGCCTGTGCAGTAACCAGTGATCTATGTAGTGAAAGATGTGTTAGTGTGTATATATGTAAGTGTGTACTATTAAATTAAATAAATAAATAATTTAAACCTGTTTACAATAATTAATAATATTTTCAATAAATAACTTGACTAGATAAATTTAGCCCTTTTGGCTCAACAAATAATATAATTATAAACTCTGAAAAAATCTAACAAAATAACAACAACAATGAATTATACAACTTCAATAAATCAATAACAAATGAATATGACTCTTCTAATAATAAATGACTCTCAATTCACTCTTTAAAGTAATTATAGTACTAAACAAGATGTCTAAAAATAACTCCAAGAACAATGGTGTAAAATTATGTAATTAATTAAAAGGACAATATAAAGAATAATAGTATAAAATTCAACAATAAGATGTAGTAATTAAATTAAACAAATTTGACTAGATAATAATTATTACTAAAATGACATTGAACAGATAACACAAAATTAAAGATAGTTTAATTATTTAATGATTTTCCCACAATATAAAACAACAAATACCCGTGCGATAATGACTATTTTATACTCACAAGGTCCTTATGACCGTTGTGCGTTGTGCCTTACGCCTACAATGAAATAAATAAAATATAAATAAACTTGTAATAACTAATCTGTTCAACAAATCACAATCAATAATAACAATAATGAGAATAAAGACTACACTAAATTATAAAGTGGAACACAAATCTACAATAGTACTCACAATTTGCAGAGCTGCTGGCCAGAGATGCTACCTAAAACTAAACACGAACCACAACAATAACAAATGAACTTACTAATTAAAGACAATTTTTTGGTAACATAAAATTTAACTGCCACAATGAACTAGAACGATTAAATATATAGCAATTAACTATCTCAGTAAAGATGCAAGTTATCGAGCTAATTAGTAGTTGTACAGTTAATGATCCTAACAATTAGTGCGAAAGAATAGAATAACAAAACTATATGAGTTTATTATAAACTTGAACTTTGCCGTAACGTTTAAAAACAAAAATTAAACGTCTATATAAACAACCAAATTGTATATTATAACTAACAAAAATTTAAATGTTTCAACAAACCAAACAAAAACGGAATATTACCCAATACAAAAAAAAAGATACTATATTACAAAAATTTGTGTGGTTATGTGTTGTGTGTGGTGTGTAACAGCTGATCGGCCGGTGATAGGGACGTCCACTACAACGTTCATAGTAGGGAGTAGTCGCGTGATAACAATTAGACCGGTCCGAGTACACTTTAAGTTAACAACTGAAATGTTGTTAACAATAACTTTCAATGATATTATCATTATTTAAACTATAAAAAAACAAATTAAAAACATTAGTTATTCAATATTAATTAATTATGATAAATTCTCCTCCATTTATATAAAAATGTAATAAATTTTATAACAAACCTTGAAGACCATTTGTATATTTTGTAGGGTGAATAGGAGGATGAGCTTGATCAGATTTTTTACCTTGTCGTGGAGAAGGACCATCATGTAAAACTTTTTCAGCAAAGGCTATATAAAAAATAATAATAATAATAAAAGAAATTAAATCAGTAAATTTTGTTTATATTGAATATAAAATTAGTTTTTTTAAATTTACACCTAATACTTACTACCCCAATTGTTATCTTCAATGTGTAATTGAACTAAGTTATTTAAATTTAGTTCTTTTGGAAATATATTAGTTTCGGTTCTAGGATAACTTATGTATCCTTGACTGTAGAGTTTTTCTGCAATTTTCATAGTTTCTTTAGCATTTATTCCAAGTTTTCGACTAGCAGTTTTTTCAAGTTCCTATTTATCATAATAAACTGAATTTATTTTAACTTACAATGTTTTAACAATCAATGGTTTATAATAAATTAAAGTTTCATTTTGAACTGAAATTATTTTTAACTAATAAAGATCAGAATAATTGAACTATCAAATTAAAATATAATCACATCAAAGAATTTTATGATAGCGATTTAATCACTGTCAAATTTTAATTAATATCAGGTATCTACTATAGATAATTTGTATTTTTAATTATATTCTGATTCTAATATAAATATTCTTTCATGGTTTTGTTTCTTTAATTAATTTTCTAGATGTTATAATTCAAAATACTGTTCATTTTGCTTATTTTTTATTATGCACTGTTGCTACACATGCTGAACACATTGAAACTATTAAGTCACGTTTATATGTGGGCCTGGAAAATAATAAATATTTTGTTCCTGGTGAACTTGGAATTGGTCTTGTAGAAGGATATGATAATATGGGAAAGTAAAGTTAGTTACTCATTATTTTAAATCTGGTTGTTGCACCAAGTCCTCAAATTATTAATACTAAGACTATGTAAACATTTCAAAGTAATTAACCTTCATGAATATAATATTTTATTTTTATAAACAAGACCAAGTCATTAGTCAAAAATTAGTTCATATAATAAATAAAATTTGTGTAAAATGAATTTATATTATTTATTTATGATATAACAAATAAAAATTTGTATATTAATTAATACATTTTAATTATAGAAAAATATAAATTGCTTACTATAGTATCAAGAGGTACAGGTCGCCACTTAGATTTTGGTTTTTTAATAACATTTAAGATATGCGCCATTTGATTTTCTAAACACCGTTCAAATAATACTTTACAGAATAATTCATCAAACAATCTTACACGATGCCATGCATATTCAATGTCTACTTCTCCAATTTTATGGTTCACTAATAGTAAAATAAATAAAAAATAATATTTAGTGGACATATTTTATAATAAAAGCACCTTTTATTTTCCAAAACTGTTCAGGAATAAAGTTTTGAATATCTTTATATCGTTCAACAACAAAACCTAAAGTAGGAAATTGACAGCTTCCATAACTAATTAAGCTGTTGGCTAATACATCTGGAAATACATTACGCAAACGCAAAGTTTGGTAACGAGTAAATGCAGCACCTAAGATTTGAATAAAAAGATATTTGAATATCAAAATTTACATATATCAAAGACAACCATGATAATATCAATATACACAATTAATAAGGCAGTAAATCATTTTTTCATACTTTTCAAGAGATCAAAAATAAAATTTATTCTCCAATTACACCCAATATGTTTATCAATTTTCTAAGTAGTTTAATATTAAACCAAATATTCAATATTTTTATGAAAATTATTATGAGATGAGTAAAACCTAAATCCAAAGACCTCATAATCTCAAAGTTCAATTTTTTTAGTTACTGCTTTATTCTTTGTGCATGGCGATATGATGCTAAAATTGAAAAACCAATTTTATGAAATATAAGTAAAATAATATATTTTCTATATCCAATTTCATAAAAAAAACAATACTTATAATTTTATTATAAGTAGACATATTTATAGAGTAAAAAAATTATACAATATATATCAGCAATCTTTAATTAGATAAATCAAAGAAGCTACTTATTTAGAAATTTAACAATATTTCAGCATTTGGAGTTTTGGTACTTATTATTGAACTAATATTAGAAACAAATACTAAAAGAATAATTGAGATAAACTATTTTTAATTTAAATTCTTTACAGTTAGATTTAGCTCACCAATCCTTAAGTCTAATTCACTTCTGACATCAACTGCATCACTTATATTTTTGTTTGGATATCCTAAATTATTTATTGCCCTTTGTACCGATTGTTTTGTAATTTCCGATAATATAGCTCTAACAAAATAAAATTTATAAAGAGTGTCTACTAATAAAAACTATGTTAAAATTATATTTTTACTATTAATTTTTAATAGCAAAATTAAAATTTGATTTTCATTTTTAAATTTTAAAACAGTGAAATTTTAAGATTCTCTTACAAAAATATTCAATTGGTCAATAATAATGTTGGAATGAGTATTTATTGATTTACTTGCAATTTAATACATAGAGTCAGTGTTTAATATGGTGGATATTTATAATGTATACTCCACCAGCATTTATCTATTTATCCTAACCCCAAAAACATCTTAAAATAGTATGTATTACATACATCAATACAAAAAATAAATAATAAAAAAAATGTTTTTAACGTAGTGTATGTATAAATTATTTTTAAAAAAATGTTATGTAAAATAATTTGTGGATAAAAAGTTATAAAATTTATCATGTAGACCACCCTGTATAGATTATAATAAACTATCTGATTTCTTGCAAAATAAATACAAAGTTGAAAAATTTTTCTTTAATTTTTATTACATATTATTGTTGATTTATCAGCTACTAATTACTTTATAGAATCATCCTTTATAACACATATAGGTGTCAACTTTATATTTCTAAATGGCAACATATATATTTACGTAGTTTATTAAACACAAAATGATCTAATTAAAAAAATGACTGTTTGATAACATCTTTTAAACTAGTACTTCAGATGTTATTCTCATTTTTATATATAAGCGGGTGGATAAATTCTTCCAAGAAACGTCTAATAATAAAAATAACAACAAACTTGCTTTACCTCCAGTCTATACATTAAAATCCTAATAAATTTCAAATGACAGATCCAAAAGTTGCAAGTTCTTAAAAAATTAAAAACAAAAAACAAGTTTTAAGTTCATTGAAGAGTTACGTTTTATAAAATGTGGCAAAATAATGCAATGTTATGTATAATTTAAAAAATAATTTATATTTAATATTTTTTGTATAATATTATTGTTGTTGTTTTTTTTTTATTTACATAATAAGCTATAGCATCATTGTCTAATATTAATTATTGCTATGTTTAAAAAAAAAGGGGGTTTATCAATTGACATATTAATCAACAAATATATAGAAATGTATATACACAAAACTTTTCAATGTATAAAACTTCAAAACTATGTGCTATAAGGCGAGTAGAAATAAATTACTTTTGTTACAATAAGAATTCATAATTCATTCTATTTTAAAATTATAACGTAAAATTATTTTTATTTTTGTATTTTAAAATTATTTTAAAGTTTTTAAGATTTTTTTTGTATATTTGTGTTTTTAAGAAAAAAAAATTTTTTTGGACAGCTTAAAAAAAAAAAATTTCATTTTACTTAGGTTATGAAAATGAAATGAATTTAAATCAGCAGAAATCACAAATTTACCTATATACTTGAATATTAGGATTTACTTCTTTACAAACTTGGATAATTTCAAAACCAATATTTTCTCCTTCTCTATCAGCATCAGTCCATATAACTAAAGCATTACAAGTTCGAATTTCTCTTACTAATGTATTCTACAAAAACCAAATTAAATTTTAATTTTTTTGTTTTTAATTAAATAACTTTGAACATTAAAGGTGATAAAAAAACTATGTTCAAAATTAATTAAATAAATTAAATTCATAAAAATTATACAAAATATTTAGATATTTTAGACATAAAAATTTAAGGTTTTGTATTTCTACTTAAATACATCTTAAAAATAGTACAAACATAGTTTTAAATTATTTAAAAGAAAATTGGTATATTTAATAATTTTTTGTATTAAATAAAATTTTAATACCTTTATGTCAACAAATTTTTTGGGACATTCTTTTATAACTGGTGCATTAAATAAATCTAATGGGGAACAAGAATTCCACAAACGATAAGGTCCTTGAAATTCAAATCCCAATAAATGTCCAGAAACAGATGTCATTACCATTGTACATGGTGATCCTCTAAATGTATGATTAAATTCATAAATTTTATTGAATTTAGAAATACCTTCTCTCTAAAAAAATAAACGAAGTAATAAATTAATATTTCTCTCAGAACAAAAAAATACCCTTTGGCAATTTCCGTTTGATAAATAACCAGCAATATTTTTTGCAGCATCATTTTTTTCAGCTACATTTAAAACTCTCATTTTTATATTTTTTTTTACTTCATCTGAAATACGACGAATATAATTGAATATGTAAGGGAAATAAATTGATCTACTATTATTCATTCAGTTTCACAATACTTCAAAATTTTTCATTAGATAAAATTTAATTGAAAAAAAAAACGGTAATCAAGAAATTACTAAAGATTCGAAAACTGAAAAGGTATAGTTCTATTTAAAAAATTATATTTAGACACACTTGACTTCAAAGTGTATTTTGAAAATATCTATAAGTTTAGCGGTTAGTTCTTTTTAATAACCATGATGATAATTGATAAGCTACATATAATTTGATAGTGATTATCAAAGCAGGGTTTACTGCCCGTTGATGATGATAACAGATTATTTATCAATCATTATCAATGACGTATTCGTATTAAAAAACTCATAAGGTTAGGTTGTTGAAATTACTAGTAAAACAGAACATTAAAAATTACTAATATTAAGAAGAAAATAATAAATAGTTTTTTTTAGTAGAATTTGTTAGATTAAAGCCATATTAACTGTATTTAAAATTGATTTGTTAATGAAACCATTTAAATATGGGGATTCTTGAAAAAATAGCGGAAATTGAAAGGGAAATATCTAGAACTCAAAAAAACAAAGGTACTGACTGAACTATCAAATTTTATGCTGATTGAGATTTTACTACATAACTGATTTATCTGTTTTACAGCTACTGAGTATCATTTAGGATTATTGAAAGCTAAACTTGCCAAGTATAGAGCTCAATTGTTAGAGCCATCAAAAAAGCAAGAAAAAGGTGAAGGTTTTGATGTCTTGAAATCTGGAGATGCAAGAGTTGCATTAATAGGTTTTCCATCAGTTGGTAAAGTATGTAGCTGATGATGAAAAAATTGTTCTTTTTTCCAATTGAATGTGTTATTATTTAAATTTACTTAAAATATTTTATTTCAACCCAATATTTAATAAAAATCTTTGCAGTTTTAAGTAATAATTATTTTTAATTTTACATAGTCAACTCTTTTAAGTACATTAACTCATACAGAGAGTGAAGCAGCTTCTTATGAATTTACTACTTTAACATGTATTCCTGGTGTAATAGAATATAAGGATGCAAATATTCAATTATTAGATTTACCTGGTATTATTGAAGGTGCATCTCAGGGAAAAGGACGAGGAAGACAAGTAATTAGTAATCAAATTATCTAATACAAGATATTGTTAATCTAAAATAATAATAATTTTGAGAATTTTTATTTTTCAGTTACATATTTTTATTCATTGTTTTATTCATTAATACATTTTTTTTTGTATATTCCTTATGTATTATAGGGGTAAACATTATTTTTTATTGGTAATTTACATATTTAATTAACTTATAAAATAGAAAATAATGTCATTAAAAAAATTACTGGTCAAGAAAGACTTTTAGACTAGCTTTTCAAAAGTTATTAATAATTTAAACTATTAACTGAGGTAAAGCTGTGAAATTAAGTGATAATAATAGAAGCATTATCATCACTAAATGTTTTTTCTCCTCCTATCTAAGTATTAAAATATTAGTATCTTCCAAATAACTGATTCAAAAGTCGTTATGAATTAGTTATTTTCTTAATTACATGATTTTCTATTTTATAAGTTAGTTAAATATATGTGTTACTAATAAAAATTTACAAAAGTTGATATCCCTATAATGCTTAATGGACAAATCAAAAAAATACTAGTGAATAAATCTAGAATTAAATGTAACTAAAAAATAAATAGTAGTACAGTTGGTACGCGGTATAGTTGAGACAAGTATAGATGATATTTGACAATGATAAAGTTACTATCATTAAAATTGCTTCAATGAATATTTATAGGTAGTATATAAAATGAATTGTCATAATTTTTTAAGTATTTTAAGTTTTATATGTTTTTTTATTTATCAGTTATTATTTTTTTATTAGTTTCTTAAACTTATGTTATAAGTATATCAACTTTATTTTTAGCTTCGATGCGAAGCTGAGAAGGTATTAATTTTACTATGATGTGTTTTTTTTAAACATTTTTTTTTTGTGTCTGTGAACGCTCAATCTCAGCTCTCGCTGGACCGATTTTGATGAACAATATGTCAAAAAATCACAAATCGTATCTAGTCGAAGACATTACCCTCAAAAATTGAAAAAAATTCCCTCGTTCTCCGTAAATGGGTGAAATCCACCCAAAAATTACAAATTTAAAAATCGTTAATTTTTGACATTTCTTCTTTTTTTTTTTACTTAAAATTGCCATAATTTTTTTAAAAATGACCGAATCCATATAAAAATTTTTTTTATAAATATCTTAGGTATTTACCTGTCATTTTATATATTTGTGTGAACATTTGACCCTTTAACAGCCCACAGGAAGGGTTTCAAAATGGTAACTATTTTACAAAAAATTAACTTTTTCAATTTAACTTTTGAAAATGTTCCGGAAATACTGACACTTTTATATATACCTTAAATTAAAGCTAATGTAATATACTTTAATTTGAAAAAAAAAAAATTTGACCTCTGGACTTGTCTTCATGGTGAAAATGACTACCATCATTCAAAAATATGCTATTTTTGTGTTAAAATTCTGGATTTTGTATTTTATTTTAATTTAAAATATCTGACAAGAGGAGTACACTGATTTTCATAAATATTATAAAAATCAAATTGATATAGTATAGAAAGTTAAACTTATTTAAATTTTTTTGCATTTTTTAAGTCGAAAAAAATAGCTTTGAAATTTGAACTAGCTTAAATTGAAATTTTTTTTCAGCCAACGTTAGCGACGTACAGTTGCCGAGTCGGTAAAACTTGTGTTTTACGTGCTTGGGGTACAATGTTCCAACCCGCGTATGGCAATGAATTTTTTGTATTTTTTCTTAAATTCTTTTTAAGTTAGAATAAATTTGATTTTTATCAAATTTCAAGAAGAAATTTCTTATTCATATTAAAATTATTTTACTATATTTTAGATTTTAGCTTCGATGCAAAGCTGATAGGATATTTTTTTGTGACTATTATTTTTTTCTTTGCTCTAACTTGACCTACTTTTTCAACGATACGTCAAATAATTACAATTCATATCTAGTTGAAAATATTATTTCAAAAATTAAAAAAAAAATTCTAATTTATCAATTAAACAGTTACTTATACCATGTTTTCCATACAGAAAATTAAAATCATTCATTTATAATGTGTTTAAAGTATTTATTGACGAATCAAGTTCAATATAATAGGTTTCAACTACAAAACTAAATCATTTTACTTTGTAATTTAATAATTTTTTTACTCTATTTGTGTGTGCTACTACTAGACTATAATATTCAACATTTTTTGGTAACATGTTGTAATCTTTTAACAACTTTGTTATGAATGGTTCATTTAGTTAAAATAAATCATTAAAATTAATTAAGTTCTGAATATTTCAATAGCAGAATCTTTTCAAACACCAAAAGTTACTAGGAAATTATTACTATTATTTCTATTTAAGTTATCTATTATGATAAAAATGAAAAAATTATTGAGCTTTTCTGATAAATTTACTATAAATAGTTATTATAAAACTTTCTGACTCCTTATTAATCTTAACGATACAAGTTTCTTAATTCTCATAAAATTTCTTATTTAAGGATGTCAATTTAAAACTTGCAAATTGAGCTAAAAGTTATGGTAATAAATTAATTTTTTTTATTAAAAACTTTCACAAAAACAACTTTAAAGGATTAAAAATTTCCTTATTTTTAATATATTAATAATCAAAATCAGTATTAATTTAAAACAATTTTTTTTGTTCTTAATAATTTTTTTTTATATGTAAATACTTATTTTTTAATAATAAGTAACTATATTAAAACTTAGAAGTGATAGAAGAAGTTTAATTGCATATTTGAAAACATTGAGAAAAATTGATTTAGAAAAGTACATTTTTGTTTCTGATGAAAGTTCCTTGTAGTCCAGTGTATAAAACTTATAATTTTATTATAAGTAACAAACATTTTTTATTGAAAAGTATTGCGTCAAACTCAAAAGTAAAGAAATATACTACTACTTTATTATTTTTATAATATCTCCATAAAAATTACAATATTAAATTATTGAATATCAATTTCATACTAAATTTAATTAATATAATTATTATTTATTCATATATTATAATTTTAAATCAAATATTTAATCGGGATAAAATTAAGGGAATTAGAGTTATTGTTGCTTTTGAAATAATCTACCAATTTCTTAAAATTAAACACTATCTACAGATTTGTATTGAAGCATTTCTTATGATAGTGATTTTAATCACTGTCAGATATCATCTATACTTGTTCCGACTATGCCACGTCCATACTGTGCCGTGTCCCAACTGTGCTACTGTTTTTATATTTGAATGTATTTATGACTATACTATTTCATATATTATTACTTCAATTTTTTTATTTATAATTATGCTACTTGAATGAATTAATATTATAAAAATTAAATTTAGTATATATTTGATATTTAATAATCTAGTATTGTGATTTTTATTGGGAAATTGTAAAAATTATAAAGTAATTATATATTTTGTTACTTTTATGACGAACCTGTATAAAAATTGAAGGGCTTGATGGAAAACTTTTCAAAAAATAACTTTTGTTAATTTTGAATAAGTACTTTGTTTTACAAAAAAAAATTCATCAGAGTCCAAACTATAACAAAGTTTAATGTTCATTTAAATCCGAAAATATATTTTTTCTATTATTTATAATTTATGAGATTATTACTAAATAATCAATGAGTATTTACATATAAAAAAATAATTAAATAAAAAAAAAAAAACCAATGCTCATAAGTTATATGAATTTTATTTACATTAAATATAAATTTAAACTCATTTTAAATTTTATGCCTCTCCTAAGTCAATATAATCAACTTTGAGATTTTGAACTAGCTTAAATTGCCTTTTTATCTACCAACATATGCATGTATAGTTATAGGGTCGGTAACACATAAGTCTTTCACGAGGGTACGAAGTGAAAATAAAAAAAAATTTTAATTATCACAGACCAAATTATATCTTACTAAATCAATTTTGCACACTGATTTCAACACATTAAATTAAATTTTAACTATCACTAGTTGTTAAGACAGTTATTTAGTAAAAATAAGTTATATATATATATATGTATAAAAAATTAAATACAACAAATTTTTTGCATATTATTATTTATTTTAATTTTTATTATGATAAAAATATTTTATTCAATTCAAGTGAAAAAGAAAATACAGTAATGTATAACCAAATATTAGAAATGAATGATTTTATTTTTCTATGTAGAATAATGGGCTAAACAATTTTGTAATTGATAATAGGAATTTTTTCAATTTTTGAAAGTAATGTCATCAACTTATTACAAATTTTGGTCATTTGACTTATCGTTAACAAAAATAAATGACAGACATAAAAAAGCGCAGTAAAAAAATTCCTTCTCACAAAGGAAAACCATAATGTAAGTTAAATTCATATAATTTTTATAAATATTGGTGACCTAATCATTGTGCCGACCCCTTGTAAGGTATTTTAAAATAAAAAAATCACCTAGTTTTACATTTTTAAAAAGTAATAACAGTATAAAATTGAATTCAAAAGAAATGTGCACAACAAAATTATTATTTTATTTTTTGGTGGGAATTGTATTCTCTCAACATTTTTTTTAAGGCTTTAGAAAAATTGTTTTGTGCAAAATTTTACTTAAAAAGTTATTCATGTTAAAAGTGAAAATAATGTCTATTCCTTCTTTCTTAATATCCCAATGCACTTTTCTTAAAAACACTTTTAATTAAGTTTTGTAGAACAATTTATTAAATATTTTTGAATTATGTGAGTTTTACATAAAAATTATACTTATTTCTTTAACTTTGATGTTATTTTTCATAAACAAGTCTAGATTAAGTAAAATATTAAACTCGAAAGCCACAAAAAATTATTTTATATTTTATTATATAAGTCTAGAAGACAAATATCTTTTTCAATAATAAGTATATTACATAAGCTTTAATTTAAGATACATATAAATATGTTAGAATTTCTAGAACATTTTCAAAATTTAACTACAAAAGTTGCTAGTTCAAATCCCTCCCTGTGGGCACTTATAATTATATTATAAGTATATATTAATACTTATAATATAATTTTTACACAAAGAACTGAATTCAGATATTAAAAATTAAAGTACTATATAATATAAATTAATTATATCATACATTTCTTAATAAATATTATTATTTAAAGGTTATAGCAGTTGCACGCACTGCTGATTTAGTGTTAATGATGCTGGATGCAACCAAACAGGATATTCAACGACAACTTTTAGAGAAAGAACTTGAAAGTGTTGGAATTAGATTAAATAAACAAAAGCCTAATATTTATTTTAAGGTAGCTAAATACCTATTTTTATCAAATCATAAATAAATTTGTTTAAAAATTATTGTTTAGATTAAAAAAGGGGGAGGGTTAGCATTCAATGCTACTTGTCCTTTAACTAGGATTGACGAAAAACTAGTTCAAGTTATCTTACATGAATACAAAATATTTAATGCTGAAGTATTATTTCGAGAAGATTGTACACCAGATGAACTAATAGATGTTATATCAGCCAACCGAGTATATTTGCCTTGCATTTATGTTTATAATAAGATCGATCAAATATCTATTGAAGAGGTTGATAGAATTGCTAGACAACCAAATAGTGTTGTAGTGAGGTATTTGTGATTTAAACAACAAANTAAAGAAATAAGTAATTTTAATAAAAAGAACATGAATAGTATAATACCACACATAATAAAATATTTATTTATAATAAATAATAATAATTTTGTATTATAACTATAATAAAATATTGAAGATCAATAGATTCAACTCACTGGTTATTTCAAAAATAAAAATAAAGAATGAAGTAAAGTATTTCATACAAATTCCTATAATTTTTTTTTAGCTGCAATATGAAATTAAATCTTGATTACTTATTAGAAGTTTTATGGCAGTACTTATCATTGATTCGGGTTTATACAAAGAAACCTGGTCAACCTCCAGACTTTGATGATTGTTTAATTCTTAGAAAAGGAGTAAGTGTTGAACATGTGTGTCATTCAATTCATCGTACTTTAGCAGAACAGTTTAAATATGCTCTTGTTTGGGTAATTATTAAATATTCAATATTAAATTTTGTTCTTCTTTTAGTGATGAAACTTGTGTTATTTTACAGGGCACAAGCACTAAATACTCTCCACAGAGAGTGGGTTTGCAACATATTATGCATGATGAAGATGTAATACAAGTGGTTAAAAAATAAAATTAATTTAAAATATATATACAGTATCTTTTTGTTACAATATTTACATTTAATTACCATTAATATTATGTAATACATTACACATTACAATATTACACATAAAATTAAAAAAATTAAAATTTATGATGATGCAATTTGCCGCAGTGGTCCGTCTAAATATGTTGATAAAGCTGTGATTTTTTCTTTAAGCAAACCAAATTCAACTGATCGATTAGCATATAAGCATAGTAAAATATTAGCTACTTGTTTGATAGCTACTCTGCCTTCCTAAAATAAATTTTTTAAATAATACTAGATAAAAAAATATAAACTTTAAGTGAATAAGTGTGTTCTTTGAATTAAAAATATAAGAAATCAATTTTAAAAATGTGACATTAAAACTTAAATTGCTTTTATTTTAATGCCTTTAAATCTATATTATAATTGTAATATAATTATAATTATTATGAGCTAATCATAATTTACCGAACAATCCATTAATACAAGTTGAAGTTGATCTTCTTTTAAAGTAACTAATCCATTTTTTTGATATGTATTCCAAAGGTTTGCAGCAATTATTGCTGTGATATTTGAGTCTCTATTACCATAACCACTGAATGCTAATAGGCAACCTTCATGAGTTAATAACCTATACAAATATTATCACAAATGAAACAAAAATTTATATAGAATTCAATAATTGAATTGAAGTTTTGTTTTTAACTCTCACTCCTTAAATTAAGCTTTATTTGGTAACAGGGCTGGTGCTGAAAAATGGGTTCAGTGATAAACAATTTTAAAGGTTTCTTTTTTTATGGTCATTATCTTAGTGTATGGTGCCATCTATAGCCCAATGATACACCCTAAGCACTAAGACTGTTTGGAAAGCATCACATTGGAAAAAAATGCAATTTAAATTTAGAAACTTGTCATAAAATCAAATGAAAAAAATTATAACATATTTTACTCAAAAGCCTACAAAATAAAATATTAAAATGAGTTGAATATTTTTTAGTTTTAAATTGATATTTTTAATTTTAAATAATATTAGACATAAGTGATCAATTCTTATTATATCAAGAAATATTTTTTATGTCATCCCTTATAATCTGTAAGGGTATAAACTTTTTTCAGATGGTCTCATACATAATTAACTAGCTTATCAACTAATAATTATATAATTAAAAAATAGACTAAACATAACACTCTAATCACTAACATTTTAATAATTTCTAAAAAATATTGACCCATAAGTAGTTATTGACCAACAATTTTTTTAATTTGATCATTATTAAATAAACTAATTAATTATGTAAGTTTTTAATTGAAAAAATAAAGTTGACACCTAAGTTAGTTTAGTTTTAGTTATGAGAAGGGCGGGTATAGTCATTCGCTGTGCAATTTTTGCAGTTTAATCTACAATAATACCAGTTGATCGTATGACTCTTGAATTCTGGTTTTTGTCTTCACTTATATCTTTTTGCTAGTTAATGATTTATTATAAAATGTCCCTCTACTACCATATTTCATCACTACATGCCTCACTATAACAATAAGTTTAAAGATTCCATAGGAGTATTCAAATTAATCTCATCTTCGATATACTACCCTGTTGACAAGTCTCTATCACTTACTATAATGAATTTGGAAAATTTATTTACTGTTTACAAGTCTAAAAATTGGAAATGATCAATGGTACGTGTCTCCACTCCTACTAAATAACTAAGGTCCACGGGATTATAATTCCCGTGATCTTTAAGGATTCCTTATCGTATGGTGACTCGCTATTAAGGAGAATGAAAACAAAAAATACATAATAATTGATAAATCGAAAAAAACGTATACATTAAAGAAACCATAACAAAAAATTCTTAATATTTTTTTTTTATTTTGCAACTAATCCAAGTAGTTCATGACTAATGAATCAATTTGTATATTATACAATTTCATGTAATATGGTATTTTAATTATTCACACAAGTATTAGAGCAGATACATTTAAATGTTACACATAAATATCACAATAAATCAAATGTTACTCACATAGTATTTTCAACTCCATTTGTATTAGCTTGGCTTAAAATTTGTGATAAAACTTTTGGCCGCAACATATTAAAAAATTTTAATTTGCAATATAAGAAACTTTAAATAAATAAAAAAATTATAAAAACGCTGAAAAAAAGATTGAAGTGCTTTTATTAGTTTATACAATATATTATATGCAAGTGAAACAGATTAAAACATCTATATTAAATTATTGAGACTATAAAATACTATTTTCTTTACACTTTCAATGATTCTATAAATTTTTCAATAGTAAGTAATAATAAAGACTTAAATAGTGATGGACATTATTAAATTACAAGTTAATATTCACAATATCGAATAATCTAATAATCATTCACACAATAATCTGTATCTATAGTAATATTAGATTGATAAAAATGTAATTGCATACAAAATTAATAATGTGTTAATAATAGTTCTAGATAATTCATGTAATTTATTAATCGATAGTTTTTTATTTTACATTAAACTATTTATTATTCGAAAGTTTTAAATTATTCATCTATGCAACTTGTTGATTAAATAATAAGTCGTTATTTTTCATTTTTTACTACTGCAATTTATTATTCCAATACTAGTCGATAGTTAGATATTATAATTGAATAACTTTCGATAGATTAAATTATGCGATAGTATCATCATCATATTTAGATATTAGATAATTTGTCACATGACATTAATTAGAAATATTTAATTGGATAAATTATTATGTTATTTTGTAATAACATATAAAATTCTTCCTTACCAAATTAACATATATTATTTGACTACGCCGTGCATCTTATAAGTTTATTTTTTCATTGGACTACCGAAATCCTAGACATATTTTTACCACAGAATAAATAAGATCTTATCTATTCTGTGTTTTTATCAAAAAATGTATAAATTAAAAAATACTAGTACCAATTCCAAAATTATTATATTAAAGAGGTTGCCTCGAAGTCATGTAAATAAATCCAAACCCTACAAAAATCCTATAGCGATATTTCTCTCACATACAACAAGTTTTAACTATTAAAATAAAAGTAGTTTTTAAGCATAATATTTATATATTATTCTCTTAAAACTCGTCTTACATTTATAATAAATTTAATAATGTACAGTTTATAGTAATACAAAAGTTTAAAATGTACATAAGAAATTTATTGGTTATATTATTCATTTATTTTATTAAAAATATTTAGAACATCGGCCGATCCCAAGTAGTTGGGATTAAGGCGAGGAAGAAGAAAAATATTTAGAATATCGTTTAAATTTTTTAATAATAGTTCAAGTAAAAATAAATTTAAAATAATCAGTTTTGGGTAAATTATAATTTTTTGTAATTAAATTAAATAATTTAATTTTTAGTTTAATTTTAATTTAAAGTTTTGTAATTATTACAAATTGATTAGGAATTAAACTAGTTAAAAATTACTTAATAAAATAAGTAATTTAATTACAATAAATTTTTTTTTTCATTTATAAGTTTAATACTTAATTTTAATCATTTATAGTAGTAATATTTCTGATACTTCACTATAAAGACGTAATAAAATTTTTATCTGACAAACTACCATGAAAACTTTGCAGCCATCTTTTAATAATTTTAAGCTAATTATGAGTAATAAAGTTTAAAATTTTTATATTAGCATTGCATTGCCAATGGAAAGGACAATAATTAAATTAGAATAAAATTACTATGTATGTAATTTTTGTTACTGTAACTTGTAATTCATACATCCAAAACTTAACAACTCATAACTCTTGTCTGTGGAAAACGACAAAAAAAATCTTAAAAACTGTCACAACTTCCTCTCCCCTCCGTAAAGAAGATAACTCATGGGTGGTTTCTGACACAGCAAAAACAAACCTATTCGGCCAACATCTATCCCAAACTTTCACTCTACATGACATAACTCTAAATCCCACTAAAAGCCATATTGTCACACATTCCTTAGAGTCTGCATTATTCGTCTCACTTCCAGTCAAACACACAAGTCCCCGAGAAATCGAATTCGTTATTAAAAAACTCCATAACAGAAAAGCCCCCGGGTTTGATCGAATTACAAATCGTACTGCTAAAAACTTACCCAAAAATGTAATCATATTACTTTCCTATATATACAACGCAATGCTGCGTTTATCCTACATCCCCCCTAACCTGGAATTTTTCAAAAATAATAATGATCCCAAAACCCAACAAACCTCCTGAAAAAAATTACTTCTTATCGCCCAATAAGTTTACTCCCTACATTATCTAAAGTATTCGAAAAAATCCTATTAAAGAGGCTCATACCACTAGCTATTACTGCAAAAATTATCCCTGACACTCAATTTGGATTCAGACTCAATCACTCTACCATTCACCAACTCCACAGAGTAGTCGACACTATCTCAGTCTCTCTAGAAAAAAAACATTACTGCGCCGCTGTCTTTCTGGACGTCGCTCATGCGTTTGACAGGGTCTGGTTTGATGGCCTGCTATTTAAACTTAAAAAATTTCTGCCTGCGCCTTACTTCCTATTGGTTAAATCATATTTGAGCAATCGTACTTTCGTCGTACGACTGAACTCGAGCCACTCAAATTACTTCAACATCTTAGTTGGAGTTCCCCGAGGCAGTGATATTGCTCCCTTTCTATACAATATCTTTACGCACGACATTCCTAAAACTCCCTTTACCGAACTCGGTTCCTACGCGGACGATACGGCAATTGTGGCCTCTAATGAAAACCCAATCATCGTTTCTAGTATGTTACAACGACACCTCAACATAATTGACCTATGGACAAAAAGATGGAAGATCAAAATCAATGAATCCAAGTCCTCCTTCATTACATTCACCCTAAAAAAAGGTCCCTGCCCCTTAGTAACAATGAACGACACCCCAATCCCTTTCTTCTCAGAAGTCAAATATCTTGGTCTCATTCTCGACAGTAAACTTACCTGGAATCCTCACCTAAAATCCATACGAAAAGTCCTTAATACTCGACTCCACCTCCTTAGACCCTTACTGAAATCCATAATGAAATTAAATACCAAACTATTAATTTATAAGTCCTTACTCAGGCCACTATGGACCTATGGCGTTCAATTATGGGGTGCCGCTAAACCCTCAAACACCCGCACAATCCAAGTCTTTCATTCAATATGCTTTTACCTAGTTACATTTGCACCGTGGTACTTAACCAACAATAATCGCCACAAAGACCTTAAAATCCAAAATCTTAACCAAATCTCCAAACTATACTACAACAGACTTCACAACAAATTTTAACAGCACACAAACCCACTAATCTCTATATTATCAACGAGAACACTCCCTGATATCCTGCACCGTAGACTTAAAAGGAATTGGTGTAGAGACCTTATTTTGTAGTAAGCAGGCTTAATAAGTGTTGATGGTCGCTATCAGGCATCATCTCGAACTTTAAATAAATCTTTTTCTTTGTTCAAAACTTATCACTGTCACTTATAGAGTGTTACCACTGGGTAACCTCCCTAATCTCATGATTCATGTTATCTTATTTTTTTATTGTCATTTATCAAACCTACTTATTATACAAAGATTATGTATAGATTATAGTTATCTTAAATAAATCAAAAAAAACTTGTGATTCAAGGTAAGTTACTACCCAACACTGAAAAATATTTAATACAAAAAAATAATAATAATCCATTAGTGTAAAATTAGAATTATTTAGTTAAAATTATTTATTTAATTATTTTATAAAAACTTATTTTAATAATTAAGAACTGATTGTACTACATTTTATCAAAATACCTTATTTTTCTTAACACTCTAAATTTTATAACTTATGTTATAAAATTGTAGACAGAATACATGTAAAATTTCTTTTTCAATATAAACATTATTTTAACAATTTACTAAATAAAAAAATAAATTTTAGATTACAAAAATTTAATTTTCTTTGAATTAGGCTCAATAAATTTTTCTTTGGATATATACATATGAATTTGGTGATCTTGTAATAATTTACTATGATTTGAACCTAAAACAAGTTATTAGTATAAAATTCTATTTTAGATAAATAAAAGTAATTATTTATTAATAACCTCTCTTAATATAAGATATTGTAGAATAAGGAGTAAAATGAAAATCCTCTGCTAAATAGTTTTGTACTAGCAATTCACCAACAATCATTTCTGCTCTCATTCTTGAAAAGGTAGGTGGTTTTATGTTAGTTATTTTCATTTTTTTATTATATTTACCATACCATGAATCTAAGAGCATTTGGGCTAAAAAAGTGAAACAAATAAAATAATCATATTTCATATAAATATTATTGAAATAAAAATGGTAACTTTTAGCTTCGATGCGAAGCAGAGAAGGTATTGGTTTTACTATGTGTTTTTTTTTTTTTTTTTTTTTTTTTTTTTTTTTTTTTTTTTTTTTGTGTCTGTTACCACTTTTTCTCAGCTCTCACCGAACCGATTTCTTTCAACGATACGTCAAAAGATCACAAATCGTATCTAGTCGAAGACATTACCCTTCAAAATTGAAAAAATTTCCCTCGTTCCCCGTAAATGGGGGAAACCTCCAAAAAAATTACAAATTTAAAAATCGCTAATTTTCGAAATTTTTTCAAATTTTTTTACTAAAAACTGCCGTAACTTTTTCAAAAATGAACGTATGAATATAATTTTTTTTAAATAGATGCTTGATGTCTTTACCTATCATTTGGTATATTTTTTTTGTAAATTTGACCTTTTTTCTGCCTACAAGGGGGGATTTAAAATGACAACTTTTTCACAAAAAATTAACTTTTTCAACTTAACTTTTGAAAATGTTCCGGAAGGTCTGACACTTTTATATATATCTTAAATTAAAGCTAATGTAATGTACTTTAATTTGAAAAAAAAAAATTTGACCTCTGGACTTGTCTTCACGGCGAAAATGGCTACCGAATGCTATTTTCGTGTGAAAATTCTCGATTTTATTATTTATATTATATTTAACTTTATAATGCTATAACTTATTGAAAAGTTTATGGATCCACACAATTTTTTCATGAGAAATAATATTTTTTAATAAACCCTTTTTCATTCGACATATTTTATCTTAATCGAGATATTAATAAGGAACCAGCAGATCAAGTAGCTTTTGGAATAAAACACCAATTTTTTTAAAATTAAACACTATCTAAAGATTTGCATCGAAGCGTTTATTTTTGATAGTGATTTTAATCACTGTCAGATATCATTATACTTGATCCAACTATGCCACGTCACCACTGTGCCGCGACCCCCCTGTGCTGGATTTTTTTCTCTGACTATATAAATATTTTTTCTTAAGATACCATTTTTATGCATGCATCATCTTTAAATATTTATTGAAGATGTAAAGATCATGTGAAAGGATATTAATACAATTGACATTATATATGTGTAATTTTACCTAACAAAATTCAATGCGCCCAAAGGAATTTAAACCTGTATTTTAAACACAAGAAACTAACATAAAATCCCAGCAATTGACCACTGTAGTTTCTAGACAATAAAATGAGCAATTTAAGTAGGTTTGAGTTTTTAAAATCGTTTTGTTTGATTGAAGGAATTAGCAAATTATTAAAGATATATTTAACTTTATTTTCAATTAGATTCATAAAAATTTTATGAAAATCAATGATCTTATCACTGTATTGACATTATTAAATTAAATCAACTAAAAATTCAACCCACCAAAGTGAAGTCATGGCTCAAAAAGTATAGGGCATACTTGGAATAAGTATAGATGATATTTGACAGTGATTAAAGTCACCATCATAAAAAATGCTTCGATACAAATCTGTAGCGTTTAGTTTTTAAAAAGAATTATTGAATTATACCAAAAGCAACAAGAGCTCCTATTTCTTTATCTATATTGTGATTACAAGTTTTATGATTTACAAGTATTATAGTAATTATATTTAGTATAAAATTGATATTTAATAATCTAATATTATAATTTTTACGGAGAGATTATAAAAAGTTATAAGTTGTTAAAATTTATAGTAGTACACAAAAATGTTATAAAAAATTGAATTGATCATTTAATCAAATGTTTGGGGAGTTTTCTCTATTAACAGGAATGAGAGAATTTTTTTCAATTATTGAGAGAATATCTTCAACTAGAAACAAGTTGTGATCTTTTGTGTATTGTTCATTAAAATCGGTCCAGTAAGAGCTGAGAATTAGTGAAAACAGATGCTCACAAAAAAAACTATCATAGTAAAATTAATACATTATCAGTTTTGCAAAAAGTAAAACTATAAAATAGTTTCTTTTATATCCCTTTAATTAATACAATCTCAGCAAGTAAAATATAATATATACATATATTTTGAACATACCAGTTAATTTCATATCATTATTTGATGTTACGTTTAATATTTCATATAAATCTTTACAATATTCAGTGATACTAATACGTTTTGTAGTTAACTCGGTAGAACAATGATCACACATTTTATTACAATCAATTGATTCCCAGGATTCATCAAAATGTGAAGCAATTAACTTACGTCTACAGCTTAAATAAATAATTTGATAAAATAATTTACATTATTATAACTTTATGCTAAATTACTCTTTAGAGTTTAAACAATATTTTATAATTGAATATAAATTGGGTAGTCCTGTTTGTGTAGTAAACACCATTGTGCTTAATTTAAAAACATCACTCAATTTATAATACAGCAAACATGTAGATTTTTTGCCATCTCTTCCTGCTCGACCACTTTCCTAAATAATATGGAAACTAATATGATTTAGAGTACTTGACATTATCTATTTAAACCTTGCGAGTTCAAATAGGTCACATATTGCTTAAATTATATACTTATACAATTACTTGGTAAAAGTTTTCAATTGATTTTGACAAAGCATGATGAATTACAAATCGAACATCAGGTTTATCAATTCCTAATCCAAATGCAATGGTAGCTACAACTGCTTGATACTCACCATTTAACCATTTGTTATGAATTTTAGTTCTCAGTGGTGCTTCTAGTTGTGCATGATAGGCTCCAACTTTGCATCCACGTTCTCTATAAAACACATTTTTTCTTCATTAATATATTTCAAAAATATCTTCACTAGAGACACTAATAAAATATAACTCTTAAATAATAGTACTGCATTAATTTACTGTCAACATATTAAATTTAAAACTACAATATAATACCTTAATTCTTTTTTTAAATTTTCACAGTCTTTAATTGAAGTAGTATATATAATCCCAGACTGGTTTTTGAATTTATTTTTTAATAAAGACTCAAATTCATCCAAACATTCTTTATTATCTGGTTTCCATTTTACCTAATAATTTGTTGCAGATTTATTATTACTTTTTGTTTTTCTAATTTATATAAAAATCAGGTTGACATAAATCTGGCATAAGAAAAAACTTAAAATATAACAACCTTTATTCTATAAGACAGTGGTAGTAGGCATCTTACGTTCCAAATCTGATCCCTAGAGGATAAAAGTTGTAAAAAAGTGGATATTTTTCATCAAATTTATTTCTATTTCTATTATTGTCTTTGTACCAATGTTAGGAAAGAATTTGATTTAAAAAAAACTCGTTTAAGGAATCAACTATATTTGTAGAAACATGAACGAATTAATTTTTGTGGGGAACTTAACTAAGAAAATCTCGGTGTGCTTCTTTAATCTGGAGTCCTTCGTAAATATTTCTGCCTACACTTTATGACAAGTATAGTCACCTCTAGGTAATTATAATATTATAATAAAATAACCAAAAATAATATAATATTAACCTTCATCTACAACTTACGTAATTTATAAGNACAATAGCCTATTGCAGGTTCAAATGATTTACTCTATTGTCAATAAGACATACTTTACAGGTTTTTACACGTGTACTAATATTTATTTTTTTCACTGATTAGTCTCCAATAATTAATTTTATTTACCTCTAACAAAAAATATCGAAAATAATAAATGAGTTCTCTTAATTTAAGAGTACTCAATATTTGACTCAAATTACCCTCTTGGTAATTATTTAGGTGGAACCTTTTGCTCTTAGTTAAAATAAAAACATTATTATTATTTTTTAATTGTAATCTTAGTATTTGAAATACTTTTGTAAAGTAATTTAGTATTACTCAAATACTTTTGTATGAAAAGTATTTAAATAGTATTTTAAATACATTTTTTTTTAAATATTTGAGTATTATTTAAAATACTTTTTAAAAGTATTTTTTACAACTATGCGAATCTGTAGAGAGTGTTTCATTTAGAGAAATTGGTGGATTATTCCAAAAGCAACATCAACTCTTATTTCTTTGATTATATCCTGATTTGTAGTACTTAGATTTTAAAATATAATATATGAATAAATACTAATTATTAAATTTAGTATGAAATTGATATTCAATAATTTAATATTGTACGGAGTACCAAATTTCAAAAAGTTGACCCCTTAAAAACTGTACCAATTTTTTTTATTAAAGTACATATTTTTATTTATTGTGATCAAATAATATTAAGTTTATAATATGTCTATTTTTAACTATATTTTTTATTGTCTTTTTTGGTCTTTGAAAAGTTACTATCTGGCCTTTTTTTTGCAAATTACTGAACTGTATTGGAAATTTAAAAAAATGTATAGTTATAAGAATATGTATGTTTAAAATAAATTTATTATAATTAAATTAAATTTATTCATGTGATTTTTAAAAAATTTACTGGATTAGCACCATAAAACTCAAGACTTCAAGATAGATTTTTTTTACATAAAAAAAATACAAGAATAATTTATTTTAAAATATTGTAACCTCATAAAATAAGTTAGGTCTATTAAATGTCGCCTTTAATAGAGCACATCCTTGGATTTGTAATAATTTTTGTGTATCTGTAATAACTTTAGATGATGCAGTTGCTGTTAATCCCAAAACTGGTATATCGGGAAACATTGGTTTAAAAATGGTAAGATGTGTATAATCTGAAATTAATAAAAACATAATACATCATTAATATTTATTACCTAGTACTATTTAGTACCTAAATAGTGCATATGATTTAAATAATAACAATAGTAATAAATTTAAATATAATTAATAAGTAATAAGAAAAAATTATGTAAAAAAACTTATTGTAAATTAGTATTTCCATCTCTCAAAAACTTTTTGAAAGAGCAGAAACTGACCTAGACTTTTTAAATAATATTATAACTGGTGATGTAACTTAGATTTACGGGTACGATGTTGATACCAAGCATCAATCGTCCCAGTGAAAGTCAGCAAATTCCCCTAAACCAAAAAAAGCAAAGCAGGTGAAATCAAATGTGAAAACCATGTTAATCACCTTTTTTGATTTTCGTGATATAGTTCATTGTGAATGGGTGCCTCAAGGTCAAACAGTAAATCAGAATTTTTATTTAAAAGTCATAAAAAGATTACGTGAAAATGTTAGAAAAATAAAACAAAATACGGAAATCGATTTAAAAGATATTCCAATTAGTGCCTATCAGGAATGTTTTCAAAAGTGGAAAAGAAGATGGCAGCGGTGTATTACTTCCCAGGGAGATTATTTTGAAGGTGATAATGTGTATATAAAATAATACTGAGTTAATAGTTTTATTTGAAAAATCTGAGTATTTTTTTATCACACCTCGTATAGGCTAAATAAAAGAAAAAAGTGCTTTGGAAATATATATTTTTGTAGTGAAAACCAATATAAATTAAAATCTTATTTATAAAAATTAATATAAAACACTTCAATGCAAATAAACAAAAAATTTTTGCATCTTCACTAATGGTTAATAATTTCATAATGAATCAAAATTATAATTTATTACAAGCTACGCATATATACTTAGTGATTATTTTAACGCTCAATATCTCTTAAATAATAATTATGTTAAGAAATTGAGTTTTAGTAGTGTTTAGTTTCATATACTTCTTGATTTATCAGTTATTAATTACTTTTTTAATTCATTTCTTATACCTTATAATGTTATGAACTTTATTTTTTTTTAACGGCAACATACATATTTAAATAGCTTATAAAATAAAAACTGATCTTATTAAGAAATTGACTGGTCAATATCAACTTTTGACCGATTATTACAGAAGTAATTACCTATTTAAAATATAGTCTGAACATAAAGTGCAAGTTAAATAATATTTATCATTAGGAATTTCTAGCTACACCTATCCTTTCACTCATATATAAAATTTTATGTCTAGAAACGAACATTAAAAAAAAATACAACAAAATGATAATTGAATCAAGAGTTATAAGCATTGTCAGATAGACTTGAGACAATTGTATGTTTCCATTTAAAAAATAAAAGTCAACATTATTTTAAGAAGAAAAGAGATGGGTTAGAACTAATTTTATTTTTTATTTTATATAAATAATATAATAATTAAAAAAATTATGATTTAATAAATTTTTTTTTTTTGCTTATAATTGTTTGTTTAAAAAGTAAATGTTTAGAATTAATTTAATTTATAGCAAACATTAGTGTAGATAAAAATTATTTAAATAATTTTTTATTGAAAAATTGTTCTAGAATATATCATATTATTAATAATATATTAAAACTCATTAAATGAGTTATAAATATATAATACCAGGTCGAAAATCATGTCCCCACGTTGTACAACAATGAACTTCATCAATTGCTATTCTAGATAAAAGATTTAAATTATATGCTTTTTGTAATTTTGTCATAAAAATTTTGCTTTTTGCAATTCTCTCAGGTGTACAATAAACTAATTTCAACATAGATTTTCCATCAATCATCATCTAAAAAAAAAAAAAAAGTTAAAATAAATAAACTTTTATTCAAAATACAAATATAACCTGATAGAGTAATTTAGTTTCTTCCTTAGTAGAATAGGAACTTATCATTTTGGCATTGATTTTGAATTTATTTAACTGAATTATTTGATCTTCCATTAGTGAAACCATTGGACTAACAACCAGAGTAAAACCTATTTTTTTATCATAATCATTGTGGGTGTAACTTGAAATAATTGTTTAGGGATTATAGTTCCATAAACAGATATGTCTAGGAATAAAACTCCTAGTTTTCTATTACACTGCCTTATTTTTCTCCCCCATAAAAATACATTTAAGTTTATTTATAGAACAAAAATGTAAATAGGAATTTAGCCCCTACAGACTACATGCAAATTACTCTTATGATTACCATAACTACAAATAAGCTAAACAGTATAAAAAAATACCCAACCTTTATCAATTATAGCAGGCAACTGGTAGCATAAAGATTTACCACCACCTGTGGGCATAATAAGTAAAGCATCATGTTTTGATAATGTTATGTTGATTGCAGCCAATTGCTGTGGCCGAAATGTTTCCAATTTAAATTTATTTTTCAATGTTTCTTGTACTATATTATACCATGGAAAATCTAAAATATTAAAATTATTATATATTTTTTAAAGTAACATGCTGTTAAAATCTTCATGAAAATATATTTAAGAATTATTTATTTACAATAATTAGGGTTTAAAAAGTACTTAAAAAAATGTAGAAAAATATAGTTTAAACAAGACAAAATATATTATTTAAAAAAATGACAACATTGAGATAGATATCAATTTTAAAGTAAAAATATACAGCATTTAATAACTGCATCAGGTTTAATGTAATTGAACAATTTTACAAAAGATTATCGGGAAAATAAAGTTTATATTATAATCATACTTTGATTATAAAATGTCTTACAAGAATCTTCTAAGGGAGCATTTGCAATCTAATAAAAACAGCTTGATTTTATTTCTACTTTGATTCAATAACTACTTAATTATTAAGTTGATTATACAGAGTGATTTTTTTTAAATACCCATTTTTTTCTTTTAAAATAATAATGTTAAAACAATTATTTTTGGTATTTTAAGTTTTATATGTTTTTTTTATTTATCAGTTATTATTTTTTTATTAGTTTCTTAAACTTATGTTATAAGTATATCAACTTTATTTTTAGCTTCGATGCGAAGCTGAGAAGGTATTAATTTTACTATGATGTGTTTTTTTTAAACATTTTTTTTTTGTGTCTGTGAACGCTCAATCTCAGCTCTCGCTGGACCGATTTTGATGAACAATATGTCAAAAAATCACAAATCGTATCTAGTCGAAGACATTACCCTCAAAAATTGAAAAAAATTCCCTCGTTCTCCGTAAATGGGTGAAATCCACCCAAAAATTACAAATTTAAAAATCGTTAATTTTTGACATTTCTTCTTTTTTTTTTTACTTAAAATTGCCATAATTTTTTTAAAAATGACCGAATCCATATAAAAATTTTTTTTATAAATATCTTAGGTATTTACCTGTCATTTTATATATTTGTGTGAACATTTGACCCTTTAACAGCCCACAGGAAGGGTTTCAAAATGGTAACTATTTTACAAAAAATTAACTTTTTCAATTTAACTTTTGAAAATGTTCCGGAAATACTGACACTTTTATATATACCTTAAATTAAAGCTAATGTAATATACTTTAATTTGAAAAAAAAAAAATTTGACCTCTGGACTTGTCTTCATGGTGAAAATGACTACCATCATTCAAAAATATGCTATTTTTGTGTTAAAATTCTGGATTTTGTATTTTATTTTAATTTAAAATATCTGACAAGAGGAGTACACTGATTTTCATAAATATTATAAAAATCAAATTGATATAGTATAGAAAGTTAAACTTATTTAAATTTTTTTGCATTTTTTAAGTCGAAAAAAATAGCTTTGAAATTTGAACTAGCTTAAATTGAAATTTTTTTTCAGCCAACGTTAGCGACGTACAGTTGCCGAGTCGGTAAAACTTGTGTTTTACGTGCTTGGGGTACAATGTTCCAACCCGCGTATGGCAATGAATTTTTTGTATTTTTTCTTAAATTCTTTTTAAGTTAGAATAAATTTGATTTTTATCAAATTTCAAGAAGAAATTTCTTATTCATATTAAAATTATTTTACTATATTTTAGATTTTAGCTTCGATGCAAAGCTGATAGGATATTTTTTTGTGACTATTATTTTTTTCTTTGCTCTAACTTGACCTACTTTTTCAACGATACGTCAAATAATTACAATTCATATCTAGTTGAAAATATTATTTCAAAAATTAAAAAAAAAATTCTAATTTATCAATTAAACAGTTACTTATACCATGTTTTCCATACAGAAAATTAAAATCATTCATTTATAATGTGTTTAAAGTATTTATTGACGAATCAAGTTCAATATAATAGGTTTCAACTACAAAACTAAATCATTTTACTTTGTAATTTAATAATTTTTTTACTCTATTTGTGTGTGCTACTACTAGACTATAATATTCAACATTTTTTGGTAACATGTTGTAATCTTTTAACAACTTTGTTATGAATGGTTCATTTAGTTAAAATAAATCATTAAAATTAATTAAGTTCTGAATATTTCAATAGCAGAATCTTTTCAAACACCAAAAGTTACTAGGAAATTATTACTATTATTTCTATTTAAGTTATCTATTATGATAAAAATGAAAAAATTATTGAGCTTTTCTGATAAATTTACTATAAATAGTTATTATAAAACTTTCTGACTCCTTATTAATCTTAACGATACAAGTTTCTTAATTCTCATAAAATTTCTTATTTAAGGATGTCAATTTAAAACTTGCAAATTGAGCTAAAAGTTATGGCAAAATAAATTATTTTTTTTTATTATGAACATTTACAAAAATCAAATTTAAACGATTAAAAAAATAGGGTAAATATGTCATTTTCCTTATTTTTAACATATTAAAAATCAAAATCATTTTTAATTTATATGTAAATACTATTTTTTAATAATAATAAAACTTAGTAGTGATAGAAAAAGTCTAATTGCATATTTGAAAACATCGCGAAAAGTTGATTTAGAATATTATATTTTTGTTTCTGATGAAAGTTCCTTGTAGTACAGTGTATAAAACTTATAACTTTGTTATCTGTTATAACTTTATCAAAAATGACCAAATCAGTATAAATTTTTTTTATTTAGATGCATGTCTTTACCTATCATTTGGTTTTTTTTATAAATCTAACCTATTACCTGCCCACAAGAGGGATTCAATATGATAACTTTTTTTTTTTTAGTTAAAGTAAATTATTAAAATTAATTCAGTTCTGGATATTTCAATTGTAGAATCTTTTTAAATACCAAAAGTAGCTTAGAAATGATTACTATGATTTCTATTTAAGTGTTCTATTACGATAAAAATGCAAAAATATAATGAGTTTTTCTGATAAATATACAGTAAATAGTCATTATAAAATTTCCTGACTGCATATTAATCTTAAAAATAGCATTGTTTTAATTCTCATAAAATTTTCTATTTAATGATGTCAATTTGAAACTTGTAATTGAGCTATAAGTTATGGTATCATATTAAATTTTTTTTATTATTAACTTTCACAAAACTTTATCAAAAATTTTTCATCAACCCAACCAAAAAAAACCCAGCACAGTGGCGTCGCGGCATAGTGGGGAAGTTGCATAGTTGGGTCCAGTATAGATTTAATCTGACAGTGATTAAAATCACTATCATAAGAAACGCTTCGATGCAAATCTGTAGATAATGTTTAATTATAAGAAATTGATGGATAATTACAAAAGCAACATCAATTTCTATTTCCTTAATTAAACCCAGATTAGTAATTCTTTTAATTATATATTATACAATTTTTAAAATTAATTGTTTTTAAATTATTATTGATTTTGATTTTTAATATGATAAAAGTAATCATTTTGAACCTACTTTTTTTTTGTCCTTTAAAATGAAATTTTAATAAAAAAAAAAAAAGAATTTATTACTATAACATTTAGCTCAACTTGCAAGTTTGAAATTTACATTATTAAATAGAAAAAAATTAAATTGTTAAGATTAATATGCAATCAGGGAATTTTATATTTACTATTTACAGTACATTTATCAGAAAAGTTAGATTTTTTTACATTTTTATTGTAATAGATCACTTAAATAAAAATCATAGTAATTATTTCTAATTAACTTTTGGCCTTTAAAAAGATTTTACAATGGTAATATTCAAAACTTAATTAATTTTAATGATTTACTTTAACTAAATGAACCAATCAAAACAAAGTTGTTAAAAAGATTTACTCAATTGAGCGTATTATAAAATATGATTATAATTGTAAAAATCCATCGTTAAATTTAGGTGAAACTAAAAATCATAAGCGTAGAATATGTGGTAGATCGTGTCAAGTGGAAGCTTAGGATAAGGGTGGCTGACCCCAAGTAGTTGGGATTAAGGCAAAGAAAAAGAAAAAGATTACCAGAAATTCCGGTGGCAATTGACATAATATTATTGTTGTTTGGGAATGTACAATTTAGCGTTTAGTTGGGTTTAAAACAATATAGCGTCAAATGAAAGTTCCTTGTAGTCCAGTGCATTTATTTATAGTAACAAACAGTTTTTAATAAAAATTATTGTATCAAGCTCTTTAAATTTTTATACACGTTAAAGTAAAGCAAAATATAACTTCTAAATTATTTTTATAATTTCTCTGTATAAATTACAATATTAAATTATTGAATATCAATTTCATACTAAATTTAATAATTAGTATTTATTCATATATTATATTTTAAAATCTAAGTACTACAAATCAGGATATAATCAAAGAAATAAGAGTTGATGTTGCTTTTGGAATAATCTACCAATTTCTCTAAATGAAACACTCTCTACAGATTCGCATAGTTGTAAAAAATACTTTTAAAAAGTATTTTAAATAATACTCAAATATTTAAAAAAAAATGTATTTAAAATACTATTTGAATACTTTTCATACAAAAGTATTTGAGTAATACTCAATTACTTTACAAAAGTATTTCAAATACTAAGAATACAATTAAAAAATAATAATAATGTTTTTATTTTAACTAAGAGCAAAAGGTTCCACCTAAATAATTACCAAGAGGGTAATTTGAGTCAAATATTGAGTACTCTTAAATTAAGAGAACTCATTTATTATTTTCGATATTTTTTGTTAGAGGTAAATAAAATTAATTATTGGAGACTAATCAGTAAAAAAAATAAATATTAGTATACGTATAAAAACCTGTAAAGTATGTCTTATTGACAATAGAGTAAATCATTTGAACCTGCAATAGGCTATTGTAGGTTCAACTGATGTATTAAAAATAGATGTATACATAATAGCATTTAGATAAGCACAATAATTATGTTATACTATAATGTAACATATAAAATAACAGAGAATTATTCTCAATTTTCATTTTGACTGAGTTTAATTTGCTTGCTGTATTACGGTTAGTCAAATAAAAAAAAAAAGTATATTAATAGTACTGAATATTAAACAGTATTAAATACTAAATAATTGTATTTAAAATACTACTCAGATACTTTTTATTAAATGTATTTAAAAATACTATTCAATACCAATGAAAGTATTTGAATACTTTTATTCAAATACATTTACTCAAATGCTTTACGCCTTTGCAGATTTGCATCAAAGCGTTTCTTATGATTGTGATTTTAATCACTGTCAGATATTATCTATACTTGTCCCATAATATATGCCTCGTCTACACTGTGCTACCGTTTTTTTAATATTAACACACCTAGTTAACTAGCATATTTAATAAATATTGGTCTAATTAAGAAAATTATTGGTTGATAAAAACTATTGAACCAGTATTTCAGAAGTTATTGACATTTTTATACCTAAATGGAAAAGAGGAAATCCTAAAAGAGGAAATAACTAAAGATAAAAATAATAACACCTGCATCTCACTTCCAGCCAAAGTGTAACATTTTAATAACTTAAAAATATTGGTCCAAAAGTTTTTATCAACCAGTCATTTTCTTAATTAGATCATTATCTATTAAACAAACTAGTTAATTTTATACTTTTATATGTTGTTATTTGAAAAAATAAAGTTGACACACCTAAATGTTTTAAGAGACGACTATAAAAATAATTTATAGCTGAAAAATTAAGAAATGTATGGAACTAAAAAAAATAATTTTCAATATTAAATTTATTTTGTATGTATTTTAGTGGTTCATGGTAATTTAATAAATTTATAAATATATTCAATATTTTTTATTTTTCTACAAATGAAGTGGTTTATGATAAATAAGTCACTCTGTATGAACCTAAAATTTCAAAAAATAATTTTCTTTATGTAACTATTATTTTAAGAACAGTCTAGTGTAGCTAGTATTCAAAATATCACTCTGCAATAATTAATCAAACTTTAAAAACCCTTTATCTCTTAGATCTTGTATTAATAACATTAAGCCATCTTAAAACTACTAATAAATTATCGATATACATTCATTTTTATACTAGAATTCAGTAATCAAAAAATTACCTTTATGAGTCCATTTCTTTTTATCACTTATTAAGTCTGTCTGTCGTTGATATGATAAATACTTTAATTGTTCTTTATGTTTAATAAGATCAGATTTCCTTTTTTGTAGTTGAGCAATTTCTAAATCAATTTCTATTAGTTCTATATCGATTTGTTTACATTTTTCTAAAATTTATTATTAATTGTACATTAAATATAAACAAAATTTGCCAATTCCATGGACAACTAATATAACACCGAGAACTGTTATATTACATATCAAAAATGGAAAAAAAATGACCAATAATAATTTAAAAATATACAAAGAAACAGCACCAGTCAATAGCAGTTTTTATTACTTTAACAAATTTTGAAGCATTATATACTATAGAGCTTTTTATTAAGGATCTGAAAAGTAGGCTTTAGTTTTCTTTATTAGTTATAGTCAATTTAAAAAAATAATAATTTATAACTTAAATGAATTTTTTATAAAGTATTAAACAGTCGTTAAAATCTGGTTAATGTGCCAATGACTGATGCCTTTACCCTATTTTTTATTTACTAAAACTTATTTTAACTAGACATACCTTCATCTTTTGCTTCCATTTTAAAAATAATTAGTGATAATACTTAATAATTTCCAATGTACACATTTTTCTGATTTACACAAAATTAAGTATACCTTCCAGCTCATAGTTCAGAACTGTATAATCACATCGATAATGAAAGAAAATTAATTTTTAAAGAATATATTTTAATAAGTTTATTCGCGAGTAGTTTTAAATCGATAGAAACGTAATAATTTAAATATTGTACAGAGTTCATTAAGAAAGAAATTTAATTCACAATTTAAATAACACACTTTGTTAAAATATATACTTATACAATAGTGTAAATGTTAATAATAATTAATTTTTTTAAGAAGTCTTCTTTTTAATCTGTCGGTTGTCTCTGCTTATATCATAAATCACCATGCATAGACAAATATGTATGTATCACTTATCATTTTTCGGTTACTATTTACCACAGATGTAGATAATAAACTAAAGTCAAATAACTACAATATTTTTTGAAGCTTAACTTTTTTATTTCTTTACTTCGCATAAAACATTTTTGCTATCAACAACTTTTTACTGTAATAACAAAATAATTTGAACACAAAATATATGAAAATAAGTCTTTAGCTCAAAAAATATGGAGGCTTTTTTATTTTTTTTATAAAAAATATAAAATATAGTACAAGTAAACGGCAGCCCAATTAAATCAGGGTGTCTAATATAACGTTTGTTTATGATAGCACTAGTACTTTTCACATCACCACAATTAGTTCGGTTTATTGTAAATTTATGATATTTCAATATATATATCAACTTGTGCGCCCGAACAATTGGATTACGTAATAGTAGCCATTATTATAACATTTAATAAGTTGTAGTTTTTTAATTTATTAATTAGTAAAAAAAATATAGGTGTGCACTGATGGATAGGATTCGTCATTAAACAGATGTTTTATAAAAGTATTCGGTATCCCATTCTCTAAAATTGTCATTCCAATTATACTCGTATAAAATCAAACAAAAATATGATTTAATATCATTTCATTGTTTAAAGGTGAATAACGAAATTAATTAAGTCCAATTTGGATTCAATCTTTTGTTTGGCTACAATCTGAAGAAACTTGATGGGGCTTAGTCTCCTAAATTTCTGCCATAAATTGTACCGCGAAAATGAATTAATTTGTTTATCTTGTTGTATAAAAATATTTTTCTGATTAGGTAAAAAATATTTAAATTAGAGTTCCCAAAAATTTTGTTGCAATACTCTTATGCTCTAGTCAATTTAAGTAAACACAAGACAGTTATAAGTTAAAAATCGACAATAGTTTATGATTAATCTTAAATTTATTTAACTCTTCTGTTAAGATAATTAGTTTTAAACTTAACTAAGTCGAGTTGAAAATATGCAATCGATTCAGTGAAAAATGGTTGAGTTATTTTCATTTGTATGAGGATTACCTGAAGTTTTGTCAGCTGTTTATACGATAAATAAAATAAATAAATATAGTTTAAAAAAACTAAAAAACACGCTTTTAAAGCACATCGAACTAAAAAGTTAAAAATAATTTTTAAAATTAACTTAAAACAATAATGAACGAAAAATACTAGTATTATTGTGAAAAAAAGCGT